GGCACCTAAAGACAGGATGATGTTTGAGACGATGCGTGTTTTCTTATTGCCGATGAGTGTTTTCCTATGCTTTTCTGTTGCTTAAATTTCATATAGAACTTTAATGGTTTGAATTGCATCTCTCATGTGTTGATGAATACAGCGCCTTTTTTACCATTTTCTTCAAGCATTGCAACTAATGATTTTATGTGCTCGCTTAATTTACAGGGAGTTGTTTGATTTTGTTGAACCTATTTGATCGTCATTTAGATCGTTACTTCCTGTATTCGCGATACTAATATTTTCACTTACTTCATTCGACCCCATTTCTGCTCACCAATTGCTTGGTTGGATTGGAGGTGATCGATTGATTATACTTCTCTTTCGAAATAGGCTTACTTTCTCACCAATTTCCCATTTGTGCTTTTATTTTTGTTATTGCTGTTGTTAATTTGTTATTTTCCATATTTTGTTTATCGACAGTACATCGTGTGAAGGGACGGGTGGATATAGCCAGGAACAGATATTCCCTCGAGATAATACCCCTATCCCAGTTTCCTGAGTCCGGACCTATGTTTTTCTAATTTTAGAATCCGGACAGATCAGCGCTCGCCCGGAGCAATGCAGTCTTTTACTCCTGCATCCTATTCACATTTTCATACCAAGGTCCAAAACAGCTGGTTTCTATTGTCTGACACAGTTTACATATCAGCAGAGTAAGCTCACATCACCCCTTTCAATTCTCTACCTAACAAGCCAAAGAAACTTTCGCAGACTCCCAGTGTGCCACGGCAAGCAACGGTAATCAAAATCGTAGTTTGTTTCCAGTAGCCATAATCAGGATCTTACTGAAGTCGATTCTGATGGATGCTTGAACCCTGAAATCATAATTATTATGCATTGCTTGTCTTTGCATGCATTCTTCTTTCATCATGCCTTACATGATGTTTTCGTTAAGCATAAAAGAACTCCAACGTTGTTGCAACTGCCTTATCTTAGTGCACTGCCGTACTACTCGATGTTGTGCAGTTATTAAGCACTCTCTGCGCAGTTGGATGTCCCTCGTTGCCATCCGGGATGGTGAATGTTTATTTAGAGCAGGCGTTTACTCGGCACAGCTCAGGAGCTTCTCAGAGTTTTGTGACCTTTCAAGCAACACCCTCCGACGTCTGGCTGGATTTTAGTCACCTCTTCCGACAGGCATGCCTTACCGCGGGAATATTCTACCCCTATCCCGCATAGGGGACGCACATTCGTGGTGCAAAAAAACACACATATTTTAGATGCTACTTTAAATTTAATAAAGCACCAAGTGATATTTTTGCACACAGCTACGTGCGCACAAATTTGTGTTGTGCGATCGATTCATAAAAATGTTAACAATCACATGTGAGAGAAAATTTTATGCTCGCACCGCACTGTGCAACATAAAATTCTCTAGGCACATGAGTGCACTTGCTTTTCTAATATTACGATTACACCCAACGTGTGTTCTCGATTTTGCGCTTGAACCCAAGGGTACACAAAAAATAATTGGATTGTACCATTTTGTTAGAAATAGTAAATATTATTTTGAGATTGTTAAAAATTACGTACATTAAATACATACATACATACATTTTTGCAGCACTTTATAAAAAATTTTTATTATTTAACAAATTCACTGAACAATATTTTACTTTGCCACTTGCGCACATCAGCCAAAGCCTAGTGGAGAAAGAAGAAGAATAAGCAAAACTGCATTGCTCAAGGGTAGCTATCTAATAATTAATTATTTATGTTTTATCAGTTGAAGTGTGCAAGTGGTGAATTAATATACAGATTAATGTTTAAATTTAATTCATAAAATAATGTATTAAATATTATAAGTAATAGGCGTTTTCGGTGGATCGAAAGTATGGCAAAAATCAGCAAGTTGCTGGCCACTACTGACTGAAATGTACGCCAAACAACAACACTAGTTTTGTAGTTTCAGTAGTTTTATAGTACGTTTTCACTACGTACTTAGTAAGCTTCATTTACTGAGTAAATTGCATTAGCTATACAAAGAGCTTTCGTGCTTTTTCATTTACTATGAAATATAGTAAACAAAATTCGACCAAAATTATATCAAATATGACGAATGCAACATAAGAAAAGTTCGAAATTTGACATATTTGACATATGAAACAAAATGTAAACATAAACATAAACAAACAATCAAAATTCAAAACAAACAACAGGTAAGAATTTTTTTTGAACATCTATTTTTTTATAAATTAAATATATAATTAATACATAAAAATATAAAAATAAGTTTATTTTTCAAATATATTTTGATATAATTATTAAATTATAAATTTCATATATTAATTAATAATAAATATTTATTTATAATTATATAATATCTAATTACATGAAAAATATGTAAGCATATGTTTTTTGTTACTTTTATTTTTAATTTATAAGTTATTAGTGTTATTATTAGCTATTAGTGAAAATAAAACTTACTGAAAATTTGAACTAAACATCCCCTTATTTCTTTTCTATTTGGATTGTGGTTATTTAGTGTTCAAAGTTGTTTTGAAGCCCTCTGTTATCTTCTCAGAACCGACATACGGATTTCATTCTTATCTAAAATAGCAACTCAGTAAAATTTTATTCTTTATTTAATAATATTTACTGCCTGTACTACCAGAAGTCTAGCACTTCCTTTGGTTTCTAGTTTTCATTGAAAATTTTTTGATTTTGAATAATTTGTAATTTTTTGTTCTTTTGTATATGCAGAAAATGCCACATTCATATTGTGATCAATATCACAAACATTATATATTAAATTATTCAGATTTTCTGCGTTTTCCATGCTGATTTATTTTCTTCTAACAATAGGCCTTTTCGGTAGCTCGCAAGTAAGGCAAAAAATGCATGCTGGCCTATGTTGGCCACGCGAATCATTGGCATCACTGTTGTAATCTGTCCAATGTTTTGTTTTCACAAACAGCAAATCTTGTTTATGTGCATAAAAATCAAGTAAAGTATATTTTTATAAAAATACTATAAAATTAAAATGAATACGGAATTAAAAGGAATATTAAGAATATTTGAAATTTAAAAATAAGACACTGAGATAAGTAAATTTTTGTAGGTACTCTCGATGCTGGAGAAAAAAGCAACAATATTTTAATGTGTTTATATTTTGTAATTTATTTATTAATAGCATAAATTAACATGTAATACGGCGTTTACATTGGCCGAAAATGGCTCATTTTGGTCAAAAATCGAAAATGAGTATCGAATGGCTCATTCTTGCATATAAAATTTCAAGCACAAAAATGAGCAATTTTCTCACATTCTGTATGAATGACGTTCGAATGCATTCCACATACGTTCCAAATGCAAAGGAATCCAGTGAACATACCCTAAATGAAAGCTCTTCATGGCATTTTGACAGTTTGAAAAAGCTGTTTTTAACATATTTACAAAAAAAGGTAAACAAATGTTTGGTGGTTGCATTTTCTTGAAAACGATGCACTGCTTTTTAGAACTTTTACTTCCCAAAAAGTAATTAATCGAAGTTAAAAATATGTTTTAAGTTTCTAATGTAAGGTTTGAAGGCATATTTAATCTTCATGCAACATTTTTTTGGCACAGGCCAAAAATCAAATCAACATGCAAGTTGAAAAATCAGCTGTTGAAATGAGAACAAATGAAATAGAACGAATGTAAACACTTTCAAATGGCTCATTCAAAATGAGCCATTTTCGGTCAATGTAAACGCCGTATAAGATTAGTTTTAAGATTGAAATATTATAATGTTCTTAAACTAAAATAAAAAATACTATACTACTACTACTACTAGAAACTTACTTGAACTTAAAATATTTTACATAAAAGCAAAATAAATAGTACAAATTTAAATATGAATTAAAGAAATTATAAACTTTAACATATATATTACATAAAATGAATATAACATATTTTTAATTAAAATAAAAATATTATATCAACTTATTTCCTATCAATAATAAATAATTTTAACTTATATATAACTTTAACTTATACTAGCCACACACTTCGGCCAGTAAAGAAAAAAGTGTTACCAACGCAATAACCGAACTATTGTGAACCTTCATTGGAAATTCCAACGAATTTTGCTTAATGTCAAAAATCGTATGTAAACGAAAATTAAAAAATTTCATAAATTTGAACATTGGGAAAAAAAGTTAAATTTCAGTGTTTTTGAAATTCCGAACATTCTTACTATTCCTTTTAATTCTGTATTCATTTTAATTTTTGATGTTTTATTAGTTATTTATTTTTACACAAAATGTGATTTGCTTATTATGTGCACATATTCAAGATTTGCTATTTACTAAAACATATTACTTGACAGATTGTAACAGTGATGCCAATAACTCGCGTAGGCAATTTAGGCCAACATGCGTTTTTTGCAATACTTGAGAGCCACCGAAAACGCCTTATAATATTTTATATAATAAATAATTATAAATAAAATATGTTTTAAATATAATTACTAACTTTTATATATATCTCATTATGTATACGCTTTGAGTTTAAATGCAATCACATCATGTGCTAGCAAATGTAGCAGAATTGTGATCGAACAAATAATACAACAGATGATCAACGCGAACTACCATTTATATCATCACTTCAGAATATACCGATCAAGAAATGTGGCTATTTTCATCAACAAATATGGAAACAAGTGGAGAAAATCATATATCTCGCCATTTGCATATTATGACCAACAACCACATCCGACGATCACTTGTTATTAAAATATTGGCATGAAGCAATAGTACCAGAACATTTAAAGGAATTGGTAGCAGTTACTTTAACTGTTTCACTAACACAAGATTCAGTGGAGCGATCATTTAGTGCTCTTTCTGCTGTACTAAGTTAAATACATATAATTTATGTGAAATAAATATTTCAACTATGTTTTTAATAAGGTTCAACGAAAATTAATAAATTAAAAAAATAATACATATATTACAGCTTTTTTTATATATATTTATTTTAATATATCTGACTGTTACATTTATTTATTTATACATTATTAATTTATAAGCGTATAACACTGACCAGTTATTCAAGTGATAGAACTGAACTTTGACGGATATTTGTTCTAACAGTCACCATTTGACCAACTACCAACAATAATTTCCAATGTCTAATTTTGTGTTATCACACATAAAACACTGAAATCGTAATCAAATTACTCTCATTTTATATAAACAATTTCTTCATATTTACACTATTTTCTTCTATAAAAAATACCCGACTGGGTATAATATTATTCATTTACAATATTTGTTACATTATAATTAAGATTACTTTGTATGAAAATTGCATTGATATTGGATCGTCTCTGAATTTAAAATTAAACCTATTTCAGCTTGTTAATAATTGCGAAAATTTATATTTGAGCCGCAATTTGAAATAATATATTGACATTTTAATCAACAAATTAATTTGATAGCATTTGGAATTATTTGCATTTTAATGGCATGTGCTTCATACTCCTCACCATCAATAGAGTAGCAAAAATTACTTTTCGGATCTTGTGGTTTAGGGAATAATTTAATTTCTCGGCTTTTAAATAACATAGATGGTTCCAAAGCGTTCCGAGTTATATTAGAAATATTTTTGATAAAATCGAAGCCTGGTGAAAAATTGCTAAAAAAGCGAGTTTCCAGTTCATGCAAATCTTTTTCTTCGTGTCTGCACACTACTGACATTTGGTTTGTATCAACTTCTCCTTCTATACATTTAATACAGTCCTCATTTTCTATAAATTCGGCAGGATTTCGTTTGCGGCTTAAGTTTTTAAAAACAAAATTTCTTAATATATTGATCTCATCATTTTGCTTCTCTGGTATTAAACAATTCCGACACCCTGGACATGGTGGTGAGTAAATAAAACTAGTTGAAAGTTTCCAATTCAAATCATTAGAGAATGCATTTAAGAAAGCAGCTGCATAGTGTCGAAATCGGCCAAAGTACCAATATTTATCTTTAATGGATTCAATATCGCGTAATACTCCCCACGAAAAATTGTGTAGCCCATATATAGGTTTTAGGTTACTGTTCGCGGAGTCATTTTCTGTATTTATAATATTAAATTTGATTACGCTTTTGTATTGAAAAGAGTCATTAACTAATGGAATAATTGCCTCTGACATTCTCTTCACATATTCCACTTCGTTGTTAGTTACCAAACTAGGGGTTACATTGAAAATAGTCTTGTTTGTTTTTCCTAGCGGTAATATAAGTATTGGACACGGATTTTGTTCACGCCGTAATAGTCCAGTTACAACTTCAGACGACGTTCCATCTCCACCAGCCACTACAATCGCGTCCGGCAATGTTTTTAATTCTTCTACATATGACTTTGCATGGCCTACATAATTTGTTTGAAATACATTCACGGAATATCCAGCCAGATGAAGAAGTGGTTCGCAATATTTTTGAAACTGAAATAAACCAAAAATAAAGAAATATAAGGATTTTTATTTATAACGAATTATATATTTATATATAATATATATTTATATTATTATCAATTATAGGTTACTTGTCAAACTCTAAAATTGGTATGTTCTTAACTGTAAGATATATTTTAAAGGCGGTAAACTATGTCTAGTGTGTTAAGATGAATTTAACACATTTTTACATTGGATTTTTAAAATTTGTATAGTTAATTTAATAAATTCCATATATCCATATAATATTATTAAAAATATACTTTATAAAAATGACTGCCATTGGTAAGTGCTTCTTTTTTTTGGAAAATTAAACGGTTTAATTAATAGAAAACATTATACAAGCTTTTTGAAGTTACATTGGAATCTTGACCTTATTTTAAGAAATTAACTTACAGCGAAATATACAACACGCTTAGTTAAACAGAAGATTAATGTCATCTTACTGTATAATTTAAAATTGTTATAAAATTAAATTTTCATATTTTGTTTCATCAAACACCGCTCAAAATGCTAAAAGTACTAAAACTATGTGGAATGAGAACCTTATGCAAATTTGTTTATTTCAACATAATTGAATATAACTATTTTCCGTTAATGTTATATTATATAATAAAATTAAGAACCTATTTTCCCAGTGGGAAGCAGGCATGTTGTTTATAAACATTTTAGTTATATTCTCATAACTTTAAATTTGTTTAATGATTTAATAGTTGCGTTCGTCTTCACAGCAATAACATGTAATTTGTCATATATTTACCATTTTAAATGCCTTTTTGTTGTTTGCTGCTGGATTTACCACAACTAATACATGCTTCGGATCTACGGTACCGCCTGTGTAGCCAGAAATTAACTGGCTCATCGTTCTCATGTGGCATCTTATACTACATAGGAAAAATATTGTAGTTATAAAAATTATTTAAATCTCAAAACTCACTCGTATTTTTCTTTTAATACTAAGCCACCATAAGAAAGACCGACTGCTCCAAAACTTAGCTTCTTCCAATGATTTCTTGCAACCGTCAAATATTTCATCTTTCTGTTTACTTCTATTCAATAACTTGTGGTATTACTTAATATCTTACCACATTTTTGACGCAACATAGGGTGATGCCAAGAACTTTAAATTAAAGTTGCATTTCCTAATTTTGTAAAAGTGTGATATACATTGGTAGCTTTGGAGAGACAAATATATATATAATTTAATTGTAGAATTTATAACACTTATTAGACATAATATACATATATAATTTAAGTCTATTAATTGTACATGTATTAAATGCAAATATTAAGACCTAAAAAAATCTATGTCACGTACAGTAGAAATTCAAAACATCCTTAAAGTATCCAAAATATAAAATTTCTTCTACACAATTATTTTTTTAAAAACTTTCATTTTGTAAACATTTAAAAATGTTCTGTTTTGACACGTGACACAATACAATAAAAATACTATAAATGTAACAAGATCAGTTTATGAATTGTATGGTAAAAGTATAAAGTATATATAAATTTATAATTACTGTGTATTATTTTTTCCCACTATTTGAATAAAATAATTTAAACTTTTCAGCTAGGTTCAAAAACTGAAAAATAAATTTCTAAAGCTTTTCGAAAATAGATAGTGAAATCATAAGTTTTTTTTCATATATATAACTACGTAAAGAATTTTTTTAAAACATACTTTGGTAGTGAATATGTGAAATTATGAATAAAACACAAAAGGTATATTCCACAAGGTACTCGTAGTAACTTTGAATAACACTGTGTACACACAAGTGCGTTCCACCAGCAAATTTTTAAATAAATAAGAGCATCTGAGAGAGCGTAACATCCCTGTCGAAATTTGAAAATGCTACTCAGACTTTACTCGTACATTTTATTTCAAGTAAAATTTGTGTTGATGTGTGAATCAGCTGTTTTGGTTTGAATTTAAATTTTCTTACTGTTTACTTGCGCGACACTGGTATTCTCACCAAATATTACAGAGAGTGTTTACACCAACATTTCTTTTTTCGAATATGAAGTAAGTTAATAATCAACTGTTATGCTCATAACATTACTTTGGGAAAGTTGTAAATAAATTGAATAGTATTGTTATACTATTGACGTTTTCGATTGGTAAATCAAGATTCAATATTGGTTTACTCTAGATATTTCAGATTTTTCAGCTAGGTGTTGCCCAATTGAACATTATTAGAGTAATATAAAATTATTTTTGGTTGTGTTAGTAGACATTTACATATACCGAATCTGTTATAATCTAGTATGCCTTGCATTAGTTTAAGCAATTGCTTAAAGAACAACAAGAGTTCTCAAAAAATTTACTGAAACAACAACGTGAGTGGATGGACTCAATGTTCCAAAAACAAGGTACTGCCGGTGTATCTGAAAGAAATAACAACATTGTTCCAGTATTTCACAAATTTTCGAAAGAACAGCAAACCTGGGAATCGTACTTAGAACAACTTAACCAACATTTTTTAGCATATTCAGTTCAGTGCAGTGAAAAACAAAAATCATTTTTCTTGTCTTGGATTGGCACAGAAAATTTTGAGCGGCTAAAAAATCTTTTCGGTAACACGAAAGTACAAGAACAATCTTTCGAAAATTTAACGAAAAAACTAACGGATCATTTCCAGTCGAAACGACATGTGGTCGCTGCACGTTACGATTTTTTCAAAAGGGAAATTAAGCCACATCAATCATACAGAGAGTGGGTAGCAGATCTCCGCGGATTGGCAAGAGAGTGTAACTTTTCGTGCCCAGCCCAGAATTGTTTGCACAATTTCGTGGATGATATGATTCGTGACCAAATTATTATACGTACACCTCACGATGCAGTGCGCACGGCTGCGTTCCAAAAGCCCCAGCCGACACTTGCTGATGTTTTGCAGATTGCAGAATTGTACGAAACAACCACTAAAACGGTGGCAACAATTAAAGAACAAACGATCGAAAACTCAATGCCTGTTAATTCAGTTGGTACATAAAAAAGCCGGGTGTTTTCAACAATAACAATAATAAAGTAAAATTCAAATCATGTTCTGGCTGTGGAAACTCTCATGCAAGAGAAAACTGTAAATTTAGAAATGCTGTATGCAATAGATGTAGCAAAATTGGACATATTGCGCCAGTGTGCATGTCAAAACAAAACAAGAACAACAAACGTAGTTCAGGTGATGAAAACAAGAAGAAGGATTATCGTCGTAAAAGTCACAACATTGGTACTGTTGAAACAATTAACAGTTTAACAGGTATTGTAAAAACTGAAAGCAATAAGAATTACATTGACTTGGAAATTTGTAATAAAATTGTGTCTTTCCAAATGGATTCTGGTGCAACAGTTTCTCTAATAAATAAGCGAACATTCAAAACTCTAAATTGCCCAAAGTTGCGAAATTGTACAAAAACCTTATTTGGTTTTGGCAAAAATGAAATTCCAGTGCTTGGTGAACTTTGCGTAGATATCAAATGTGGCGGAAAAAAAAGGGAAGTGGTAATCGTTGTCGTGGATGTCGAAAACTGTAACAATTTATTCGGTTTCGATTTATTTAAAGAATTCGGGTTTGAGATTCAGCAAATTTGTAACATTACTGAAAGTGATTCACACAGAATTAGCGAGCTGTGTAAGAAATATGGTGATATTTTTGAACCAGCTCTTGGCACAATCAAAAACTTTAAGGTCAGTATTTTTTTAAAGCCAAATGCACATCCGAAATTTTACAAAAGCCGACAAATTCCATTTTCGCAAATGTCACGTTTCAAGAAAGAAGTCGATCGATTGACAAATGCGGGTATTTGGAAACCTGTGAAGTTTTCCCAATGGGCTTCGCCTATTGTACTAGCGCCAAAAGCTGATGGTTCCATAAGAATTTGTGGAGATTTTAAACAAGCAGTCAATGCGCAAATTGACATTGAACAATATCCTTTACCCATACGCGAAAGTCTTTTCCATAAAATTAATTGCGGTCAACATTTTACAAAAATCGACCTTAAGGACGCGTATTTACAAATGGAACTCGACGATGAAGCAAAAACAATAATGGTTGTCAACACTCCACTTGGTTTATTCCAATACCAACGTTTACCGTTTGGGATTGCAAGCGCTCCAGCTATATTCCAAAGATATCTTGAGCAGTTACTTCAAGGCGTAGAAGGTTGCGGAAATTATCTCGATGACATCATCATCTCCGCACCTACATTTCAACAACACATCAGCCGCCTAGAACAAGTACTTCGTATTTTGCAACAAAATGGTATCAGGTGCAAGCAAGAAAAATGTTTCTTTCTGCGAGATAAAATCGAATATCTCGGGCGTCAAATTAGTGCAAAAGGTATATTGCCAGATGAGTCAGGACTAAAAGCAGTAAAAAACCTGCAGCCGCCTAAAGATCTAAAGCAAGCAGAAGCATTCATGGGTAAGGTAAACTATTACCATAATTTTATACCTAATTTTTCGCAATTATCCGCGCCAATCAACATGCTGCGCCGAAAAAATGTAAAATTCACATGGGGTACAGCACAACAACAAGCATTTATAGCTCTTAAAACGCATATTCTCAATGCAGCGCAATTAGCACATTATCAGGAAGATTTACCGTTGGTTCTAGCTACAGATGCCTCCTCCTATGGCATAGGAGTTGTGCTCTCGCATACGTACTTTGACGGTACAGAAAGGCCTATTGCTTTTGCATCTAAAACTCTCGACATTCATCAACGACGATATAGTCAGATAGAGAAGGAAGGGCTAGCTATCGTTTTTGGAGTCAAGCGTTTCCATCAATATTTATACGGAAGAAGATTCACCTTGGTTACTGACCACAAACCTCTTGTTAGCATTTTTAATCCAATTCATCAGTTGCCGTCGATGACGTCACATCGTTTACAGCGATGGGCTATTATACTAATGGCTTATCAGTATGATGTTCGGTATCGTAAAACTACTGAGCATGGATATGCCGATGCTTTATCTCGTTTACCTGTTGGTGAAGATAAAACTTTTGATCATGAAGAATCCTGTTTCAACATCAATGAACTTAACACACCTATCGACGCTGAAATAATTCGTCAGCATGCCAAAAATGACCCAATTCTTCGCCGAGTTTATTTTCTCGTTACAAACGGTTGGCCTGAAAAGCTAATGCCTCAAGATGCTGATCTTCGATCATTTTTCAATCATCGCTTTGCTTTAATACTAAACAACAATTTACTTTGCCTCCAGACGGAGTACAACCGGGTTGTCATTCCAGCCTCCCTTAAGCAGAAAGTGCTTAAACTTCTTCATGATGGTCATTGGGGAGTATCGAGAATGAAACAGCTAGCTCGACAACATGTCTGGTGGACTAATATTGACAAAGACATCGCACAATTAACTGAAAATTGTGATGTGTGCAAAATTGCAAATCCTGTTCACGCACGTGAATACGTAAGCTGGCCTGAAGCTGATCGACCTTGGGAGAGAGTACATATCGACTTTGCTGGTCCATTTTGTAATTCAATGTGGCTAATTTGTGTCGACGCTTTCTCGCAATTTCCGTTCGTTGTACAACTATCTACAACAACAACGGTTGACACCATATCAGCATTGTCTTCTATATTTTCTCTGGAAGGTATACCAGAAACCATCGTAAGTGACAATGGTCCGCAATTTACAGCTGAAGCATTCAAACATTTTTGCTCAAAACTTGGCATCAAACATATAACAACAGCGCCGTTTCATCCAGCCTCAAACGGGTTAGCCGAACGATTCGTCAGATCTTTTAAAACTGCTGTTAAGAAAAACATTGACGATGGATTGTCTCTCAAATTCGCTGTATCAAAATATCTTGCAACATATCGTGCAATGCCGAATGCTGAAGGTAAATCACCTGCAGAACTTCTACATGGAAGGCCTGTTCGTACCTTGTTGAGTCAACTGTTTGAATCGCCTAGGAAGCACCTTGAAGCTTCGAAACGGAAAATGAAATTCAGTCTAAAGCAACCCATCTTCGCTCGAAACTACGCAAGAGGGGAAAAATGGATAAAAGGAGTTATTGTGAAACAACTTGGTAAAATGGTTTACCGAGTGAACACATCTTTTGGTTACATCAAACGTCATGTTAATCAGCTTAAAACTAGTAGTAGCTCTGACCTCTCTTCACAACCAATTTTTGAATTCGCTCCAAATTTCATCAATGCCACACCGCCTTCATCTAGCCAATCAACATTAATGCCTAGTGAAGAACGTTCTACCGAAGTAGTTCAACTTCGAAAAAGTGGTCGTATTCGGAAGGATGTAATTCGATTTGAATCCGACGATTTCAGGAAAACAAACTTTGTCAAAAATTAAGGGCGGAGAAAGTGTTATAATCTAGTATGCTTTGCATTAGTTTAAGCAATCTTAAGTAATGAAATGTAAACAAAATTTAGTTAAATATAAACTGTCAATCTTGTCGGTTGTATTTACTTCAGAATCAAATCACAGTTTATCTGTTAAATCATATAAACAGGTGTTAATTTCAGAGAAACCTTTCTACTCTGTCAAAATATCTAGAGTGTTATAAATTAATCTATAGTGCAAATAATCGAAATTCGACATTTTTGACATAAGAAACAGAACGTAATCGAACAAAAAATCAGCAAATGAAAAGAAGATGCAAAACTTTTTTAAATACTTTTTTTTATAAATAAAAAGTATGATTGATATATAAAAACGAGTTTATATATCAAGCATATTTTTGATATCATTATATAATGTTATATATTATTTAATAAAAAATATTAATTTCAGTTAAATAATAGAAAAAAATGTACATTTATAATTGGCTTGTAATTAAAAAAATAAGATATTAATTTAAGGTTAAGACGATGGATAAATTAATCGATATGGAAGAGCGATATTATCAGTTTCTGGAAAATAATGACAATGAGCTAGTTAAAATTATGCGGTCCAAAGTAATGCTTTGACGCGAATAGCGGCAGTGATGGAAAGGTGGTACTAGCACCAAAGAGTCATAACGAGCGGAAAATCAAGTGAGTAGTCAATATATTTTATTTTTAATTTTTTATTTATTATTAACATTGTTAAAGTGTGTTTTATTTTTATAAATGAAATAAATACAGTTTTTACAAATTGTAATTTAAGTTATTAGTGTTAATATAATTTTTTGATTTATTGTCAGTATAGTTTTAGGGTATTTTGTTTTACTATATTTACTATAGTTTCTATTATTAGTTTTACTATAGTTACTATTTACTATATTTAAAGATTAACGATAAAACTTATTAGATTTAAAAAAATTTGAATGTAATATTAACTTTAATTTAATATATAATTTTTTTTTTAATTTAATAAAACTGTATTTTTTGTGTTATTTGTGCAGTGTTATTCTTTGCTTCTTAATAGTTAGCAATTTTTATTGATACATGTTGTTGTTCATAATTATTACATATTAAATTATTTGGATATTCTGCTTTTTCCATACTGAATTATTTTCTTCTAATAATACAAAATTTAATGTCATCTGCTTACAATTGAATTGTAAACAAAGTAAAGCTCTACAACTAGAACTTTTTAATACATGCCTTAAGTAACTTGTGCTAATGTAAACGACAAAAAGCTCAATGTTGCTAAGTTATTTACTTAGTAAGCAGTGGAAACGCAGTATTAAGTAACTTATATAAATTACTGCACTAGTATAAGAAAGCCAGTGGAAACTTATAAGGTCTAAGCAGATGATAACTACACTCAGTGATTTTAATCAGAATCAGAATTTCTTATTTAATGACTTAAAGTGTGCTATTATTTAATGCACGGCAAAATAGGTTAAAATTTAAGTTAATAGTAAATTGATTGAACTTATAAGTTTATCCATTTTTCATTTGTTTTTAATTTATAAATTAAAATTGATTTATAACAAATAACTACAAACTTATTAATTGTAAATATTATTTTAATTAATTAGTTTCATTATATCAATGAATATAAATAGGATTTATTTAAGAAAATATTTGAAATTAAAACACAATAATTATTAAAACGCCTTTTCAAAGAAGTCAAAAAAATTTCGCAATGTCGGTAACACTTAATAAAATATAGTATATTAAATATTATAACTTTGTGTTCAGTAAAGCTTATTTAAATTCATTAAGATAAGCTTATTACCTTCAAAATTTTGTTGTTTATTTTTGTTTCCAAGCTACTTGCACGGCTTTATTTACTGTTTTTTTCACCCAATAATTGCTACATTTAAAATAAAGAATAGATGCGATAGCGTTAACACAGTTTTGCTGAACATTTTGTGCCAAAACGCCAAACTAATATAATTTTCCACAGCTCTTAAATATTAGTACATATCGCACACTAAATTTTAACTAATTTGGTTACCAATAATTGAGTGTCGCTAAATGTTTTATTTTACAATTACAATCAATTAATATTTTATGTGTATTTTGTAGTATATTCAAATCAAAATTCGACTAGTTTAAGTCTTTAAGTATTTTGCGTTGTAAAAATAGTGTTTAGTAAAAACTAAACACATTTTTTACTATTACAATCTCATCAGTGAGAATTATTATTTATCTATTGCTGTCCAAAAGGTGATTCAGATATTCCCAGATGTAATCCGAATTCGAAAGTAAACGAACTTATTTCTACGAATACGTTCATTACCTATTAGTTGTGGCGGTTGCACATTCACCACTTAATATTGAAAATGAGATGAGTTGGCCATACAAGAAAATTTGTAGAAAGCTAAGGATATTTTTATTTAGTCAAAAAATGATTGTCATTCTACTTGCGATCCGGAAATCAAACAACGAACACGTATAATTTCATCACACGAAATTGAATTATTATTACTTGCTTAAGTAAACAAATAGACAATTAAATTAAGTAGGGTAAACCTATTACTTAAAACATATTACTAGGCTTTTTAACTACTCTTTTAATATTGCACTTGATTACAGTTAACAAAATTTAGTCTTAAAATAATTATAAATTTGGTTCTATAATACTTACTCAAAAACAAAATAATGTATCAACACATTAATTCCAATACAAAAAAAAGCATACAAACTAATTACTTTTATACCAATTACTTAATTTTTTGTAAATAACGTTTGGTAAAGTCATCAACAAAATCCGCATATTCTACTTTATAATCTTAAATTGCAAGATTATTACACAACATTTCGTCAACACCTAATTTTTTTTCAATCTAAATTTAAATTTCCTGCATCCTAATTTTAGCTGCATTTTGTACTTTCTTTGCAATTGGTAGTCCAATTGTTTTCAAACTCATTTATATGAGATAAAATTGACTTAATTATTTATATATGTAATTTATGAATTATAAATGAAATTTTATATAAAATTTCCTTATGGCAAATTGTACTTTATTTTGCACTCGTTAATGTTTATAAAATTTTCGCTACATTATATATGAAAGTATAAAATTCAATAGGAAAACATATGTATAATACAGAGTAGTTTACAAGCACTGTAAGACCCTACACTGATGTCAACATAAAAGCTTTCTTTTACGTTTTATATTTATTTTAATGATTTTAACAACTTTAAGTCTTTTTGGTTCCGGAAACAAAATTGTTTTAGCTTTATAACATTTTTTTAATTAAAAACGATTTACTTGTTTTCTATAAAAATATGAATTATGGTGTAAGTTACGTTCCCTCACTTGGAGCACACGAGTCAATGTCAGAATCACTATCACCTGTTTGCGGAGGATGTTCTAGTACATGATCAATAAGTCCAAAAGCAACAGCTTCAGTAGCAGACATAAAGTTATCACGTTCCATTTTTTTTTGTAAAACTTCGTAATCTTGGTTAGTGTGTTTTACATATATGCTGGTCAATTGTTTCTTTAACTTCATTATTTCTTCAGCTTGAATTTGTATATCAGATGCTTGGCCCTATGACAAAAAAAAACAATAAGTTTTCTAAAAATGAATTGATTTTTGCTATACCTGAGCTCCTCCAGATGGTTGATGAATCATTATACGAGAATTCGGAAGAGAATACCTCATTCCAGCAGCGCCAGCAGTTAATAATAATGAACCCATTGAACAAGCTTGCCCAACACACCATGTTGCAATTGGTGGTTTAACGTACTGCATTGTGTCGTATATGGCTAAACCGGCCGTAACCACTCCACCTGGTGAGTTTATGTACATGTGTATAGGTTTGTTTACGTTTTCTGACTGAAGAAATAATAATTGTGCTACTACAAGTGAACTCAAATCGTCGTGGATTGGTCCCATTAAACATATAATGCGCTCTTTAAGTAGACGAGAAAATATGTCATATGCACGCTCTCCACGTCCAGTTTGCTCAACAACCATAGGTATTAGGTGAATACCGCGAATAGAGCCGGTATTAGCACACCGAATAGCAACAGAACCATTGTTTATCTACATTTTAGATTATTAAGAAATATATAATTCTAATTATGAAGTTTCAAGCATTAAAAGCTATTGTTAACTCACACATAATCTAGATAAAGCTTTTATTGAACTCCGTAACATTTTAATTCTCTCTTATTCAAAATAAATAATTTGCTAAAAATTTTCTACAACGTCAAAAACATAATTGTTACTTAAGAATAGTGATACCAGACTATATAAAAAAAGTACACAATGTCAAACCAAAACGAAATTTTTGTGCTGCCACATTTATATTTTGTATAACACATAATAAGTCTGTTTGCATTTGTTTCCAGTACAGAAAAATGATATCAACATCAGTATAAACTTTAAAATGAGCGTAAGAGTGAACTATATACAAAAATTAAGGCTACTATAAAGAAAATCGTGAATGTAATGACCGAATTATGTGGAATCGCTAGCTGTTAAGCACATATTGGATTCCTGCACAATTTTAGATTCTTGTACAAAAGATTAGAAACCCTCATTTTGCAAACTTATGTTAATCAAAATTTTTAGTTAAACCTACATTTACAAATAATAATTTATTACTAATTTGCATTAAAGAATGTAATACAATTAAATTTAATTAATAATTATATAAAGAGGTTTTCGAACAACAACAAAAATTTATTTTTTAAATTATTTTAATTAACTGAATTTTAATAATTATATAAAAACATCAAATTGTTTTTTAATCGAAATTTTATTTTTTTTTTTTAGTTTTAGTATTGTATATATGACATCTTATTTAATATATAAATAAAATAATTTAAAATTTAAAATTACGGAATTATATCTCAGAAAAATAGGCTGTAGAGAAAGTACAAAAATGCATTAAAGTGAAATATATTAAAGCAAACTGTTTTATATATTTCTCTATTGCATTCGTTTTCACATTTTGAAATTGTCTTGATGGCATATTAAATATTATTATCTCTTAAAGCATATGATATATAAAAATTTTTTTTTGGGTAAACATACATAATTGCTAATCATACATAAAGCAAGTGTCAGCTGCTAGTTAAATTTTTTCGCTTCTTGTGTCAACTGTCATTGTTACAAAGTTTTTATACTATTTTTGTAAAATTTCATTAAATTTGATTATTATTATTTTTATTTCGATTCTAATAAATATATAAATTATATATATAATTTAAATAGCGTAAATTGTAGAAATTCTGAGTTATGATGATATGTGATTAATTCTTGAATTCTTGAAAATAATTTAAATTTTGTTAGATAACTTCACCAACAACAGGAGCATAAAAAGAGACCATGTGCAGCAAAACCTTGGTGTGCAAATAAAATACATAGAATATCTTTTGGATTTAAATAAAAGAAATAAAAAAATTTCAGCATATAAAATACTGACGAGACTTTCCAAATGCTACTAAATTTTGTCGAAAAAGATTTGAAAAAATAACCTGCAAGATGTTACACTTTTATTTCTTCAGAGAAACAACTATATGTGACCTGACTATATTTGACTACTAAAGAAGTGATCAAACGTTAGAGTACCCATCGCATTTATATATAATATTTTGTATATCTGAAGTTTTCAATGCGATATGGGACAACATAAAGTATTTCTATTTGAAGGTTAATAAAATATTTATTTTGAAAACATTTTTTTGAAAATTTAATTGAATTTCATCATTATTTATAATATATATTATTATTATTGTTATTATATCTTAAATTAAGGACTCAGTCATCGAAAATAAGAGATCTTATAAGAATATTCAACAAAAAACAATTAACTCATTGTTTTATTCCATAACTCAAAAGCATCTATTGTATTATTGCTTTAAGGTAAAAATAAAACGCATTATTTCGAAATAAGTGAGTTTTATTCATTATCAGTGCAAAATAAAACTGTTTTCACTATTATGTGATAAATTATTTGTTTCCAATATACTGATATATTCAAACATGTTCTCAATCATGCTTGCGTGTGCTTGCATGCTATAATGGGCCCGGATTGTTATGCAAATCCGTGATTGTTATTGAATTTTTAAAATATTTGTGATATTTCTTACGAAAGTGATAAAATTTAATATTTAGTTGCAATACAGTTATGTTTTTATTTTTAAATAGAATTACGTAGTTTTTAAATTTAAACATTATAATAGATTAATCGACTTACCTTTTATCTAATATATAAATGCATTAATAACAATGACAGATAAGAGTTAAATAGAACAAAGAAGCGTAGTTTTTGTACGCTTTTTAAAAAACTAGAGACATAAATTAATATTTACTAGTTAATATATTATCAAAATGTCTTGGGAGCACTTGAGACCAGGAAGTTCGCCTGTGGATTGGTGCGAAGGAAATTATATAATATCCACAAACATAGCAGAATTCGTTAATACGGTATATAATTATAGTTAATTTATTTTTATTTTATTGACTCTATGCACAATCATAAAACTAATTCTTATTAATAAAGTGTAGGACTGATAATCGGTAATAGACACAAAGGAAAATTGCTACGCATTTGTATATAAATATACTTAAGTAATATATACTATCTGTTTTTATCCTAAAATTGCAATAAGTTTGTATGTAATAAAAAAGTTTTTGATTATTCTTAATCATGTAACTATGATTAGCAAATAAAAAGTGATAATTACCTACTTAATCTGCCTTGACTATTTAAATCGTATCTATCGAAAAAAAAAAATTTGGAATTCTATACATTATCTTTAGTTTGTAAAGTTTTTACATACATACACACATGCCTACATTTTCTACATACTCCAATCGAAAAAGTAATTTCTTAGACTACTAGTACTTCCTTAGTGGTAATCAACTCATTGGCTGTACTGAAAAATTTTTATTGTTAAACTAAGAATAATCAAAAATCTCTTGTTGATGAGACAGTAGAACAGAACATAAATAGGTCAAATTGTTATTGTCTAGGGAAATTGTTACTTTCTGGATTTTTCAGTCGAAGGCTTGTTAATAATCGAATTGGAATATATTCGTTGTTCTGAAGAATTGATCTAATTTGTTTAGATTACCTCTTTTAACTGCCAGTAGCAAAACCCTCTGATCTGTCAGATGGTGCCAAAACCACATAAGGTGGTGAGTATCAAGATTATTCAATATAACATGTAAATTTCTAGCAAGCAAAAGATAGATCTGGGAAATATCGCAATAGAAATGCCACTCGACCTTCATAGTATATAGTGCTATTTTTACGTCAAAGTATAAAGCCAAAGAGATTCGATCTATATCTTGGTTTAATGTCTTCTATCTAGCACTTATATTGTTAACGGCAATTTTTAACATACAGTGGCAAAATATTTTCAACAGTGCAATTTCAGACCATTACATCTAAGAAAGAAAGTATTTAACTTAAAGTCAAAAGAAATTATGAATGGGCATTTCTATTTAGTTTAAAGTAGAGTAGACACCTTTAGGTGATGAGAGGAACAGTTTAGCCTAAAGAGAGAAAGTTTGTTGGAACTCCTAATTTCTATTAACAAGAATTAATAGAATTATTAAATGTAAAAACATCAAAACTTTTAATGTTAATTTTTTCTTGCCGAAAGTGACGCGATTCGAATAGCAAAGAAAATACAAGGATAAAAATTTATTATAATTTATTGAAATTTGGCTGACCATACAACGCTGTTTTGAGTATTGTCAAATACTCATCATCAGTGGTGTTAGGATAAATTTGATAAAACTAATTTCTTAATTAGTTTATAGTCCGTATATAATTTGATTGGACTTCAAGTGACAGGCTTAGAATTCGTGCCTATCACATTAGAAAATTTCAGTTATGTCATTGTTATTGTTTTTTTCCTTTTGTTTATAATATGTAAGTATTTTTAAGCAGCATATATAGAAATTGCAGTATATATAAGCCATCATTAAGTTGCCCTGAGAAAGAAATCACTCATAAAAGGTGGAATATATAAAAAATTTGTAATTACAACGTTGTTTTGTTTTTGTTTTACTGAGCTAATAAGAAATAATTATTTCTTAAATTTACACTGATGCTGTTAAAACTATAAAAAAATTGTATTTTTATTTAAAATAGTTTTTAATTAGAAGTTGACAAATTATGGAAGTAGCAGGTGGATTATCAATATGGTATGAGTATTTTTGACAGTATGTAGTTGTTACTTCTGTAACTTTTGGAATTCCAAGATAGTCGTAATTCTGTACATTTCACACAGAATTTCACAGCACCAGCTCTTTGTCGGAGTAATTTATTTTGTATTCCCTGTGTTTTCTCAACATTACAGAAACATATTGATCTCCCGAGTTCTATGCCAGAACCTTTCTTCAACACTTAACTATCAATTTCTGATAATAAGCTAGTATAGTGACTATGATGTTAATTTTATTTGAGTTCTTTTACTTTCTAGGTGCTTAGTCCAAGACAGCCTTTGGCCTAGATATTTTACATTATTTTTTTGATGTATAGTGATATTCTTCAACTTAACTGAAGGGCATGTTTGCTTTCGCTTCGCTTATGTGTGCCAAACTCCGTTAAAAACTTGAGCACTATCCAATAGTAACGCTGTAAATTTTTATTGTCTTGTTCAATAGTGTTATGTCCTGAACTGAAGCTAAGTTATGTATCACCTCTTCAGGCTATTATATCATCATCATACTCGATAGCATTTTCTTACGGATTTTAGATTATTGATAATATATATATAGCAGAAGCAGTTTGCGTTCACTTACAAAATTGTGCTTAAATTTCGCATAACTTATTTAATTTTTACTCAAATTGATTTTTGTTTTCTGATTTATTTTAACCAAAGCAACCACAACCACAATAAAGTTCAAACACAAAAAATTAACAGCTATTTTTTAAAAAGAAAAATTAAACACAATTATATACAAAAGCAGCAATTTTCGAAACAGAAAAAGTCTGCGTACAATAATCGTTGTACGACTCCCAGATAATACTCTGCACTCACTACCTGACTTTCTGCAATAAATTTATTGTGAATAATATATGAACATATTTGCGCGCTTTTTGACATAAACCGCGCAACTATTTCGTTTGCCCAAATGTTCGAGGATTTTGTTTTACTTTAACGATGTTTTGTTTATAACAAGAGGTTTTTGGTAACGGCGCACAGACATTTAGTTGAAAGTTCATACAATCGCCACGAAATCAGCAAAATCAGCGAAAATCTACGACCAGGACTTGCATACCTTCCTGTGAACTTTTTCAGCACATTTTTACATTTTTAAGCCATTTTTATTCAATTTCAAACAAAGTAATATTCGCTCTTGTTTTGTGTTTTTTTTTTCGAATAAAGAAACAAAAAAGTGTATATCAAATACTATTTAAAACGCCTCCACAATCACCTGATCTCAATCCCATTGAGCATCTTTGGAATTTATTGGAAAAAAGAATTCGTCAGCATATGATAACAAGTAAAGAGGCTTTGCGGATTATAGTGCAAGCAGAATGGGCGAAAATTTCTGCTGAAGATACTCAAAAGTTGATTAATTTCATGCCAAACAGATTAAGTGAAGTTCTAAAACATCGTGGCAACCCAACAAAGTATTAAATTTTGCCTTATTTTTAATATTTCTACCGATTTTATCAGCTTTTTATATAACTGTACGCAGACTTTATGGGGTCTATATTTACATGCAGGGACACTTTTGTCCCGTATCTCAGGAATGAACAAACGAATACAATTTTTGTCTTTTGCTATTTAAACTTAAGGTTTCAAAGAATAAATATATGTAAAAATTTTAATTTAAAATATTTATTTATGTTGTGTTTCTTTATCACATATAAAAATTCCTAAGGTGTACGCGGACTTTATTGGCTATGTGTATATAGTATAGAGTTAGGCGATTGAAGTATTATCTATTCAAGCGACCATATCTTTGTGTGCAAAATCAGTTAAGTTAAATGGTGTATTTTCGTCCACCAGTATAACAGTTGGCGACTCTACCTGTACTATTATAACGATTTATAGTACAAACATTTTATTTATTTTGAGGTGTTTGAGTCGCTGGGTGCGACTTTCCAGCCTAATATAACGCAATCATACTATTATGGTTATGATAGCTTGTACAACAGTTGTCAATATCAGTTTGACAGATATACCTGTATGTAGTTGGTAAAGCTTCAATCGTTAACCCTGTATATTACGCCCAAACTCCAAAGGTGTTCTACAAGTAAAATACGTACATATGTATGTTTCAACATTAGACACTTTTTCTTTAATAAATTAACTCAAAAGGTAAACGGTTTTGTAGCATAAATGTATTGTAATTACTAAACGGCTTTACCACGACTTTAATCAAAAAAATATATTTATTCACATTGTTTTATTCAAACTAAATATAATTCCGATGAGGGTACGCAGATATGTACGTAGAATATCATGAGCTATAATTCCGTTGTTTTTAAAAGATATGATTTTTTTCTTTAATAAAAAATTGATTTCCTTATATGGCCAAATTTAAAATGGAATTTCCACAAATTTATTTTTGTACAATTGATATCACATTTATCATTTGTTTTGCATAAAATTCATTACTGTATAAAAATTTGTGCTAAATATTGTATTAAATATTGTCTATTTTTCTTTTTTCAGATTAGTAATGTTCTCTTTATTCTATTACCTCCCCTGTTAATTCATCTTTTTAAAGAATATGGACGGTTTGTTACCCCTGGAATACATATTTTATGGATTCTGCTTATAATAGTTGGGTTAAGTTCTATGTACTTTCATGCGACACTTAGTTTAATTGGACAATTGCTTGATGAATTAGCGATTTTATGGGTGTTCATGGCTGCTTACTCGTTGTTTTTTCCTAAGCGTTATTACCCACATTTTTGTCAAAATGATAGGTAAAGTTGAGTTGGTTTGAACTATTATATTTAATATTAATTTTAATTTATTTTTAATACACTTAGAAAGTCGTTTCGAATATTAATGCTTGTGCTTGCTATAACTGCTACTGGGTTATCTCTTTGGAAACCCATTGTTAATGCGTTTGTTCTAATGGGAATGGGAGTACCAACTATGATAATGCTTTATAAAGAATTGCAAAGGTGCGTAGCAGTCAGATTTTTTAATAATTCTTTCCATATGATGTTTATTTTAAAATGACCTAGTTATATTTTTTTTTATTTTTATTAATACGTTATGTGAAAAAAATGGAATAATTTTGTAACGTTCAATCTGTTTAATGGGTGTTTTACAGGGTTTCGTTAACTTAATTTTCGTATACATATGTACTGAATCAAATAAATCAATTTGAAGTTCCGAAGAAGAAGAAAAATGCAACTTTGTTCTGTATTCCAAATTTTTAAAGGCATGCAAATTTTTATTTTTATTTCAATGAAACATTTTTAGTTGATCTGTTATATGTTTTAATATAAACTTAAAGCATATGATAATAGATAATATAGTGGAACATTATAGAGGAAAATATAATTTCACATGTAATAACTCCAATTTTAAAAATGTAGTTTAGCATAGAGAAGAACTGAGTCTATGATAGAAAAGTGGTCTTTAGTCAAACATGTTACTATTTGCGCGACTTCACGGATAACTACCAGACTAACAATCTGGGTTATTTTTACAAATGAGACATCACTTCTCAGTAAAACAACACCATACAAATTCTAATACCATCTCAACAAAATAAGTCTGACTGTGATAACAATATGTCGATTCTCTACTTAATGACTGTCCGTCTTTACACTGCCGGAAGTTTCCATACTCAACTGGCGTTCACACCATGAGACATCTGCACATTCAATGAGCTACATTTCTTTCACTCTTGTTTTCTATTTAGGACTGTTGGGAGCTTGTACCCTATATATTTCAATTGTATTTTCCTATCGAGTAGAACTTGGGTATTTATGACCATGCTATAATTCCATTGCAGTTATATGTATTTTAAAGTATTTAAAAATAAAACAGTTTTAGCCACTTGTTTGTTATCTGTTTAATCAGTCTGTCTGTCCGTCCTAAACTTTATTACAGCAAGTATGTTATTAAAGTTTCAACTACAGCTATTTGATAAAAATATATATAGCGTGTTTTTATAAGAGGCGTCGTATTTAAATTGGAACGAAAACTTTTTTTTTTTTTTTTTTTTTTTTTTAATTTTATTTTCTTTTATTGCGATCTGTCATTCAGAGTAGACAATAAACAATATTTAAAAGTTACTAAATACTTAAAAGACCATTTTGAGCTTGAATGGACTGAGCTCAGTAGCACATCCGTCTGTTGAAGTCGGACACATTAAAGGAACGAAAACTAACACTTACTAAATAAGTAATTACTTGTTTATTCATAGATTATTTTTTAGCATTAACGACAAATGGCACCTTTGACCACATTAGTCTATTTCGTTTTGACTTAACTTCTTACCAATACGTACCGACTAACTGAGCCGGTAATTTAGAGTAGAGCGAAAGTTTCTATCGGCAGTTAATGACATGTCATGTCAAAACTCCATTGCTGAAACCGAAGATAAAGATATTATAATGCAGAATTTACGTTCGTTTCTGTTACTTGAAAAATTTAATTTTTGAATTGTTTCTTTTATTATAAAATTAACTTTAGGGTGATTTCAATTTAATACATAAAGATAAAAATTATTTTTGAAGTTTTTTATAACATTTGTTTTAAAATTCTCTAAAAACTTTAACTATGAATTGTGCACCTTATTAAGTCAATATACTAAAATAAAAACTTTAGAAAGAATAAAATAATTTTTATATGTAATTGAATTTAAATAATTTTTTTCTATAATTTTAGAGTTAAAGATCAGCGCGTATATCGTTTGGGCATTCGTTCCACGGCTGTTTGGTTGATTGCCGTATTTTGTTGGGTAAATGATAGGATGCTTTGTGATCTTTGGTCGGCAGTGAATTTTCCGTACTTGCATGGATTTTGGCATATCTTTATATTTATAGCTGCATACACAGTGTTGGTATTGTATGCATATTTTTATGTTGAAAATGAATTACCACAAAAAAGAGCTTTATTAAAATATTGGCCAATAAACGAATTTGAATTTGGCATACCATTTATTTATATTAGAAATCCTGGAATGTATTCTAAAAGTACAATTTAACTTAGGTTGTTATATGTATAAGTCACATAATAAAATTGCTGCTGATTATATTGCAAAATCTAGTTTAAAATCTTTATGCTATTAGTGAAATAAATAGTAATGACCTCAAAAATATAAAAACATATTTTATTTAACAAATTGTTTGTAAGTATAAATAATACGAATTACGTGAACTTTTTGTAAAATTAGTTAAAAATGAAAATGAAATAAAATATAAAAAAAAAAACAAATGACTTAATAACTGAAAAAATATTTTTCGCATTGCAAGAATTATTTCTAATCCAAAGTTTCGTATAAATAATATTAAATATTAGTCATCATGATAGTGGTAATAAAGTAAAATCAAAAATGTTTTGGTCAAACTACTAAGAAAATTATATATTTTATATTTATATAAAAATGCTGCGCCTCTGTCTCAACAACACATTTCAAGTTTTAAAAATTTTTTTTATAATTATACAAGTATTTGAATACAACTTTCTTAAATTACTGTTGTTATAATAACCCGCTGAGATCTACTTGTAAAATACCTTTGGGAGGTGGTGAACGATACTTGGTCGTTGTTGTTGTGGTGGGTGGGAAAGTAGTTGGGGAAAGAGGTTGGTGATGAAGGGAAAAACGAAGATAAGGGGTGAATTGACTGGGTGGGATTTAATTGAATATTAACGTCCGCGTTTAGTTCTGTTATTTAAATCAGGTAAAAACCAGATTGCCCATCGGTATACCGACGTCTGTGCAATTGGTATAATCTTTGAACGAATTATCACAAATAGGCTACAAATAACAGTATAATCCTGTAATGGCTTGTCAAAGAAGTAGTTTGGATTCAGAACTGGTAAATCCACAATATATGTAATTCGAATGGTGACAGAGATAGCATGTGAAGCTACAAGTGGCACCAGATGGAGATTTGGTGATAAAAAACACTGCACGCTACTGACATTTTATGTAAAAAATGCCTTCAATACAGCGAGCTGGTCAAAAATAATGAACGCATTAAACGATCTCCTACGTCTAATGCGCATGAGGTTTCAGGTTACCTACGCAGAATCATAGTAAATTACTTTAATAACATATTACTTTTCTATGACACAAATGAGGGAGTGAAGCAGTATATCGTATCCAAAGGTGTACCACAAGGATCAGTGTTGGGACCGACATTGTTGACGATCTTGCGGTGGCAAAAGTTCTCAAGACGACTGAAAAACTATAGGCGACATGCACTATATCAGTCAAAGTGATTTCAGAAAAAACAAGCGGTTCTTAAAAGCACCAGAAATGTGAAATAAGTAACAACTTTTAGGACAGGAAGCGGTGAAATAATATTCAAATCATAAGGCTACACGTGTAAATGCCGCGTTATCACGTAAATATTGGTGGTTTATGACCAGGCAAACGGAAATAACTAGCAAATGAAGTAAGCTCCATTATACTCTATGCGGTATCAGTTTGGGCTGATGCTACACGTAAGAAAACTTACTTGTCTGGCGTAAAATCAACGCCTCGCCTTTATGCATTGAGAGTCGCCAGTGCCTTTTGCACAGTCTCAAATGAGGCAATAGTAGTAATAGCGAGATGGCAGCGGAGATGGGCAACATCAGCAAAAAGAATGATGAACATTCGCATTGATAAAAAACATCGACGTTTGGGTGCACCGCAAACACAGACAAGTTGACTCTTTCCTTACCCAAATTCCTAGTGGTTACGGTTGCTTCAAGTATTAAACATAAGGATAATGCCAATGGTGAACACGAATGGCGAACACGAATGTCGAAAGTGTTTAATAACTGTAAACACAGCGCAGCAAATGATGCACTACTTGCGTATCCATCACCTGATGCTGAGCTAGCAATAGTTTGTGATGCATATGATGTCGCTGTTGGCGCTGTCATAGACCAATACGACCAGGGTATTTGGGTGCCACTCGGATTTTTTTCGATAAAACTTTCAGCGACGTAAAAAACTTACAGCGCATATGACAGGGAATTATTAGTAATCTACAGCATCATTCGTTTTTTCAACCACCTTCTAGAGGTATGAGTTCTCGTCATTAAAACCAACCACAAACCTCTGATATATGCTTTCAAACAGAAACAAGAGAAGGTGTCTCCACGGCAGCTCCGCCAAATCTATTATATTTCCCAATTTTCGACAAATGCGCTCTCTCGTATTTCAGCTGCATTGCTGTCAACCGCTGTCAATTTATTAACAGTTGCTTAAGAACAATAAGACGATCAAGAATTAAAGACACTGTTGCATGGGGAAACATTTTTAAAGCTACAAGCAATTGCTTTCAACGACAATAATTCCTTGTATTGCTTGATATTGTTTACCCAGTCAACGTGTAAACATACACAGACTTAATACTTTTCGGCCAATTAAAATCGATATAGCAAACAACCGTTTCGACCATGTACATATCAATATGATTGTGATACCAATGAACAAAGCGTATCGCTATTGTTTAACTACTACATAATGACGTTGGTAATTCAAACTTTTTCAGAATTGTCCTATTACTAAATAGCTGATGTAATACAGGATTATTTCTCTGTGAAAATGGAATTACTAAGGAATTTACTTAAGGTTTATTCAAATAAATTTTAACTTGCTGCAACAATTAATCTTTAGATAATTTTAAATAATTTTTAAAAGCTGTATAGACTTTTTGATTGAATCATTACAATGCTAAAACTAGAGATTCTTCCTTCCTTATATTGTATTAAAATATTGACTTAAACATTGGGAACGAAATCATTGGTATTATTTTATATTTTGGATTTAATATTATTTGTACGTATTTTTAGAGTTCATTACTTAATGATTTATTTATGTTATTATAATAACTTGCCCTATGTAAGAGGTCAAAAAGTTTTCAAAACTTTACCGGTATAAATCCACTTAAAGAATTCACATATTCTTAATTATGTATCATACATTATGTTGGGCTGTCTCCAGGGTGGGGTCCTCTCACCATTGTTATAGACGCTGGTAGTCGACGATCTACTAGTTAAACTAGAGCAAACTGAATATTATGCCATAGGTTACACAGGTGGCCTTATACAAAGTTTTGAACTGGTGTACCAAAGCTGGCCTAAGCATCAATCTAAAAAAAGCTGTAATTGTACCATTTTCCAGAAGGTACAAATTAAATATTGAGTCCCTATATATTTAAGATACGGCTATCGTATGCTCCGATGAAGTCAAATATTTAGGGCTCACCCTAGATAAGCGTCTAAACTGAAAAACTCACCTGGATAATATAATTGGCAAAGCCTCCCGGGTTATGTGGACATGTATGAACTCATGTGGTAGAACCTGGGGCCTAAGTCCTAGAATTATATCATAGTTATACCGCACAATGGTTAGACCCATTGTATTGTATCTTGTTTGGTGGAATAAAGCACAACAAAATGCTGCGAATTATTAAATGCAATAGACTGCAAAGACTCGTATGTATCGTTATAACGGGACCTATTCGAACATGTCCCACATCAGTACTGGAATACATAATTGGTCTTACGCCTCTGCATCTCTTTATTAAAAGACAGCAGTTTTGAGTGCACCTAGGCTACATCCTCTTACACAGCATACACAGAAGTCTCGACAGTCATAACTCTATCTGCAAACTACTTCCTGGCATAGAGATCTCTGATAGGACAGATCACATGGATATGAAACTTCGCTTCGTTAGAAAATTTTCATTCCCGATCGATTGGACTGGGAAAATAGCACTCTTGGAGTAGAACCAAAAGTGATTTTATGGTACACCGTTTGTTCAAAAACCAAGGAAGGAGTCTTAGCACCAGAATTTCGCTCGCGCTGTGTATATGGCCCACTGTCTTCCAAGCAGAGGTTCACGCTATTGAGGCCTGCGCTCGTGTCAACATTAAGAATGGATTGAAACGCTCAAGAATCTGTATTTATTCAGATAGTCAAGCAGCAATCAAAGCATTATGCTTCTGGAAGTTTTTCTCAAAGCTTCTAGTAGACTGCTATGACACGCTGCAGTAGCTGGCTAGGAAAAACAAAGTGATGCTTTGCTGGGTGCCTGGTCACACAGGAATAAAGGGTAATGAGTCCTGCCCGACAGTCTTGCGAGGGCAGGATCTGCCACTTAAATCTGTGGACTGGAACCTTATTGTGTATTAAGTTGGTCTACATCTAGGTCTCTAATCAATAATTGGATTTCAACCGAGAGAAGTCGCTACTGGCGCGATAGTCGAGGTAACTATCACGCTGAAGAGGTGATTCACCCCTATATTTGTAATAAGATATCTTTCTTCAGCAGAACAGCGTTGAGGTTGCTGGTGGAATATCTAACTGGTCACCACGGACTACGTTACCACCTCAACAAAATGGGTCTGTCCGAAGAGATAGAATGTAGACTCTGCTTAGAAGCAGAGGAGACATCCAGCCACATTCTATGTGACCGCCCAGCCTTGATCTGAGCCAGGAGGAGGTTACTGGGTCGAGAACTGCACTCACCTTCCGACATTAAGAGGTTCTCAACGGCCGACATTTTAGCCTTCATTCGGAAGGCGGATTGTCTTCTGTTCGGTTAGGGTCTGTTGTAGCACTAAAGATCAATCATAGTCGCAGTCCTCTGCTCAAGTGGGAGCTAGTACCCCGGTCATTCTTATCTTATATCTTATCATACACAAAATTCGGGCTTAGGGACGATTTCTCAACGAAATTACAACTAGCCAGAACAGCGCAGCTGATACAAACAGCTGTAAGTAAACGGGAATCAACCGGGATCGTAATATTCGACATAGCCAAAGCCTTCGACAAGGTCTGGCATGATGTCCTTGTAGTCAAAATGGCTCATTTTGGGGTCCCAAGTGGGCTGATTAAAATCATCGGTAGCTTCCTGCAAGAAAGGTCCTTCAGAACTAAAATCAAAAGCACTTTTGTCCGCACGAATAATAGAAGCACGTGTGCCTCAAGCGTCGCCACTGTCACCCACATTGTTTAATATATATATGGCAGACATCCCCACCTTAAGCCCCGTATCAAAGGCGCTTTACGCACACGACATGTGCTTGATCTATTCTGACCGGGATGCCGTAAATGTAAGCAATATCTTACAGAGAAATATGGACCTCATTGTGGAATGCTTCCAGAAATGGAAGACAACATTACTGTACGAATGTGTAACAAAGTCTCAAATACTACCATTAAGCAATTACAGATAGCACAAAATCTGGCTTTAATAAGACTTATTAAGATTCCTCAGTATATTAGGACAACAGATATGCATGGAGATCGACTCAGTGAAAAAATATGTCAAGGACAGAGCCTTAAAATTATTCACAAAAGTCGATACATTGCCCACCGCCGCCCTAAAAATTTTAAGTCCACCTCAGGACACACAGAAAGATATGCTGATTTACGATCCGTCATCAGTTAAAAGATAAATAAATGATAATAATTGTAGTATAGTTCAAGCTTAGTGTGGGGCAGGGATAAGCCCCCAAACCATAAAAAAAGGGTGTAGTAGCACTAACTCGAACCATCACCACCACCACCACCACCACCACAACAACAACAACAAAATAATAAAATATATGTAAATCAACTAAATGATTTAAAAAAGTTATGACACTTCTTAAATATTTTTATAGCTTTTTAATTATCTCTATATATGTCATACAAAAATAATAAAATTTATTATAATTTTTTAAATTGAATACTTACTTCTGCAATAGACAATTCATTTGCAATAACTACGATAGCTTCTTGTTATTCACAATAAAAAATATCCAACAATAAATAATAATAATACTAAATAAAATCTGCAGCAAATTTTAACAAATATTTTTTGATAAAGTTGAATTTTTTCTTCATACGCGCTTTAAGTCTTGAAAAAATTTACGGATTATAAAATGTTTGACGGATTACAAAATGTAAGTAAACACAGCAACTTTATTTAAGTTGTTTCATTTTCAGTTCGTTCTTCTCAAGTTTACTACTCAAATTATTTAAACATTGACCCGCACATTGCTGAAGTGTTTGTTAAATATGGATAAAGTACCAAGAGAGAAGCAGGATTCTTCGTTGGAGGTAAATAATTAAAATTAAATGTAAATAATGGATTAATATTATATTTTAAATTTTTAGGGTGTGTTACGGTTTGCAATATCGCAATCAGATGGGAATGCCACTGACGCTCCGGTTGAGGAAATGGATAACGAAGTAAGGCAAACATAAGTTTTTCATTTCATGTATTTGTATTGTTTATGTAGAAAAATTATTGTAAAACAAAAATTATATATATCTAGCAAAACATTAATAGATAGTAATATTTATATATCATATTTGTAACGAAAAAAAATATATAGTGACCATAAGGTGCCTCCACACTAAAGCGAAAGCTTGCGAACGTACGAATATTCGCAGGTTATCGTACCTACAAAAGTTTGTTCGTTCGCAAGCGTTCGCTTTAGTGTGGATTCACCTATACGTGGGTGACGAACTAAATGTTCTTAAAAGCTAATTTAATGCATCTAAATGTCATCTGTGCTACCTTCTCTTCAACTTGATCCGGGTTTGTATATATTAGGGGTATTAAACGTATTCACTAACATCGTAAATAGTGGAATATTATCATTCGTGTGTATATTTGTTACGGCGTTACTGAGTCATCGCTATTTAGTAAAAAAATAGTGGATGATTTTTTTTAAAAAAATTTTTTTAATAAAAATTAAATTGCATTTGAAACTTGAAGCTGGTTGTTAATAATGACAAAGAATTATAAAATTAAATAAGTTTTTTTGGTGAATATTTTCATGCTTATATTTGACACTAAATTGACTAAAACAGCAGATATAATTTTCAATTTTACGATTTTATCGAAATACATGAAAATGTGCGTTCATCAGACGTCGATCATTTTAAAATTATTATATGGCATATAATTTTAATAAGCAAATTGCATAAAAATTCTAGGTAAAACAGCTTAATTTATTTTAATTTTTTAACATCCATTATATTATAATTTTTGTTTAGTTTTAGAATTATTTAGAATTAAGAAAATAATTGTGTTAATAGATTATTATTTCTTTCATTTTAGAGAAAGGAGTTCTTGAACAATGTTTTAAAATCTATGTCTTCCAATGTCAGCGATGAACTTAAAAACTCTGTAAAAGTATTATCTGAACCGTCTGCAAATAATTCAGAAAAATTAGATGCACTTGCTTTTATACGTGATAACGCCGATAATATTGATTTCGCTAATGCCTTTGCGAAAACTGGTGGAACAAAAGTTTTGATTGAATGCATTGAAGCTGAAGATACTGAAATTAGTTCCAATGCAATTTATATAGTTGGCGAAATGGCGCAAAATAATCCTTTTTGTCAACAGCATTTCATTGATGCCAGAGTAGTACCTTTACTTACTTCACAATTAGATCGTGAAGAGGTTGTTACTTGCGCTGCTTTATATGCTCTTTCAGCAATTTGCCGGAGCTATAAACCAGGATGTATGGAATTTATTAAAAATAATGGTGTTGAGGTCCTGCTTATAAGTTTACGTTCACCTAACTCAAAAATTTTTATTAAGAGTGCGTTTTTAATAAGTGTATTATCTTCGGAATACCCAAATTTTCGTGGTAAGTAATTTTAAATTATATCTCGTACACAGCTCCTTTAACTAATTATTGTTCAATATATTTGCAGATCAATTAGCCAAAACTAATGCAATGGAGTTACTGGTCAATAATATTGAGAATTTGGTAGGTTTCGATATGAAACTTGATGCAGTCCTTCGGGCTCTTTCGCAGCTTACTGGTAGTACTAAGTGGAATTTGAGTTCTTCGACGCAATTAAAGTTAGAGCAATCCTTAAAGACAATAATAGAACGTGACAATAACCTAGATGCGTGCAAGGTAACCTATTTTTGTATTTGTTCTTTATTAATTATGGTTAGAAAAATTAGGTTTTCGTGGTTTTCAAACATATCACATAATATAGCTTATAAGACTCAAAAACAAACTTGATCCATGGATGCGAAACTAAATTGTTTTGTCAATAACTTTTTTTATTATAAAAAAGCAGAAATAAAACACCACTAGTCAGCATATGTGTTGAGATAGTTTTTAATTAAAAAGTATTTATTTAAATTAAATTAGTATAGAAGTAGGAATTTAGAAGAATAATTAATTTAATGTATTGCATTAATTGAATATATGTGTACTGAACGAAAAGAAACTAAATTTATGTTAGCCATTATAAACGCAACTGATAATAAAGATTTTTATTATGAAGATCTTATTAGGAATTCTCTTAATGAAGGCAAAGGCGAATTTGCCGAAACACGTGTAAAGATACAAAAAAGACTACGTATAAAATAAAAGTTAAAATATTAAAAAACAAAAACCGATTTTAAAAGATCTTTATTATTATTATATTAATAATAAAGATTATTAAAAAATGATTCCAACACTGGCTGGGTCTACGTGCCGGAGCGAGTTTTTAAGTTCGACGACTATGTGCCGTTTACCATTCCCAAATGGACAATATTTCGGTGGGCTACGATACAAACAATATTTTTGTGTAACACAGAAATAACAATCCAGTTCACAAAAAATTTTTATTAAAGTACTCACTCATAAAATTAATTTATTTTGGCTGCACTAATAAGAAACTAAAACCCTTGAGTACAAAGAGAAAAGACAAAATTTGAATATTACTATTTAATCACAACATACTAGCCATAAATTATGGAATTTTGCAAATAATATATGTAAAACATGTTTTCTTATAAATTCTAATATACAACTTTTTTTTACTTTCAGGAAATGGTCGAGTATGCCGAAAAGATTCTAAAGAATATAAAATCACATGTACTTTAAAAATTATATTTTTTAAACAGTTAACTATTAATAAGAACGCTTTTATACATTATGTACAAAAAAAGAATTACTTAACTAAACAAAACTTGTTTTTTAATTTTTTATATTAAATCTTTATATAAACTTTTACTCGAGATTTTCTAACTATAGAAATTAATCCATATTTTAGAAATTTGAAAAAAAATTTTATCAGTTCAATAATATTCAATTAAAATGTATTTGCTAATGGGCATGTTATGATTGCAGTCACAGTTTCCAATTGTTGTTGGTTTCAATGCAAAAAAAGTGAGCTGTCAGTGTCAAATTTTCATTTTACATTAAAAGCAACAACAATTGGTGACTGACTGCAATAACATGCCCCTAACAAAGTAATCGAAGTATGCAAGAGGTACTTAGGCTGATCCCACGATAATGCGGAATGAAGAGTACTGAGATTCCAATTATTGGGCATATTTTCATCCAACTATATTCTGTAGATAAGTTGATGCATGCTCCCTAGTAGCATATCGGATTTGAACAATTCCGCGGATTTGAACAATTCCATCTGCGCGTACCGTATGGCTAGATGGCCATCATTTTCGATTGCGGACTCCGAGAGCATTTCTTCAAAGGCGAAATTGATGTTATCATCGCCAGATAGTAGTTTGGAGAAATCTTCCTTTCATACATTCATCACATTCTGGTAATGTGGTTACGGATACAACCAGATTACCATTTGCGTCCTTATAGATTGATGCACTAAGCTTTGAGTTAGACAGTTGATTTCTGATAAAATTTACGGGCATCATTTCTGTTTCTACACAACTAGATTTGCTTTCGCTGGCGCATTTCTTGATGTCGTTTCTTCCGTCGAAATAGGCGCCTCTTTAGCTTCTTCGTCTCATCATCGATTGACGACAATTGTTGTACGAATGCTTGTGTCGCGGGGGATGTTGAAAACTAAGAACATCTTCCGCAGTTGTGCGTAGGGAGTATGAGATATGTTCCCATTGTCTAACGGTGTTATCGGGACGGAAGGGTTGTTTGTTTAATCGGTTGAAGAGTTGAGCGGCAAACACTTTAGTTATCTCTCATCTTACCAACATCAAGTTTTTACTGTGCAGGGGAGCGTACGTTGTTGACGGCACTAAGCCGCATGCGTACCTTGGCTGCCATAAGGTAGTGGTCTGAGTCGATTGACGGTTGCATCAAATTTTTCTTCTTTTTCGACCTTTGCGTTAAAATTCCCGAAAATATGGACGAGACTGTGGTCATAAATTGCAGCCAGTCTCACGTAGAATGTATCTTTGGTCAAGTCGTCCTTTTATTTTGTTGGCACATGAGGGCAAATTAGGGTGACATTAAAAAATTTTCCCTTGATACGGATTATAGTAAGCAGTAGGCATCACCTTGTTGCACGCCAGTGTTGAGTTAGAATTGTTTGGAATAAGATTTTTCTACTGCTACTTTTGTTGTTGTGCCTTCTAGTCATTACGACGAGATTATCTATTTTTTTAGATACACCTTGCATCAAAAGGGTGTTTTTTTATACAGCTTTTATGAGCACTATCAAAAACTAGTTAGTGCATATAAATTCCATATTCGATACATTTTTCCGCTGCTTGTGATAGTACAAATAGTTGATCGGTGGCGCCTCTGCATTGATGGAATCCGCATTGATATTCACCCAGGTATTCTTCCGCTATCCCTTTAATCCTATTTGGAATTATGATTGTTAGCCCCTTGTAAGTAACACATAGCAATGTTATGCCTCTGTAGTTTGTACATTCTAATCTATTACCTTTTTTATACCCGTAGTTAGCAAGCTTGCCTGTAGCTAAGCCGCTACACCATGTCAAGGTGCCCACCAAGTAGGGGCGTGTTATAGTGAAATTTAAACTAAATTTGAAAATTTGGTTTTTGAAAGCATAATGAACTAAGAATTATTGAAAAAAAAACAAAACATTAAAAATTATATCAATTAAATTTCAATTTTTGTACTATTTCTTGCTTTTTAGTTAAGCTTGGTACTAGTATCTATTTCGCAGGTAAAATTTACATTAAACTAAATATTGAACACAATTTTAACATTGCAGAAATTTTTTGATATAAAATTTTATGTTAATTTTGTTTGCGAAATGGATGTTAGTTTTAGGCTTAGGACAAAATATGGTATAACAAATTCAGTTGATTTGGGAGTTAAATTTTACTTTTTTAAGAAAGTATTCAAAAAGACTTTCAGATCTGAATTTTATAATTTATTTTGAGCAGAACTTAAACTTTTGTCTGACATAACCTTTCTAGGCACACAACGAGTTTGCCCCAGAGGCTTTGTTACATCTGACACTGAGCTAAGACTCAACCGTACTCCCATTCAGCTTGTTTCCAAGCTGAAATATCTTGACATTGTACCGATGATTGAATTTTTACGCATCATTGCCTGCAACCGGTAAATTTTATTCAGTCTTACTCCCGGAGTAAGAAATCTCAAGAATAAGACAAAGGAAATCGTCTGAAAGCCGAAATATAACACAGCATTTGAGAACTAGTGCATCCTACGAAGTTCAGCTTTATAGTGCCGTGCCTGATGCACAGTTACTGATGCTTCCGTCCATCAGTTGGTTCGGTTCTGTAGCAGATTGTAAGGGGTTAAACTCAAGTTCCAGCATTCTATTCGAAGGCGTTGAATACAGTATACAGAGAGATCACCTTCATTGCGCAAACCATTTAGCACTTTTAGTAAGCACTTAAAGGCGGGAAATTTTTCTTTTTAACTGCCCATATGTCTGTTATGTTTGTGTTCCGACAGCATAGCAAAAATATCACCAATAAGTACCTTTCTAACCACCTATCTCCAACACTGAGATGTTCTGTTATGTGTTCAGCGAGCGAATTCGACCGTTTGTTTCAGCCATCAGCCGCCAGATAGTTAGCAAAACTGCAACCATCGGCATATCAAGGTGTTAGAGCAAGGTTTATTCTATTTCAAACAAGCTTCGTTGACCAGGACGCAAAGAGTTTCGTCAGGAGATGTGGGTCAAGCCAGATGTCAAAGATGCAGCATCACACTCGTACTGGTTCTATCGCAGCAGTTTATTGCCGAATCCACTTGGTAACATTGGAACCATTGCCACAGAGTCCAGGAAAGCGGTATGCTACAATCAGTAACAATAGTTTCTCACGCTGAGTGAAGAGGTAGCAGCAGCATTTATCGACGGTTGGGTCGCAAAATTTCGGCTCGTCGCGTGTTTTCACCCCGGACCTTGAGCGTTAACGACGAAGATGTTACTCCGACTAGATGTTAATTTTCTTAGAACCTTCGAGCAGTTACTAGCAGATGTCACCAACTAGCCAGCTGAAGCGCATTTCGTTAAGTTGTGAAGCACATGATAGCGTTGTGTGAGAAACCAGCCTGCCACATGACATAATTCACAGTCGGTGTAAGCATGGCAAGCAATACATAATACTATATTTAATTACATTTTTTATCAATGTATATAAAATGTGTATATGTTAATAAATACAAACTTCTATAGTATAGAACAGAAACGATTATTACATAAACTATTATAAACTATAATTAATTTAGTGTTATAAACATTAACCAGTGATTATTAAACTGTTGCTCTAAGCACGAAAAAGAACAAAATTATTTATTCACATTAGACGAATCTATAATAATTTATAATAACGCCAATTTTATTATCTAATTTATTAACTTTAGTAAATTATTTTTAGGATTTTTTGTGATTTTTAAAAGTTTATGTCAAGAAAATTATAAGATATTTTTTAATTTTGGTTTTTTATTAAATTATGCCTGTTTGCAAAGGAACTGTGCTACTAAAATGGGTTTATCTCGAAATTATTTTGAATTATAAAAGCTTTTTGTGTGGAAACACTTTTGAATTTATAAACTTTAAAAATTTACAAACAAAGAAAACTATTTATTTTTTCTAAGTTGAAAAACTCCGAAATGACATCAGTATTATTATAGCTGAAAACCGCATTTAAATTTGATATTATATCAAAAATTATAACACAAAATTTAATTTTAATATTTTATTAATTTGATTTAATTAGTCAACATTTTCTTAATTGCATTTATACAAGGCATCCTTTCACAAAATTTATGCAAACCATTTGAAATTACACTCTAAATTTAGACAAACATAAAACATCCTTGTATCTCCGCGATCAGTAGTTGGAAAGTAAGTGGTCTCAGGGTATTTGCATTTTGGGCAAGGATGTTCATCAGAACGGGGCAATGAAGGATCACTTAAAATTTTAGGATTCACGTACGTTAGTTCCCTATAATATAAAGGATATAATTTTTGCATAAAAATTTATTAATTTTAAATAACTAATTTTGTATTGTTCTTAAAAAAAATATTTTTTACAATTATAAAGTAATTCCCCCTTTAACGCGGTAGGTTAGTTGCGGGTTATAGGAAAACTCGTTATAAGGGTATTCCCGTGTATCCCGTATACACACGTATAAAGGTACGCGAAGTTAATAATGAACTGTACAAATTCCCGCGTTATATCGAGGAATGCCCGTGTTATACGGGGATTGAAATCGCGCAATATGAAAACACATTATAAGGGTGTCGCGATATAGGAGGATTACTGTATAATTAAAATTGCACCACCCATAAAAATGTTTATTTGTACATCAACTTCCTGGTACCTTATATTTATATATATGGAAATCCAGTAGCTAAAATTCATGAGAATAAATATACTACAGATATATATTACCAAGTTGATAGAAAAACTAATTTTTCTAATGATAGATTTTGAATTAATATATTAGGTATAAAAAAAATATTAACTTCAAACTTAACGCTTTTTCTTCAAACATATAAAATCTTATATATTTTAAAATATGTGTATAATATTCACATATTCATAAGCAAAAACTTACTCAACACTTTTTTTAATAATATTTATAAAAACGCAGTTTGATTCTGCAACTTTTTCAAATTCGCACAGACGACAAATATACATAAGGACATGCCTCTCATCATCTTCTCTTGCAAGTAAAGTGTTGTGACTAAAACAAATCCATTAAATATTATCTACAATAGTTATGTATCGCTTACCATTCAGGGCAAAATTTAAGCGATAGAAACGGAATACGCTTCGATCTTTCCTTATGAAATTCCAAAGCCATTTTTTCTGCCAACCGTTTCAAATGCAACGTTTACGCAAAATGATTTTATTATTTTCAATTTAGTATATTAACAACAATACATTCATGTGTCATACAAGAATGTCACACAAACGGTACGAATTGTAATAAACACGCATGAAGTGCATATATTAAAAGCGTGAAAATATGTGTACGTATGTACCTACATATATGCTATATAATTGGACATGCAATATATCTAAAAGTTAATTTAATGCATATTATTTATATTGTTTTTAAGATTTTTTAATATTTTTCGTAAAAATCTGCTTCTGTTGTTTATTAATTCAAATTCAAATTCATTAAGTAGAGTAAACAAGAGACGGGGAAAACCCGAATGAAGTTACTGATGTATATTACTTTATATTGCTTGCCATGCTTAGTAAGTATCGATAGCATGGCTATAATAAAGGTCTTATGTTGCGAATTGAATAAGTAAATCAGAAGTGATGTGCAGTCTAAAAACGCTGAGCGTCGCTACTTTTTCTTATCGTTCAACTGCTTAATGTGATTCTGATTGTAAATATTTACTTTATTGATTTAAAATTCTTTTACAAAGTTTTCTTAAAGCTAGGATTACATAGTTTTAGTTAGTTCCTAAACATTTAGTATTTTTGTAAGAGTATTTATCTCTTTCAGGTAGTTAGTTTTTTTCTTCGGTTACAATTTATAGCTTTACAATTACATCTTTTAATATTTTTCTGAAAAAAAAAATTTGATTTACTCTACTTCAACTTCTACCTTAATCTAACCTACAGCTAGTATTTGCAATATTTACCGGCAGAATAGCACCTAATGTTAACTTTCAGCTAGAAATTATATCTTGCCACGATGCACCACCGCAGTATGGCATTGCACCAAATATCTCGCTCACCTGTGTACATCTCTCCCAATACGTAATGTAAGTGACTAATTCTCATATGTTGGTTTCAAACACGTCGACATCGAGCGCTTTACAGTAAATCCATTACCTCATTGCTTCGTTGGAACACTCAATACCAAGCATAGGTCGCACCAAGAGGAAGTCTTTGTATATTATGTATTTGCTAGCTGCTGTTCTGGCTGCTACTGAATGTTCAACTGCTTAACCTCTTAAAAGAGCTTAGCTGTAAGATGTCGAATCACAGAGAAAAGTTCCAGCTATGTTTCTTTGCAGCACTTTTTTCTACTGTGAGTTTTAGTTGTACTCTAGTCGTCATGGTATAAAATTGTATTTGGTGCGAGCATAGTACCTCCCTACTATCGAGGATTGTGTGCTACTTTGCTCTGTTGGTACTGCTGTCACTCCGTGTTTTAATTGCTATAAGCGCGCAACTTGATCGGTTACTGTACCGTTCTGTCTGATCGCCTAATCATGGAACTTGTTGGTGGTTGGTTCACGAATGAGGGTATACCTTCTGTTACTTCGACCACCGGAGGCTTAAGAGACGTTTGCGACTTTACTTCTTTGTTGCTCTTATTGTCGTTTAACGTCTCTCGGTTTAAGATACACCACGCGGTAAGGCCCAGCATAAGGGTGGCTGAATGGGTCATGCATGCGGCCGACTCGCAGGAAAATGAATTTACTAGTTGACAGCTAGCTGGGCATAAACACTGGTCGTAAATCATGTCGTGTGGTAGACTGGGTTCTCTCAGAACGTTATCTTGTCTTGCTCCATGACTTAATGAAATCCGCTTTAGCCAGTTTGATAGCGACATCAGTTAGCAACTGCCTGAAGGTGCTAAGTTGATTAACATCTAGTCAGAATATCATCTTCACCGGACTAGCGTTCTGTGCTTTCCTAGATTCCAACAATATCAATGAGAGGAGTGCTGTTTTAATAAATAGGTCTGTTCCCGTGCGGTGTTGAAGTAAAATTAAATACCAAATTACTTGCTAGTAGAACAGCATTTAAATACTACTTAACAATAATACTAAATACTTATGTTTATATCTAATATACACAACATAAATATCTAATTGTGAATAAAAAAGCAATTGTGGAGGCTTAATGTAGAAGAGTGAATAAAAAAGACAACAATCAATTTATACACTTGTAAAAGGATGCTGGACAGCACATAGGTGCAACGGAACATTAACCATATGATAGTTTAGAATCATTTGGAAAGAACAGATTACGCAAAGGCGATTGATATGCTGCTAAAATGCTGCTAAAACGCAACACAATCGAAACACATATGAAGCGAATCATTTCAGAATATGAAAAATATATCAAATACGAGAAAATTTTATAATTTTCATAGTGTTGTCTTTTATGATATCAATATTTTTATGACCACGGTCTTTCCCGATTGTTATAATAGCATGAGAGACGCTGTAACGCATAGAATAGGGGATGCCTTTTCCGTTATAGAGTGAAAGGAGGAAAATTAAATACCTCCCGCGGACCAAATGATCAGAAGAAGGTCATATCCTTAAAAACCCCTAAATGTAAGCTACGTATTGGAAATTTTGAGGTCGTAGGTTGCGGATACCATAACTAGTCAACGATGGCGATCGTATAACTTCAATCGTCGGTATGGAGGCAACAGTTAGCAGCACCAATACCAAAATCGGATGCGGTAGGCCAATCACCTGCCCAATTTAAACCAACTGATTAAGGAAACCGCAATAAATAATTATAGAAATGGACACAATTTACAGATGACGACCTTCAGCATGACAACTAACACATGAACCTGTAATAGAAAGACGCTTTTGTAATCCTCACGCCTTACGGAACAACGAATTTCAAAATCACAAACCTAACTTCTTAGGCTATTTCAAAGTACGTTGGCCTGACACTGGTGAGCAGATAACGGCAGACGGGCACACCATAATTTTCTCTGATAGTGAAATAAACCAGCCGCGAAGAAATCGGGCTGTCGGGTTTTTGCTCTCAAAAGAGATTCGCAAAGCACTGATGAGCTTTGAAAGGGCAGCCTTTCTCAGATAGGGTCATTTGCATAAGTTTACGGACCCGAGCTAGAAATCTATTTTGCTTGCAATGCTACGCACTTACCGACTATGCAGACTTTTCCATTAAGGAGGAATTTCACTAATTAAGGAGGATATACTAATTGTCATGGGCAAGTTTAACGACCAAGTTGGTACTGAAAACACGGGCATAGAATGTTGTATGGGCAAACATGACATCGGTAGAAAAACAGAAAACGGTCTGAGATTTAGTGGAATGTGCGCAACGAACAACTTGGTTATACGAAAGACAATATTTTCGCACAAGCGCATCCATAAATTCACATCGGTATCGCCAGACCATAGAACTGAAAATTAAATCGACCACATCACCATCTGTAAGAAATGCCATGGATCTGTACGGATTGTACGGAATCGCAGAGGAGCAGATCTTTTCAGCAATCATTACCTAATCGCTGTCATTTGACTAAAAATATGTCCAGTAAGTGACAAAAAAGCTAAAATGCCAAAGAAAATTACCGCCGACAAATTCGTACGTGATTTAAACAACATAACTGGCAGCTACTTTGATACGGCGCGGCCGCAAACAAGGCATACTGCCAGCCTGCATGCCGAAGTTACTTTCTCAAGCTGACGACTTTCTCAAATCTCTCGAGCGCTCCCCACTCGCAGTTATTTTGATACGGCGTGGCCGTCAACGAGACATGAGGCCAGCCTACAGATCAAACTCACTTTCTCAAGCCGACAAATTTCTCAAATCTCTTCACTTGGAGGTATTTTGACACGACGCGGCCGCCGACGAGGCATGAGGGCAGTTAAAGTTATGTATCGAAGCGATGATTATCGGTGTTCTCTCCGGCTCCAGCGTTTATCACCATAACTACAGCCAGCAGCACACGCTAAACAGTAGCCAGTAGCAGCCATAATAAACGCCGCTAAAATTGTCGCAACGATACGCGCAAACTAAACCAAACCGGTATCCGACTCCGTTTATCCATGATGTGACGAGTATTCTTCATGGTAAAACTGTGTTTTCGAAGATTGACTTGCAGAAAGCGTATCATCAGATACCGCTCGCACCAGCAGACATCCCGAAAACGGTTTATGACTTGAATGATCTTGCCCAAGCTACTTTGCTTAACTTTATGGCTCTGGATGCACAATTGACGCTCACGACTGATGCTTCAGACTTTACGGTGGGTGCTGTTTTGCAACAAGTGGTGAAATGAGTGACTCAGCCGTTGACATTTTATTCAAAAGGTTTGAGTCCAGCACAGACTAGGTACAGTGCTTATGATCGTGAGTTGACCACTATCTATCAAGCTGTCCAACATTTCAAGTATGAATTGAAGGCACATGATTTCGTCATTTTTACGGATCACAAACCATTAATGTTTGCGTTCAGGTAAATTAGTGAGAAGGCATCTTCTCGTCGTGCTATGCAGCTGCAGTTTATTAGTCAGTATTGCACTAATATTCGTCATCTGGCTGGTGCAGATAATACAGTGGCTGACTCTTTGTCTCGGCTTGCAACGGTTCAGATGGAGGCAAATGAGATTGAGTTGATTGCATAAGACTGATGCAGAATTGCTCCCTCAGCTGCAGTGCCAGTCTGAGAATGGCGTTGGGTTATTGAATTGTACTGCGATGTGTCACGCAGTCGTGTTCGGCCCTTTGTCCCCGCAAACTGTCTGCAGCTGGTGCTTACAAAAGTCCACGCTTTGGCTCATCCTGGTATTAGAGCAACGCGGAAGTTGGTGCAGGCTAGGTATGCTTGGCCTGGGTTGGTTAGAGATATTGCAGTGTTTGTGCGTAGTTGCGTCGTGTGAAAAATTGGTTAATTTGCTGATGTTGATAGTCGGTTCCAGCATGTTCATGTTGACATTGTGGGCCCATTGCCTTTGTCTCGATGGCTTGTTGCTGTGCCTTTGGCAGGTATTACTACAGAGGTAGATACAACGCCTTTTATAGACGGTTGGGTGGTAAGTTTTGGTTCTCCGCATGCTATTACCACTGATTTGGGTCGGTAGTTTGAGTCTACTGTATTTCGGGAAGTGACGGGATTGCTTGGAGAGAAGTATATTCATACCACGGCTTATCACCCTCAAGCAAATAGCATGGTCAAGCGTTTTTATAGGACATTGAAGGCGGCCATCCGGTGTCATTCCTCAAGCAATTTAAAGAGGTCTTTTCCACTTGTGTTGTTGGGATTACGAACAACACCGAAGCTAGATCTAAATGATAGTCCTTCAGAGATGTTGTTTGAAAATCCTCTTTGTGTTCCGGGGCAGATGCTTTCGGATTTCAAGCAGAAATCGTCGGAGACTGATTTCGTTTCGTCGTTGCGAAGGGCGTTAGCGAAGGTTAAAGCCGCTGAATCAACCAGGCACTGTCATTCATCTGTGTATTTTCCGCGTGACGTTACCAATTGTAAACACGTTTTTCTTCGAGTGGATCGTTCGCGATCTCCACTTGAGCAGCCGTATGAAAGTCCATTTGAGATGCTGAGACGTAGTAAGAAAACGCCGGTCATTGTTTGCCGCGGAAAAGAGGTGACGGGTTCGAATGACAGGTTGAAAGCGGCATACTTAACTTGTAATGACCAGAAATGCGTCAGCCCACAGCGCTGCTGGATAGTGGTCAGCCAGTGACTGCTTGCAATCGTAGGCGTGTATCCCTGTCGCCGATTCCGAAAGTGACGCGGGCTGATAGAGTAGTGCGTTTTCCAGCAAGGTTAGCGGAGTTTCGAGATTAAGTCTGTGTAGTTCGACTCAGTTGTGGTGTCGCGTTGTTGCTGGTACTCCATCGCTAGGAGGAATTACTGTGGCGATCCAGTAAGCTATGGATTTGTTGAGATTGAAAAGTAAAATTCAATTTCAAATATTTTGATCATTGATAATTGTTAGTGCTTCTATTCATTAGCAAGGTGTGGAGACCATTGCTAAAGTTTAATTCATTTGATGGATGAATAACAAGCAACAATACCTTGTCTCTTTGATAACAAATTTTTAAAGGAATTTGGATTATAATGCATATGTAAGTTTGAATATTCGAAACTTAATGATTAAAATAAGGTAATAGAGTAAATAAATACAGAAAAAAACATCCTTAAATAACTGTTTTCCCCTCACATATGAAGTTTGGTCAATATGGTTACCGAAGAAACATTTGCTCCGTTTACTCGAGCCTTAAAAGTTGTTTTAAGGCTCTTAAAACCGATTTCAAGCTCGCGTACACACCCGAAATTGAATTTTGCTTAAAAGCAGTTTTAGATTACTAAAAGAAGTTTAACAACACTTTTAGTAAGAAACATCACTTTTAAGCATTGCGTAAACACCTTGAAAGCAGTTTGAGGTTTGAATTGTCAGCTGTTTACTATCAATAAGTATTTAAATTTTATTACAAATAACAATATTGACAAAAAATCTAAAAATATCAAGAAAAATGGAAAATAAAAAGAAAAAATTGGATAAAAGAAGAAAAACGTATTTAATTAAATACTGAAAATAAATAGTAAAATTGTTGGACGGCAAGAAATATAGAAAGTACACTATATATATGAAACAGTTCGCCAAAAAGTAGAAGTCGAAAGTACTACCATTTTATTAAAGAGTTGCTCACACATTTCTCGTAATTTTGTAAATTTTATATGGGATATTTCTAAAATTTTTAATGTTTTATTATTTTATTCTACTATTTCGGTTATAATATCTTTTGCGATAAAAGTGAAACAATCTGCAGTTTTACTCTATCCATTTTTCATATGTTTAATACATTTTTGTTTACCGCTTAACAGTTGACTGATAAAATCAATTTTATAAATAATTTTAAGACTCGCGTAAATGTAGTGATTGTCATGAAACCATCATAACTCAAATCCCGTAAATTTGTGTGTGTAAATTCCGTTTGATAATTTACTATTAGCTTACATTATTTGGTGTATGGGCTGCTTTCTATTACCAACATCTGTAAATATTGTTTATAAACATTCGGGTTTGTTGTCGATTATTCAATTTATATATTTTGATGAAAATTACTGGAATGTCATCTGCAATTTATTTAGAAAATTATCTGGATGGTATGTGAATTTAGCTACCAAAATAAATATTTTTCAAAGGATCGTATGCATTATACATACATACATATGTATGTGGGAATGTGTTCTGAAAATATTAAGTGCATTTTAATAGTAAATTTTTGGCATATACCGTTTTGTGCTTGAATATCGCTATACAGTTTGATATTTTTACTTAATACAATTTGAAGGAACTTATTTTATTGATTTAAGAAATAAATTTTGACTTAGGTTTAGAATCATTACCAACAGAATTGGAGCGTAATTTTAAACTTATGCGTAAGTTAGATGACCGGGCCCAAACTGCTATGAAGAGTATAGACAGCCATGCAAAAGAATTTATGCAAAAATTATCATACAACAGTAGCTCCATGAATGAGGATGAACGTAAGGAAAGATTACTTGACATTCAATCACTGTTTAGTAAGGCAAAGGAATATAGCGACGATAAAGTTCAGCTAGCAATTCAAACGTATGAACTTGTTGATAAACAAATACGGCGTTTAGATAATGACTTGGCAAGGTTTGAAGGCGAAATTCAAGAAAAAGCCGTGTCTGTCGGAAGTAAATCTGAAGAAGTGATTTTGAAAAGTATGTATGTCCATATATTTCTATGCAACATTACAACATATGTGTGCAATCATTTTTAGAAAGTCGTAAGAAAACTGCTGAGGCTAAATTAGCTGGTAAGAAACGACGTTCCTCTTCAATAGAAGGAGAAATAACAACGAATACCTCAGGTATAAGTGCAGGCTTAGCGGGTGCGCACGGTAGTAAGAAGAAAAAACAGAAAAATAATTCTGAAAAAGAAGTTCGACGAAAAGCTATTAAGGTATTTATGTAAAAATAATTGATTAATAATATTTTTTAATGTAAATTAAATATATATAATAGTTTTTTAAAGCTAAATACATTATATATATAAAATACTTATAAAATTTATTTTAAACCAATGACACCTAATATTCATATCGCACACCCTCTTCAAAAGAGGCAAAACTCGAAATTCGTCAATTTCCAGAAAACGCAAAAAATGTTTTGCAGCGTAGTGTCATACCTAACAAAAAAAATTGATATAACTCTTTTTTTTGATAATTTGCAACAATAAAAACAAAGTGGAATTTTGCGTATTAGTAGACAGGTAAACTATAAGCAAGTTTCATACATTAACTCAAAATTGACGAATTTCGAGTTGTGTCTGTTTTGAAGAGGCGATATGTGCTATTGATTCAAATTGTAATTAATGTACAATATTAACAAAAAGAATATAAAAAATCTGTTCAGATGTGCACAGTCAATTTGTGTTCGTATATTTATCGCAATCTTATTCGCAATTAACTCAAATATTCAATTGAACCTGCAAAGGCACTGAATTTTGATAGGTGAAGCTTAAAAAAATAAAATAGGTAAACTAAAACGTATTCGTATAAAAAAAATAGTGAGTATGGCTTAAAGTTTATTGTATACATATATATTTGCATATAATTTTATGATCGAAATCAAATTTCAGTATAAAATTAAAAAAATTTGAGTAATACAACTATTTGTATAAATGTAGTTTACGTAGTTTACATATAAATCTACATTTTGTTATTCTTTCTGTTAGAAAATCAATGATATGGATGACTCGGAGAAAGAATCTGGCCATACTGCAACCACTCACCCTAGCGATGTAATAGATATGCCAGTTGATCCCAATGAACCAACATATTGTCTTTGCCACCAAGTTTCGTATGGTGAAATGATTGGCTGCGATAACCCAGATGTATATATTAAGATTTAATTGCTGTTTCCATATTTATTTTATTTGTTTTTTAGTGTCCTATTGAATGGTTTCATTTTGCATGTGTTGGCCTCACAACTAAACCAAAAGGAAAATGGTTTTGTCCAAAATGTTCGCAAGATCGAAAAAAAAAGTAACCACTATAAACAAAGCAACATTTTCGAATATATGAAGCATAAGATTAGTTTGTATTTTATTTATTCCTTATATTCTGTATATATAGCACATCAGTCAATAATATGGATGACTAACTAAGAAAAACAATTTTTTTTCTGCCAAAAATCGATTTTACTCGTCAATATAATCTCCTTCAAGGACAATACAATAATTTCCAACGCTTCTCTTACTTCTCGATGCCGTGCTTGTAGAAGGATTTGTCTTTTATCTCAAAATAGGCTTCAGTTGCAGCAATTACTTCTTTATTTAAGATGAATTTCTTACCGGCGAGCATTTTTTTGAGATCAGCGAATAGCCAGTAGTTGCTGGGGGCCAGATCTGGACTATACAGTGGATGAGGAAGCAATTCGAAGTGTAATTCGTGCAATTTTGCCATCGTTTTTATTGACTTGTGACATGGGGCATTGCCTTGATAAAACAAAATTTTTTTCTTCGTTATATGCGGTCGGTTTTTCACAATTTTTGCTTTCAAACGATCCAGTAATGCCGCGTAGTAGTTACTATTGATGGTTTTTCCCTTTTCAAGATAGTCCATGAAGATTATACCATGTGCATCCCAAAATACTGAAGCCATAACCTTCCCAGCTGACTGTTGTGCCTCTAGCCGCTTCGGACGTGGTTCCCCGGCTGCAATCCACTCAGATGATGATCGTTTTGATTCTGGAGTGAAGTTATGGATCCATGTTTCATCTATTGTTACATATCGACGCAAAAAATCTGATTTATTACGTGTAAACATCGTCAAACACTGCTCTGAATCATCAACAAAAGAGCTTTCTCATGGTCAAATGTTCATGCATAATTGTAAACACACTGCCTTTTGATATCTCTACGGTCTCAGCTATCTCATGCAATTTCAATTTACGATCGGATATAACCAATTATTGGAGTTTTTTGATGTTTTCTGGAGTAACCACCTCAATTGGATAACCAGAACGTTCACCATCATCGGTGTTTATACGATCACGTTTAAATTCAGCAAACCAATAACAAATAATTTTTTTCGATGGAGCAGAGTCCAAATAACACTTTTGCAGCCATTGCCGAGCTTGTACAGTATTTTTTTCATCAAGAAGTTTTGAATATAACAAAGTAGCTTCACTTAAACGGCTATCACTTTTTTCTGACTAATTGAAATGTCATGAAATTTTACACATAGTCTTTTGAAGGTTGGTACTTCATAAAAGTCATATAGATTTAACAATGGCAGCGCTATCTGTGTGTCAGTCGTACGACTTATTGACTGATGTATTACAGTTCTTTTTGAATGATTTTTTTATTTATAATATTGAAATATAGTTATATTATATATCCATAACATTACATAGATTATGTATATATAAAAAATTATTTTAATAATCTAATATCAAATTATTCATCCTATAGCTATTAATTTAATATGTAACAATGAATTTTATTAAAAACCAATATGCTCTCTGTAAACCGGAGACTCAGAAATATATAAAAGCAAATCAAGTAATAACGATTAATTGATTATAATATCACCGCGTCAATATTACTGCGGTATCTGTATACAATTTTTATCAAAATCGTTTTTAATCCAGCTATAACGAAAAAGGTATTATCCCAAAAAAACTGACACTATATTTCTTAATTGTTTCCTTAATTTAATGTATAATAATAATATATATTATTAATCTATAATAATAATATATATTTTAAATCTATAATAATAATATATATTATTTATTAATCTTTAATAATAATATATTATAATAATAGTTTTTTATGTCACTATTTAAACAATTTATAATTTAATTGTCCAGTTTAACAAGAGCATACTATATTCCACGAGATAATAATTAAACCATTAATGCCTTTATATAAAAATTTATTTAGCTATTATATATTTTCAATAATGAGTTATTCTGTTATAAAATCAAAAATATAATTAAAATAAATATTGTCAAACGTATGTATTGTTTTGATGTTAGAAATTAAGATGCATGATTATTTAAAAGACACATCAAGGTGAATTTCTCGCCAATTATATTCCATTCTTTCCCCTTTTTACTTTGCATAATATTGTTGCATATGTATATTTGTATAATAATAAAGTTGAATAGGTCACAAACAAATCTCTTAATAAACAATAGCACCCCGTTCAAGCAATTACAATGGAAGCTTGTTTTATGTCAAAAGATTCTAATATCGTTAATGTGTGATAAGAACTTTATAGCTGGCTTAAGGTGAAATAAAATAAACGACTAACTACAATTATTTTCAAAATACTTTTGTTTAACTTCAGCAATTTAAAAAATTGCAAGAAAATAAATAAACTATAATTTTTAATATAAAAAACATTTTAAATAATTCAATCAAATACGACGACAATAACATAAATGTAAGTTACTCTGATACTAAAGAGCATCAGTATTATTTTTATTAAAACATTTAAAAAATACTCAAATAATGACATTTGTATATATAGTTTAAATAATCTAAAATATTTTTTGCCTAGCAATGTGATATTGCTAGGCAAATTTGTAGACGATATTTACTTAATTAGTACCTCCTTAAGAAGATGTCTTAAAGATTAAAGATAAAATCCTTTAGGAGTTCATTCCTCATATATTTAGTAAATGTTGCACATGCTTTTCATATCTGAGGCAAGAATCATTTAAATAAAGGTTTAATAATCTATAGTGGTTATGTACCCAACAGAGATTCATCAATAAATGTATTGGAAGACATACCATTATCATTCTTATTTAAGAGAAGCGAACTTGTCTGTATAACGTTAAGTATTATACTGAATACAGGAAAATATCAATAACTGCTTGCATTATACTAACGTATTATCACAGATATTTTAAATTTTCTGTATCTGGTAATCCAAAGAACAGAAATTTTTAAACACCTTATTTCAAACACCATCCTAATGTTATTTGGTTGAACTCAAGGACTTTAAAGGGGTTTACCTAGACAAAACAAGCTAAAGGTTGTCTTGCAGAACTTCCACCAATGCTCAAGAAGTTTTTAAGATATTTGTAGTTCCTCAGAAAAGGCTGTACTATATACCCTGTAACCTATTTTAGAACCGCTAAAAAGATTTTATATTTTGGAACCATAAAACAAGCAGTTGATAATTTATTATTATAAACTAATGTTTTGTAGATATATTTTATCCTGTCACCTTTTGTACAAGTATTTCATGCTTTAAACCAAAGTTTCTATTTTATTATTGTAGTATATCTACAAATTAATTATATTATCAACAAACAAAATAATTATTTGTTGATGGTAATATGATGATATACGGTACCGGCACATGCCAAAAGCAAAGATCTGCATTTTGCATTGGTCTCAATCTTGCCATGTAAAAAAAGAACTTTAATTCTTTTGTTTTGCGCAAATGAAATTCGTAAAGTGCATTAACTTGCATTGGAATTTTATTTAACCCGAATTATTAAATAATAATATATTTTATTTTTTAAATTAATTAAAATGCATAATAAGCACTTTTATATGAAAAATACTAGGAGAGTAAGGGATCGTGCACTGCGACCTAAAAGATCTATTGTGCCTAGTTGCAACATAGTTATATTCGCCACGGGAAATACCTACAATACTTTATCCTTTAACCACTTTACATTATAAACTATTCAGTAGTTAACAATCCAAAAGTTTACAATTGTTCTGCAATCAACTCTACGATTTTTCAAGCCTAACTTTCAAACTAAGATATAAAAAATAATGACTAAGGGATAGCCACTCAATTTAAAAAAAAAAATCGTGAAGTTTAGCTGTAACGACTACCGGAAGATTGGCTAGTTAGGTGTCTTCTTAAAACAAAACATCTTTCATTTTCGAACGGGAATGTTGTTTGGTAATTACGATATTCATTTACATAATAATGTTGCATAGTATACATAGTATAGTATATTTGCATAGTATAGTTAGCACGATCCGTATCACGATCTTGCCAATTTAAAATTGAGGTAGGCATGAACATCTACTCGCTGATGGTCAGCATAGTCATCGTTCTCGGGTTTTTCGAAGCCAATCAGCTTCTAAATCAACAGTTTTCTTATTTTTAGCCTCTATTGTGATGTAGAGCTCATTCTTGACAGACAAAATTTACACTTTATAGGCCACCTATTTACCTGTGCACTATCACAGAATGATAAGGCTGCACTGGGGAGTTTTTGAGAGAAAAGTTTTTCGTAAGATCTTTGGTCGTATACGAGGCATCCAGTGGCTTCACTGATTTCGTAATGTCGTGAGAATGGATTAGGGTGCTTCAATGAAAAAAGTTTTTAAAGCGACAATTGAAGAAAGAAGACCCCTCTATGACCATGTCTCCGATGAAGTTATCAAGTTAAAGGGGTACTAACCGCACTTGATATATAAGATTAGAGAAGGCGCATATGCAGCAGAGGCACATAAAAATACTGTGTCGAAACAAAATCCGATAACAGGTATAAACGCCAAATAAATAAGTAATTTGCCTCTGGGTTGTACTGGTGTGCTCAGGTTCCATAAACAGCATTGAACCCATCTTGTATTACTTGATTCATTCTAATATGGCCTTTGCAATGTTTGAATGATTGCCTTTTGTGTTCAAAGGACAGCAAACTTTGTAATTCTTATAGCTTTATCTTGATGCACTCATATCCTGTGCAAGTTTTTCGAACTTATTTGGTCGTGATGTAATACCATTTGATAAATTTTTCTAATATTTTCATTAAAGTTTTATTAAACTTTCGTTATAGTTTCCTTCAACTAATCTATTACGAACGTTATAGTATTATTTGAAAAGTTTTCGTCATGCTTTCCCCACTGACTTACTAACAGACTTACTGACTTTTATTCTTTTCAATATCATATATTGTATATCATTTGAACAATAATTTATGCATGTACAAGTCGAAAACTTCGCAGTAACAACTTTTTACCATAGAAAAATGTATATTAATATTAAAAATACAATATCATATCTAACGTTATGCCCTATATTTTAAATTAGGTTTAAAATAAATGAGAATTATAAATGCATAAAATTCAACATACTTATGTAAGCGAATCAGGTTTGAAATAAATGAAAATTATAAATTAATAAGAGCATTAAAACCACAGTATGTTCGTTTATAGCTCGTTTTTTATAATTATTAATTCTGCTTAAAAGACTAGGACTATAAGCAATAAAATTAAATTACTACAGAGTCTCTATGTTACCGTAGACTAAAATATTTAATAGTTCGGGTAAAAATTGTTTAGTTTTTTAGATGTATTCTATGCATTTATAAAATAAAATAATAGTTTGTGCATATCAAGTTAAACCAGTCTAAGAGTGTAAGGAAAGTAATTTCATTATTTCGCAATAGAGAATTTTAATTCGTTTTCTTGTCCATAAGTTTATATTGGCATAGATAAAAACATGCACTTTTGCAGACATCAGCTGGTGAATTACTCGAACGATGAGCCGACTCAAAGCGTCATGAAAGTCGCATTTAATAAATAATTGTGATGCTGTCTGCTTGTAGGAAATTACCGGGAATCGTTTTTTTAGAGAAGGTGTACATACAGTGGTTCGCAAACTTTTTTCGACCCAAAGATCACAATGAAATTTTTGTTTCTTAGTAGGGACCACAAAGTTTAAGAATAATAAATTGTTTGATTATTTTAAAATTCTTTATGCATCTCTAGGCTATAAAATAGGTATATAATTACTTGGAAATTGTTTGTGCTTAATTTTTAATAAGTGAGGTTTCAGTGAACAAACTACAAGATATTTATCCATACCTGTTAAATTTGATTCACGGACCTTTTTTAACCATCTCGATTTTTAACTACTGGTTCTCTAGACAATATCGCAATCACATTTGAGTTGTATTGTTCCTTTTTTTTTAAAAAAGGGATGAGTTTTAGTCAAAATAATGAAAAGGGTTTCAGAGATCTGATTTATGTTGGGCAGATCTTGAAAAGCCTTTGCATTTCGGATCATCCTAATGCTTATATCAAATCAACATAACTTTTTAGATTGCAAAACTTTTTACTCCATTCTTTTCTATGAGGATGTCAAAATAGGTAAAATCAGTTTTTTGCCAGCAAAGATTAGAAGTTTTATGAGATTGGAAATATGCTACTGCCAGAAAGATGGAAAAAGGTATTGGACCAAAATGGAAAATACATAAATCAATAAAATATTTATTTTTGCTACATTAACATTAATAATTAAATTTAATTAAAAACTAAATTTTCAATGTTTATTTAGTTAAATTAATTATTTTTACTTATATATTTTGTCTACTCAAAAGAATTTTTAAATGAGTTTTTACTAAAAACCCATAGGTTTTTTATTAAAAAAATTAACTTAAAGTTTGTGTTTTGCCGTATTTTTAAGCCAACTTAATGTTTTAGATTACATGAAATGAGTTGAAATTAATAACAAATTAACAGTGACTTAATGACGCAAATTACTTTATGTTACATCCAATTTGCTTTGTTCGTTTAGTATCCTGTAAAACTTGTTGATGTGCAGATAATGAAAGCCGAACGACGATATCACGATCTTCTATACGTCAAGCTCCACCACAGGTGTAGCTACCGTTATTGTTGGTTAAAAATTGTCCGCAAGCTTTAAGTTCCGTAAATACTTCAGTAAAAAAACCAGGTTCAGCATTTATTTTAAGCATTTTGTTACTCAAGCGATTGACAATTATTAGGCATCTATAAATAAAATGGAATTTAGAAATGTTATTACTGTGGAATGTTAAAAATGGTAAGTCCAAAAAAATAAATACTTTTACTATGTGTGCACCTATAAATATGTAATATTACAAATACAATAACAAAATATTTACCTATCCCAAAATTTATCTTTTGAATCTTCTACTAAGAATGGCTTCAATGGGTAACTGATTTCGTTTCCCATATATGAATACGATAGATATAAACAAGTTAAAACAGCTGCTTGCAATTCAGACTCCTTTGTTTCTTCTCCATCTACCAGCTCACGCACAAGCATGTACACGAATACGACATTTGCTGGATTTATGAAAGCAACATCCTGAAAAATGGATTACAAGAAAACATACGAATTAAATTAGAAGATATGAATATTATGACTTTATTTATTTTCGACTGATATCGTATCACATAAAGGTGGATCCACACCAAAGCGAACGCTTGCAGGTAATCGTACCTGCAAAAGTTCGTTTGTTCGCAGGTGTGGAAGCACCTTAATACGATATAGATCACTTAGTCTTTTGTGAATTTCATGCATATTCGTCATATGGGACAATACGAGTCCGCTTGATCGTACACCAAGCTTAATATTTAAACTAAAATTGAATAGCTTTAAAAATATTGAAATGATTTGTAATTTTCGAATTATTTTCCGTCTTCTAACTTTATTATTAGAAAAATATTATATACATACTTATACAATACATATAATATAAGATAATATATATAATATTAAATATAGTATATACAATATTTAATATAATATATGCAATTTATTATATATAATAAAAACAAAATGAATTCTGAAAATGATAACCAAGTAGATATAAGAGATAAACATTTTCCAATTCAGCCCCTTACTTTTCCAATTATTACAAGTAGGGCGCTACTACTTGTAATAATCTAAGTTTTAGTACAATATTTTTCTATTTGCTTTCAATGTTTTTATTAATTATTATTCTACAGTTTTGCAGTATTGAGAAAATATAAGGTAACTTACTACCTATGATGTTAAGAATAATTAAAAAAAAAATAGTAAAAATCTGAACGTAAGCTCTTAATAAATATAGACTTCTAAATAATTGAATATAATCTACGATGTATAAGAAATATCTTGGCACATTGCTTTTTTTTATACCATATAATGTTAAATACTCAAACAAAGTTCATCATTTCTTGATCTTAAATAAAAACAAACATGGATCTACGACCCTAACGCTGACGTTTTCTTGATCGAAAATGAAAAAAGCGTTCTTTGTCAATATCTCAACAACTACTAAAAAATTTTATTTATTATTATTTTTGGAATTCTCTGGCTAAAGTACTTTAGGAATGATTTCACTTGATGCTGTGTAAGATTGTTGTCGACTACGAGTATTGATTCACAACATAACTTTGTGTAGGTATGAAGAGTATATCAACCAAAAAGTAAGTTCCCTTAGTTATGAGAATATTTTTAATGTTTCATTTAATTATTTTATTAAATGATACTAATTTTTGTATTATTAACTCATATATTGGCTCATGCAAGGAGGCCACAAATATTTGAACATATATAAGCATGACTCCTAACTTCGCAATCAGTAACACCAACACTGAAACTATTGAAAATATCTGCTACCTTGGAAGCATAATAAATTCAATATAATTTAGCTGTGTCAATGGCGAAGCAGAATTTACAAGACATGGTCTGCATTTGCAAGTCTCCGAAACATCTGGAGCTCAAGCGAATTATCTCCGAAGACCAAGATCAATGTATATAATGTATGTGTCATATCAATTCTGCTATATAGCTGTGAAACATATAGCTGGTGAGCATTGAAACTAGCCGCATGCTAGCCGCAGTCTTTTATCAACAAATGTCTGCGAAATATATTGAGAATTTGGTGGCCCCGTGTGCTGGACAGTATAACGCTGCTGCAACTCACAAACCAAGAAAACATCAACGAGCAAATAAAACAACGAAAATACAACTGGCTCGGGCACACATTAAGAAAACCCTACGAAGAGGTCTGTCATGCTGCCCTACCCGGCAGGCCTCGGACCACATGGAGATGAACAATCTGGCAAGAAACTAACAAAACATTTAACGAATTAAGATATTTAGCATTAAACAGAAATACCTGGCGATTCTATGTAAATATTATATGTTCCTAATAGAACACGGCTTAATAATAAAAAAAAAGCACGATACAAAGAAAGAGCGTCTTTGCATCTTAGCCTGCTTGTTTACATGATTCCAAATTGTCATGCGGTTGAGCTAAGATACTCCAAACTACTCCTGAGTCCAATGTTCATTAGATTTGTGGACTTTTATAAAAAAATATTCCATAAAATATTTAACAATATACATATATAGTTCATAATATATAATTATAATATAAATAACTGAAAAAGTATCGTAAATGCAAATACGGTATATTTTCATTACTCCCAATTCGATATCCTGGTTATATAAGCTAAGTCTTCAAATATTTATACATTTTGTGTTTATATAACTGTTTGTATTTTTCTATTTCACTCTCCCACCCGAAAAATGAATAAATTACTGGACTATTTTGTAAGAAAAAGTTATTGCTATTATAAAGGTTATAAAACCTCTAGGTCGATCTCTAGTCGAGATGATGTCAATAGCAACATCATAAGCATTTCTTTATAATAGTAGTTAAAGACCTTGATTCCTATACATAAATACAAATACGAAACAGGAAACAATAAATATTGATTAGTAAATAACTAAACTTCTTACGAGTGAATATGTTCAGATAAAGAATTGGTGGCTTATTGGTCAGTAGCACAAGACTTATTTTGCTTAAATTTAATAAATATCATTCTAAGCAACTATATATATTTAGTTAAAAACACTAAATAATGCTAAGTTCATATCAAATAATATTAAGATCTAGTAAATAATAACCTTGGCTTAAGTGTTTGTAGTAAATATTCATATTTTTAGCTATGATAATCTTAACCACCTTGTATTTACATACAAACTAATTGAAAATATGGATACTATTTACATAACTCATAAATCTAAACCTAATTCAATAAATTCATTATCGATAAAGAAGTACATTTCACAACAAATTAACAGTTGGCTAATGAATGCTGACTCTGAGCTTTAAATTTGGCTGGGCACGATTTCAATCTCTGGTATTTGCAGTCTCAAAAAATTGTTTACGAATAATTAAATAAAAGAATTACATATTTCCAAGATCACTGATGATGGATATTTATTAATATTCGAAACAGCTGATCATGATCATCCAAAAATTCAATTAATTAAAATAATAATATAAAATAAATTTTTGTTGTTGTAATTCATTACTTTTCGCAACCTCTCTCGCACTTATATTGTACACTTTTTTAGTGCTTGTTGTATTCACCGAAGTTAACGTGTATTTAGAAAATTAATTTATTATTCACTTATCGTCTTTTGTTCTAATCTATACAAATATTTGAAACTTTCTTTAAAAATACAGTCGAATCCTAATAATTCGAAATCGCAAAGGAACAGCATTTTTTACGAATTAGAGGGGTTTTTAAATGATCGAGATTTCGATTTAACGAGGTCAAAAAAGAAGCAAAATACGAATTAACGGAGCTTTTACATTTCAGTTGATTTTCACATATTTTATATACATATATAACTTTATTAGAACTAAATAATAGCGTATATTTAAACTATTTTTTTCATCAATGCTATTAGTCAGATTAATAACCATTTCCTTGCGGTAAAATAATTTAAAAATATTCATAACACCCTGGTCAAGGGGCTGTAACTTGAAAGTGATGTTTACTGGCAAAAAACAGTGGTTGAGATTAGGAGACCCATTATGCGCTGTACAATTGTCCATAAATATAACAGGATCTTTCGATTTTTAACTTTCATGCTATCATTCAGCATTTGAAGCCATTCGGTAAATAGATCCATTGGCAACCACGCCTTCTTATTGTATCGGTAAACCATTGAAAAGCTGCGGATGTTCTTCAAGCAACTTGAATTTTTTTGTTCTGTATTACGAATTATAAGAGGTTTAATGTTAATTGAATTTCAAATAAAATACGAATTAACGAGGGGACCAAAATGTATGGAAATTTTACGAATTACCGAAGGTTTTTCAAGGGACCAGCAGTTTGATTTGACTGTATATACACATTAAAAAACTAATTGATAAAATTTTATGAAATTCTTAACATAAATTACTAAAGTAGTTATTTCTTACATTACAAATGTTATACTGCATATGAATTGTTTCACTAACTTGAATTCAAATCGATTTATATATAATATTAATATTATTTTAATATTAAACTCTTTTACTCCACACACACAAGCAGTCAGTACTGAATTGCAGGAAAACAAAAAAATAAAGTTTTGCTAAAAAGTCTCATCAGGTTTAAAAATGTCAGTGGATGTTTTCCTATATAAAGATTTTCATAGTTAAAAGTTGTTTGCACTAAATCATTAAATTCCGATAGTAGTGTCCGTATGTTGGCTGGTTCATAAATGTGTGATAATTTTGTACACGTCATTCTATATCGTCGTTTTGACTTTAGTTTTCAATAAGTTTTGACATTGAAAAAGTATGTTCATACAAATATAACAATTATATACAGTTATTGAAAACATTTAAAATTTTGAACCCCTTTGTTTTTTTTTTTTCTTTACACTTCTGATGCTGTTATTGGTGCTTTATTTTTCATATTATATTCTATTCCATTTTAAGGCGCTTTAGCAGTTTCATTGCTTCATGTATGCGAGTACATTCGAGTTGAGTTGAGGGCTGGTGTTTAAAAGGGAAAACAACAATGCGAATGCAAGAACTGTCTACGAAAGAAAAAAATTAGTTTGGAACTGCAATGCTGTCTTGTCTACTATTAAATTTGTTTGTATATGATAAATTGATAAAGTAGATAGGAAGCTAGTAGATTTGTAAGTTAATTATTAATTTGCAACATAACTATTTGTGTTAATAATATTGTAAAAAGAATGTCATCATGATGGATGAACTTCATCAAATTGATAACGTTTTCACAATTCAATTAATTTTTAATAAATTGTATAGTCTTTAATAAAAGGACTCGATAAAAATGTCAATAGAAATGCAACTAACGTATATTTTATTATAAAATCACACATTCTAATTAATCAGATTTTCTTAGTATCCATCAAACTTTGGGTTTTTAGCTCACCTGCCATCCTTGTAGTAATAGGCTTCTATCCACTGCTCGTAACCACATAACTGCATCACCAGCTTCAAAATGACGTAATTTTTTGCATCGACAGTGGAGAAATATTCCTAAACATTTTAATAATTCGGAAGTTGATGCCTGGAAAAACAAATATTATTTTATTACAAATTACACATATATATATTTATACCAAATAATTTTTAAATTTATATACATACATATTTAAAGTTTATTACAATTCATGGATCATCTCACAGTCTGTACCGTGTTACTTAAGTCACCGTACATAGGGAAAAGAATCTTTTTTATCAGAACATAATATCAACGCCCATTCTTATTTCACTTCTGTGGCACCACCCTACCCCCTCCCTAATTGTATTTCTGTGTACGTCCATGGTACTATCAGTTTTTGTCTATTGTTTTAAGATTTGTTAGCTGGAGTAACGTAGACCCACCCAGTCGCTTCATCTATTGCAGAAGCAACTGGATGTACAATCCAGAATCACTTGTCTAGTCAGACAACTAAGTGCAATTCGCTTCTTTAAACAAGGACTATAACAATAATAACTAAACTTATTCATTCAACTGAAGGAACAGGCTTCAGCAACAACAGACAAATAAAATAAGGTTTCATTGATACTTGGATCTAAAAATGAATTGGAATTAATTTTTAGATAATAAGATTTTTAAAGTAAAACTTGTAAGGAACGGGTGTTCACGTGAGATTTACATCGATTACAAGTGATTTAATTTAAAACCATTTTTAAAGCTCATGTAAACGGGGGGCAACTGTCTACTGAGACTACAAATTTTCTACTAATAACAAATTTTATCAGGTCAAGTTTATAAAAGTTGAGATGAAAAGGGATGAATTTTAATTAGGAACAGAAAGATGTTATTATGCATGAAAACAAATAGCAGTGCGAGTTTTTCGTGCGAACCAGCCAGCTTGAAATACACTATAAACGGGATAATAAATTAAAAAAAAACAAACCCTAAAAAACCGGAGTTCAATTTCACTGTTTAAATATATATTTCGTAGAAAAAGACTATTACAGAATATTGTGATTTATTTATTTTACTTTATTTTATTATAGAATTTATGAAATTTTTTTTTTGTAATTTAAACATTAAAAATTACTTAAATTATTTATGTATACAGAAGGTATGCAATGCAGAAGACAAAAAGTGATAGCTTTCTGGATATATGTTATATATATTATAGATTACACCCCGCATTATGAGAGAGAAACAAAATAATTCATCTGAAAGGAAGTGATCAAAAAAAAAAACTACTTAAATATTTTATATAAAATATTCTAAAGTGAATGGGAACAGAATACCCATAAAATTGGGTATTAAAAATCAGGTGAGGTATATATTATAGATTACACTCTGCATAATGAGAAAGAAACAAAATAATTCATCTGGAAGGAAGTGACCAAGAAAAAAAAGTGAATGGGGACGGGATACCCATAAAAATGGGTATTAAAAATCAGGTCACCTCATACTGAAGTGAAGGGTATACTACACCGATGTCTGTAACTACCAATAGATGGTATTACTATAAATATCAATATTTAAAAAATACTGTTAACTTCATTTAATATATGTATATATATTTCATATTTAATGTATGTTAACTGAAAAGCTGAAGTTATTTGACATTGGAAAATAATAAATGTATATCAATTTTGTTATAACTTACTTGGATGACAGTTTTTCGAGGAATTTGATTGCTATTTTTAACTTGAATTTTATTTGCATGAACTTGTGACGGCAGCGAAAGTGTTAATGGTTGTTTTTGTATTAATTTGTTATGGTTGCTTATTGAATTCGTATTGTTAGCTCTGACAATGTCAAGAGATGTTGGTGTCTTTAGAGCTTTAGCGGTTGGAAAATAGGTATTGCGAGTCTGTTGACTATTGTCTGTATTTATATTTGGATGTTGATGCTCCTCAAAATGATTACAATGAATTTGAACATTCTTGTTCTTATCAGAGGTTGTTGAATATGTGGACTCCAAAAACTGTGCCTTGAAGCAAGCTGCAGGTAAATTAGCACATTTATTTTTGTTTTCTATTTTCTTTTTACCATGGGATGATGCTAGTTTCTTCCATGATAGAGCATTTATAAATAATGAATGCTTTTTAAAATTTTTTTCTATAGTGCTCTTTTCAGATAAAATAATTGAATTTTCATTATGTGAATCTAAGTCATTATTAATAGTATCCTTGCTAACATTATTCAGATTGTTATAATTATTTGTATTTATGCTGTTGTTTATGCTACCAGAAACGTGCTGTTGATTCAAACCATTTTTTGATAGTTGATGACAGAGTATCTTCTTATTTTCACGATTTCTGGCATTGTTTAATTGTTCATAAGAGAAATTGTTTAAATGAGATTCAATGGAGTTTGATCCTTCACTAAAGTTTTCATTCCTCATGACGGATTCTTGATTGTGTTGAACATTGTGTTGAGCTGAATACACAGGATGTCGATCCCTCGGATTAAAACTTAAAACCGTTCCCATATTTAATATCTTAAAATAGAAACAAATAAATAAAATTTTCAAAATCATGATTGTAATATACGGCACAACATACACAAATATTAATTTTTAAATATTTTATATACATGGTAATTGAATTTTATTTGATTTGATCGATAGTAGTCCCGGTGTGAAATAATATATTATTACTATTTCAATTATATCCGCATTTAATTAATTAATCAGTTTATATACTCTCTAGGCATATATTGCTTAATCTGCTTATATGTATAGTGCGTTTTAAGGATACAGTTGGTCAATGTTAATTGTTTATAATAACCATTCTTATTTTTGATTTGCATTTTTTTTAACTCTGGTAATAAATACTATCAAGCTTCCAGAGTTCGAAGTACTATTTTGCATAGAAAAGGTTTGATTTATGGAGACTTGGAGTTGAAGATTTTTTTTGTATTTGTATACATTTATATTTGTATTTGCACTCTATTTAGCTTGATTTATAGAAAATTCGATTTTTAGGACTTCAAATTATGGAAGTTTGACTGCATTATTACATGAACTATTAACTAAATACTCGAAAAAATATTATTGTATTATACACACTAATATATAATATTATATTATGTATATACCATAAATCTACAATACCTTAATTAACTTGATAAATGTACAGAAATAGGATGGGTCCTATTTCCACACCTATATATTATTATATTTACGTTTCATACTTACTACACTTTAATAAGCTATAATTGTGTAATTAAAATTAAGTTCTATTAAGTTAACTACCGAATCTAGTTATTTGTCAAGATTTCGTAACTCAGTGAAGAATATGCATTTGTGTGCATACTCGTCTGTTTGTTTGTACATATTTCGATATTTCGATTAACTAGTTATGGACTAGTCAATTTTAACTTTGCACAGGTTTTGTTAGTTCAGGATAAAACTAATCGACTACATATCTTCAATTCAAAACAATTCTAGATATGTGTTTCGGATTTAATAACTAGTGTAAATTTAAATACACATTTATTTATTAAATAATAAGTAATTAATTTGTAATATAACTATTTGTAATAAAAGATAAATATAAAATTAACTTTTTTCTTGAAAATTGATTGTATTTAGACTTTTCTTGACTAATAATTTGTTTTTATTATTTAAAAATATTTTAAAATAATTTTTTTAAAATGCTTTTAATAATTTTAAATTAGATTGATTTTATAAATATATAAACAATTAAATCGACTATGTAAATAAGAGAATTTAATAAAAATAATGAATAATTTTATTTTTTTAAATTAAAATAATTATATAATAATAATTTATAATAATAATTTATAATAATAATTTTGTTATATAATTTTATTTTTTTAAATTAAAATAAAATTATTAAAATGAAACAAATAAATATATAGCTTGAGTAAATGAAAAATTTAAATAGTATAAGTAACAAATACAACTACAATAACATAAATAAAAGTTATTAATATTATAGAAAATAAAAAACTATATTATAGTATAAACATATTAAGATTAATGTCATAATAAATCATGTGTTAATTGTTTTTGCTTGACACTTAGGAAACAAAAATAAAATTAAACATTAAAATAAAATTATTATAAAACAAATTAATATATAAATGTATAAAAATTATTGACACCTGAAAATAAATTATGTGTAAAAAAATCCAACAATAATAATATTTTTATGTAATATTATATATTATGTATTATGAAATATATTATCTGTAAAACTAAAATTAAAAAAAATTGAAGAAGCTGTGTAATTTGATATGTAATAAGCCTGGAAATATTAATTTTAAATTCTCAGGGGAGCTAACTGTTAAATGCAGATCAATTAAGATAAAAACATAATTAAAAGTTTGAATTAATATTATTCATTTATTACTAACTCACTCACTTACTATATAAACTCACTTACTATATATAAATAGTGATTCTCAATGAAAACCAACTCATAAGAATGTGGGTTTGCACTAATGCTTCCTGCTGACATGAGATCTACGATCTCTTAAAACTTGCCTTGATATGAATAGGCAAGGTATAGCCAAGGGTCAAAATAAATGTAGTGGCAAGGACAGAACATTTCAAATAGACCTCGCAGTAAGAAATGTTTTTCAGTAATTAACACTGTTGCAATGAAGTATTGGATTTAATAAGAGTACAGAATTTTAATACAGCTATCCACAATTGGATGATTATCAAAATTGAAGAGTTAATTAAAGAGAGAGAGCTTGCTCTCGATAAAACAGATTAGTTATTATTATTTTTTCTTATATACAAACACGATATTCGCACACCGTTTACAATGAATAATGATTACAATTAATTAATTAAAACCAATTCGGTTTACTGTTTTTTTAAAAGAATTGATTTGGTCCCAGAAATGACGGAAAATTTACATCTATATGGTGTGGATGACTATGCCACATTATCTGCTGGGGATGATGATGCTGAATTGTCGATCATCGAATTCACATCTTGTGGTTTAGATAATTGCTTTTTGCTGTCAGATATATAAAGAGAATTTATGATAAAAACATTGTTAATAAGAACGATAAGTAGAATATTAAAAAAATAATAATATTAATAAAAATCAGACAGTTTGGCTTTATCGCATTTTGTTTTGTTTGTTGTGTGAGAGAGTGCATCACTTTAGGTGTATTAAAGCAAGGAATAATTTGGCCACCAATTCACTAAATAAAAAGAATCTATAATATATCAACAAAATGTGCTTTCTTTATTGAGATTTAACACTTTTTATATATCTTTAACTTTATTGGAATTTATTTTTGTGGAAAGTTGAGTGAGATTGGAATCATATTAACCAACATATGATTGACTTTTAGTAAAACCAACTAATAACTCTTTAAACTCTAATATGAATGATCATATCAGAACTGTACGAAAAGTAATACATAGTGTATCGTCAATATTCCTGTAAACACGGACCGAATAGAATAATAAGAATATTCATAGCTATATCCTTAAACTAATGTTTCCTGTTGAAGTAATTATATATATATGAATATATCGAGTACAACAAAGCCTATTGTACATTTTTGTATGAAATCTTTATAAAAAATTTCTCTATATTGCTTTACATTTGTCAGTCACGACAGTGAGAATGTATTGTAATTTTAATACAATATAATACAGAAATCACAAGAAATGCCTATATATTGCATTATCAGAGGAATAGATATAACTTTTTGAGTTTTCTAAAATATTACAAAACATTTGATATATTTTTATATTGTATCGTTTTACAAAACAATCTGATGTATACACTTTTTGACCTATTTAGCATATGAGATATGTACACATTGTTAACTGGAAGCTTGGTGATAATAATAATAAGTAATAATAAAAAATAAATGTAGGTATTAAAAAAATGAATTTATCTCATAAATACTTATAAATAAAAGTTTAGTAAAAAAACATATTAAAGAAAATTTTCAAGCAAAAATATTATGAGAAAAAGTTTAATAATATGCAATATAAAATCAACTATAACAGTAATGATAGGTTAAAAAAATTACTATAAGAACTACAATTTAATAATATATTAATGTAAGTTGTTTTAGAATATATTAGAAACCCAAAAGCTATAAACAATTATGTTGAAGCCTTTTAATAAACTATGAAAAAAAGTTATATTTATACACACATATATATATATATATAAATCACTGTAAATTTTTATTTTAGTAACAATTACTGTCATAACTATATAGGTTTTATCTGATAATGTTAGTAAAAATTTGAAAATGATTGTATTTATATTGCTCATATATATTATATTATTTATATTATATAATATTTATTATTATGAGTCAAAAACAAGAATTTATTATCATAACTATATAGGTTTTGTCTGATAATGTTAGTTAAAATAGTGAAAATTATTGTATATTTATATTGCTTATTATTTGTATATATAAATTGTAGTTCCACATATCCACATATATTATATATTTTTTTATGTTATATAATATTTATTATTGTAAGTCAAAAACTAGTATTTAAATATATTTATAAATCAAACCATAAATAAGTGGTGGAGAAAAAAATATATGTAAGCCAATGTCAGCACTGCACATTATTGCACTAAAACTGGGCAAAGAACGATAAAATGGCTATATACAGAAAACTGTAAAATTTATATTTTACATTTATATCAACGTCTGTACAATTTGCTTTCGTATAAATATAGATTGTGTATTTGAATTGGGGTTTGTGATCCATTTTCTTTTTTAATTTCCTGGTAATGGAATCTTTCAGAATGTATCCAATGTTTTCGTTAATATTTTTTCTTTTCAGCAAGCAAAACACAATGTCCTTAACTTTCCCGGAAATCTGGGACATCAATTATTTTGTTAAAATCCTCATAAAACTACAGCTTTTCACAAAATATATACTTTCTTAAGTCTTTTATATATTTCTTTTATTTTTACAACACAAATTAGCAAAAAGTAAGTTAAAATAATAAATATTTTCAAATTACGTCAACAAAACTTGCACTCCTTGACATTCTTTTAGATATCACTGCTTACCTGATTTGATTACGAACTAGGTTTTTTTATGTATTTAAATTATTGAACATATCGATTTAATTATAAACTTGTGCAAGGAAGGAAGACAATAAAAATAGAAATCACTGTTAGCTGGACTTGTAGTTTGGGTCTCGTAAAGAATATTATAGTTTATTAATTTCGTAAATTCAATTAGTTATTTTATTATATTATACAACGAAATCTAGTTAATTTATTACTTTAAAATATCATAATATTTTTATTTAAGTCAAAACACTTTTGAATTTTGTATGTTTTAGTAAATTTTCTCATGAAACGTATAAATTTAGCAGTATAATAGTTGTAAAACACAATTCGAAATCAATAAAATCATATTTTACAATGATTTCAATTAATTTTAATTTTAAAATAGATTTTTATTTAATTTATGTATGGTAAGTATCAAAAACTCCCGCAGACTAGTAGTATACAGTTTTTATAGCACTCAAAATAAGTTTTATGGATTGCTTTTCAATTTCTATATTTTTTTATTATATTCGATATATTAACACTTACGTTAACGTTAATTGTTTACAAATTATTTCAACAAAATTAATTTAAATATTTTACAAATTTGCTTTTCAATGATTTGTTTACAATTATCCACCTTTATACCCTTGGAATGTGAATCTGCACAATATAGAAACTGCAATTAATTGATTCCGCTACAGCGCAGGAGCACAATCGAAAGGGTGGTTTTGACTTTATATATCCATTTTGCAGATATGCCTAAATGGAGCATGCCCAGTGCTGTCAAAAAATTTTTCAGCCATTGATTTTTTGTAAATAATCGGTATAACTGTAATTTTTCAGAGACAATACTTGTTTGTAATCGATATTTAATCGATGTTAACTGCATTTAATTTAGTAAACATAACAAAATCATGTTTAGTTATATAAAAAAACTCTTTTTTATTATATATTTGTTTAAATTCCATATAGAAATTTATTATTCATATATAAGTATTACATTTAGTAAATGTAATTAAATAGTAAATAGACAATACTTGTGTGTAATCGATATTTAATCGATGTTAACTGCATTAAATATAATAAACATATCAAAATCATGTTTAGTTATATAAAAAAAACCTTTTTTATTGTATTTTTGTTTAAATTTCACTTAGAAACTTATTATTTATATTTAAGTATTACATTTAATAAATATTAATACATAGTAAATAGTATTTATAGTGTATATTCAGTGTACAAAACATACTGTGTAATTCAAAAATCGCGCGTATTTGAGTATATACATATAGGTTTTCCATTTGTATTAATTTGATTTTTTTAGAAATAAAAAGATTTCTAAAAATGGAACATATCGCTCATCCTCTTCAAAAGAGGCACAACTCGAAATTCGTCAATTTTCAGAAAACTCAAGAAATGTCTTGCAGCATAGTGTCATTCCTAACAAAAAAATTGATATAATTGTTTTTTCGACAATTTGCAATAATAAAAACAAAATGGACTTTTTCTTGTTGGTAGACAGGTAAACTATAACTAAGTTCCATACATTTACTCAAAATTGATTAAGAAAATTAAGAAAAGATTTTTCGATAATCCATCGTTCTGTCATTTTATAGCTCTGTGTAATGTTTTTCTGATCTGATATAAAAAGAACCCTTTTGAGTCATTTGCAGCCATAACAGGAGTTGGAGGTTTGAATCTATATTTTTTTATTTTTAAATATCCTTTATTGGATATGAATAGTACAATCTTAACTATTTGTTAATTTTTTACTATTGCTGAATTGTACCTAATAGATATTAAGTAATACGTGTACGGGTTTACTGAACCAGTATTCAGCTCCCATACTGAATCCATAATGAGGCCACAACATAAGTATGAAGGATATGATCATGCACCGGTGTATTTGTATTACAATGAATCGGGCAATACGACAGTAAAATAAGTTTTAAATAATTGACAGGTTTTTTTTTGTGTTTTATACAATAATTTTGAAATCTTTTGTATACTTAATAGCCTTAAAAATTTGCTTGAAATATATTTTGTTGTTGCGGCTACAAACAACTTGAGTATTCTTGAGCTAGATGTTAAGGACGCTTTAGAACTAAAACTTCTGTATAAGAATCCTATTTATTCATGTAATTAAATTTAAATCATAACTTTTTTTTATATTTTATTTATTATCTGTAAATACAATCTGTAAAAGAATATTCAGTATTACTTATGAATGTAAAGTAGAATAAAATGATATGTAAGCATAACTTAATAATTATACTAATACTGGTTCAGTATGACAAATCAGTCTCACTGATTAATATTTGAATTTAATTATCAAAAAGATTTTGTATATCATATTCAAGTTCTTTTCAAGTTTTATATTTAATCATGATAATTTATATATAAAACAATCTTTTTATTTGTTAAAAGTAGTTTATTAAGTTTATTTCCTCGTCAATTGATTTTATCTCCATTTCTGTATATTTGGAGTTTCAATGAATACGGCCGAAAAACGTTTAAGACTGAGTAAAGTCAAATCTTCTTATCTTATTTTTTCTATACAAGTTTTAAGGAAAATTGATGTTATTGTATTATATGGACACTTTCCTCCACCTACCTATGCACAAGGCAACAACGTTTTTGTTGCAGCTTTGTTGTTTATTCTTTTTAATATAATGTAGATGCTTGGTTGTTTAAAACATGATAAAGAATAAGCAGAAAGCTAATACAGTGAAACTTCTATAACTCGAACTACTGTAAATGAATTTCTCTATAACTCTAACTTAAAAGAGTTCAACAGGATTTTAGAGAGCAAATTACATACAATTCAACTCTCAAAATTTGAACTTCTATAACTCGAATTTCTCTATAACTCGAATGAATATTTTTTCACGTATCAATTGGAATATGGGAAAATGCATTCTATAAGCCGAACTTTTGTTTTTAATATGAATCCATTTTGGTGTTAGGGGAAGTCCTTTTTTCCATGTCAAATGTTTAATTTTTTCTTTCTTATGTTTCTTCTATACAAATGCATAATATTGGAATTTCTTCCGCCGAATATGACCTCTAAATTGCAACGGCTTGATCAGTGAGTAATTCAAAATTTAAAGTGTAACTATCGCAACAGAATCGTGAAAGAAGCACTAAAGCGTATAGAAGTAAACAAAAAGCAGGATATTACACTTGTGGGTTGCATAAATCATGTAACAAAAGCTTGAGATATTAATGTAAGTAGCCAAACGATAGTGCACTGCTTTAAAAAAACTGGATTTGGACAATTGTCTACATAGGACAAACAGGACGACATTCCTTTAGTTTTTTAGAATAATTGATGGAACAGAATTATAAAGCGTGATTTAAACTAAAAAAAAATAACTTCCAGTGCTACTCTTAACGATTACATTGTGCTTGACAAAGAAATTTATACATCAAGCTTTTCTGTAGGTGACGATATTATTGAGGATTATAGCTCTGAATTAGTGGATCCGATTCTAAGCGCAATGGAAAGTGGTGATAAGAGTTCGGTGGATAAAATTGTTCATACACCTTCCAAGAATGATGTAAAAGACTTATTCAAAAAATATATACACCACGCTTTCCTGTAGGTGAGGATATTATTGAGGATTATAGCTCTGAATAAGTGGATCCGATTCTAAGCGAAATGGAAAGTGATGATGAGGGTTCGGTGGATGATATTGTTCATATGCCTTCCAAGAATGAAGAAAAAGACTCATTCAAGATTTTGGATTTTTATTTACAAACGTATGATACTCCAAATGAAGATCACTATAAACCTTGGAATAAATTGGAATCTCTTTTTACTGAAAATAAGAAAAAAAATTAAAATCCCAAACCCTAATTTCTTAAATTAAACCTTCTCTTCAAAATGGTACTTCGAGTTATGCTCAAAAAGTATCCGGATTTTGTTGTTTGTTAACTACTCCTTAGTAATAGACCTTTTTCAAAAAATTTTTTTTGTTATGTTGGTACACCCTTTCTTGAAACATGAAAAAAATTTGAGAATTCGCTGAAGAAACTAAAAGCCATACTTTCACGGGCCTACGAAAAGTGTATGGAAGATTGGGTTAAGCGTTGGCATATGTGTATCGTTTCAGAAGGAGCATATTTTGAAGGAGATAAAATAAATTTGGAATAAAATTTAAATTTGTGTTTTATTTACAAAATCCGAGTACTTTTTGAGCTGAAGGTATATCAAGAATAAATAAGAAAAAGTTTTGCATTAATTATAGTTTCAATATTTGTAAATAAATTTGTAATATGACTTGAAAATTTGTGTAGAAAATCTTTGTACAAACATTTTGAATACTAAAAATTGCATATGTATTATTAAAAACAAGAAAACTTGAATTTATTTGCCTTAAATAACCCATTAGATTATTAGATCCATTAGATCTAATGGATAATCCATTAGAGGCGTTTTAATATTCTATACTTCTATATCAGAAAAGTAGCCAGTTTGCAATACATACGATTCATTTAAATGAAACAGTCGTACTCATAATATATAATAATTGACAACCTTATAACATACTTTTAGTTGAATTAATGAAACATTTTTGGTAGCAAGAGAATCAAACAACAAACTTTATTTTTAATTCAAATATACACACTTAAAATTAAAAAAAATCGGCAAAACGCTGCGATTGAATATTAAAAAAAATTATTTTAATTGCCGAACACATTTTAAATTAAAAATTCATTATAGCATTAAATAAAATATATAAAAGTTAAGCAATTAAAACCAACTTAACTTTATAAAGCTTAAATTATTTTAATGATTATTTTATATTGAAACAATGTCAAATTGATTAGTTTATTAAATTTATATAATTGCAGTATTAAAATATTTCAATTTAAAGCACTGAAGAAGTCCAATTTTTTAACAAGTAGTTGATTTATTCTATTAGTTTGCACCTCAGCTTTTAGCATCACCACTCCAGACGGATTAACTTTAACTTTTATTTTGGTCGTTGGATACAAAATTTCATAGTCCACATTTTCATACAAATCCTAAAAGGAATTAATTTATAATAAAAAGCTGTGAATTAATTTTTTATAAAAGCATTATTGTCTTTTTTAAAATAAATATTTTATTCAAAAATAATTAGATTATTATAAATTAAATATATCTCGTAATCTTAAGTGCAAAAAAGTACATAATATATAAAAAAAATTATAAAGTTTTTTGTTATAATTTATGGTAATATATACAATATAAAGCCTTTAGTTTTTGAACAAACACATTTTCAAGTTCTGGCCAAACCTGGACATAGACACATCAGGTGTTCTGGTGTCCTGTCTTCGACAGCTGGTAGTCACGCATTAGTGGATAATAATCGCAGAAACTATTGCAACCGTTTAGTGATCAGTAAGAGATAATTTCAAGGAGCCAAATTTTTATTTAATTTTATATTTATTTTCCGATATAATCTTCTTTAAGTTCTGTATGCTTATCTTAAGAGTAATAAAACTATTTTATAGCTTCTGAAAAATACTTTGAGGTTCTCAAGGTATTTACTAGTTGCAAGCCATTTTTTAAGTTTAAAAATAAATAAAAATCAGTTGATGCCATATCTGATAAATATGATATGGTAGCACCTCTTCACTAAATTTGACCTATATACTTAACTTGGCAGTTGCAATTGCGAACGAAGTTTGCTGTGAAACAAACGTTTTTTTTAGCGAATGCAACTTGTTTGTGTAAATTTCACTATCAAAAAGCTTTCCATAATATTATACTGTTATTATATTTTATTCAATGTAACTATTAAAAAAAACATAAACCATTTTCTTCCCTACTTATGGAAGTGTCTTCGCCTTTTTTAAAGCAAGCATGTAATTCTATCACATCAGAAGTTCATCATAGTTATTCAAAATTTGTAAATAAAAACACTTTGGAAGCCTCAATCCTTTACTCCTGATTTTAATCATTTATAAGATTTTGATTCTCTTCATTACTTATTTAATTAAATTCAAATAATAAGTTTACTTGTATTATATTTATACAGACCTCCACTCGATATCCAGTGTTACTGATTAAGCCTAACTCTTTAAGTGTAACAGCCACATCGGATGGTGTACCATCTGTCCTTCTGTTAAGAAATGCTATAGCATATGAGTAATATGTTTGGTATAATGGAGCAATTGGTCTCGACCATATTTCAATTCCTTTATGTTTATATATTCGTCGTCCTTGTATTCCAAACACATCTTGGTCAACAGCAATAATTTTTCGATTTTGCAAGATTTCTTTAAATTCTGGTCTAATAGTTCTTAAGTCTACTGACATTAAAAGTGGAGCAGCTAGTATCGACCATATAGCAAATTGGGTTTTTGCTTGTTCGTAACTCAGGCCGAAATTCCCAATAATTAACTAAATAAAAAAAATTTTTTAAATAAAAATGGAAAACTGATGTCAAATATTTAATAATATAATTAATAAAATAATTTATTCTATGTATAGCATTATGATAATTATAAATTAAATCGAAAAATAAGAAAAAAATACCAGTATAAAAAGATATGTAATATAACATTTTTATAATTTTGATTACTTACGGTAGACTGCAGTAAGAAATTCAAACAACAAAAATTAACTTTCATTTCAGTAATTTTTTATAGATTACCGGGTTTTATGTCTAGCACTTGCAATTATATAGAAAGAATTAAGACCAATAAATATTTTCAAAGACAAGTTAGCCAAATTCAAGCTAATAATTTGAAAGCTGTCATTAACAAAAAAAAACATCATTATTAGTGACTCACCAATTCTATATGTTTAAAATACTCTATTTAATACTCTTCTGCAACTCACTTAGCACCTGACGTATCTGTTGTAGGGCATAATTAACTGATTCCTCTCATTAAAGTTTAAGAAAAGTCCTTTTTAAGAAAAGTTTATTTTTATTGCAAATATATGTTTTTAGTATATAAAAATTTTAGTTTTTATATAAACACACAGCCATACAATCCCTTATTTGATAGTTAGATCGGTTTATCTTATCGAACACATCAAAAATATGTTTAGTTTATAGTTAAAAGTTTCTTATATAAACTCAGATAACTAACTGGTCAACTAACATGACTCATTTCCACTAATATTTATTACTTTTAATAATACAACATTTTGAAAGTTTTGGTAATGTCCATGTGTCTACAATATCTAGTAATAGATCTATCTAGTAATAGATAATGTTCATGTGTCTATGTCATATAGGAGTACATAATGAATAAACTCCACAATGATGACTATAGATTATAATCGAAATATTGGTTAAAATAAAATCTTTCAAAAACAAAAACTTTTTTAAAAAGTTTATTATTTAACCATTGACCAATTAGCCCGTTAAAAAACTAAATTATTATTTAAAATTTTTAAATATAAATTAATAATAAAATTATATATTGTAACCAAAATAATTCCATGAAAAGATCAGAAATAAATATGGGATATCTCTCATCTTCACAGAAAGACAAATACTAATATAAGAATTAATTAAGTTTTTCCAAAATTTACCATATCTGGGTCATTCCAATGACCTGGTCCAGCATTGGGTGCAATAATATCTTGATTATTACCATAATAGTCAATTATACTTTCAACTGAAGCCCAAGAATCTTGAATATCATCAAAATTTCTCCATAAATTACAATGCGTTCTAATAGCTGTAAAGTTTGGTTGTATTCCAGCATATATTTGATAAACTGGCCAACTGCAGGAGTATATCATTGGTTTTCCAGTGCTATTTAATATTCTTTCAAATTCCGAATAACCGGCATCCATGTCTTGAGGAAGTGAATAACAACCGTCTAATTTGACATAGTCAACATTCCATTCGGCAAACTGTTTGGCATCTGAATATTGATGTCCAATTATACCTGGGTAACCTGCACATGTAAAATTTCCGAAATCTTCATATATGCCTATTTTCAAACCTCTGGAATGAATCTGAAAATAAAATCAAAAATTTTGAATGAAATTATCACAAATGAAAAATTTTAAAGATCATTGGTCTATTAAAAAATAATTCGAAAGATTACATATTTTTACATAATTAAATATACTGATACACGTAAGCAATGTTTACTTCAGAAAATTTACATTGTAAATTAAAAGCGTATGACGTATGTTAGTCAATTTTTTTTAATGCTATGGATTAGATGGAAATAACTATATAAACCGTATATGTTGTAGATAAGCATTACAGAATAATTCACTATGTTCTAGGTATCAAGAAATTATGCTCTCACAAGAATTTGTTGAATGAATAAAATTATTTATATAAGGTATAAAAAATTTCCAAATATAGTTAAAAACATTTGTTATACAAATAGCGGGTTTACTGATAATCTAAAGATCGTTTGTTCTTTTTACATTTAACCAATGTCATATAATTGTTGCAACCTCGCAGCTTTTAGTCACAGTTCATACGTGTACTCGTCATCGGGATAGTGATTTCATCTCTGTTTCTAAATAGTTCGCACATGAGGTTTGTATTAAGAACAGTCCTATTTATATCTATCTTAGAGTATCTTCTACCAATTTCCTATATTGTTCCCATTAATATCCCTAAATCAAAGGTTCCAACAAAGAAATTCTGCCGATTTTCAATATTCAGTACTATATGCCCACTCCGCTTTCAATTGCCTTCATTGTTGCTTGTCTTAGATAGTGCCATTCGAAAGTTGATATGCCCACCTTACCTGCATATTTTTCGAGAAGTTATCTGCTATGTATCCTTTTTATCTTTAAACTATTCATGTAGTTAGTAACTCCAGTGCTATCCACTACTGATCCCAACTGTCAATTTTTCTTGATTGGAAAAAAGTAGTAACTCCAATCCAGAATAGTCATGTTGAATGCAGTTTAAATTTAGCCACGACTGTAAATTGTACTTCATCCACATTTAGTTCTTAAAATACTCAGATTAACCAGGCTTTGTATTTGTCTCATGTGAAACTGATTGCATATTTTTCCCAATCCCTACCACTAAATAAGGAACTCATACGTAATGATGAATATGTGAATATGCATTTATATTTTCAACAATGTATCTTTGTCATGACAAGTTTTTTTCAAGTAAATTTGGCGTACATTGTGATCTACTATGTAACATATAGGAGTATAACTAGATTAGATTTAGTTTTAAATTTTACCATAAAAACCAAAACTTTGTGCAAAACAGCAGCATTATATATTTTTATCATATGAAAATGAAAGTAACCTGGTGTTTTATTTTAATGCCTTTGCCATCTATCGTTCTTAGCAATTTGAAAAACTTTAATACATATTCCAATCGTCTTTAACTTGCGGCAACTGCAATGAATTAAAAAAATCAGTTAATCTTTACAGACTTTAATCCCACCAAAAATAAAGGCGATTCATTGAAACTCCGCCTTTTAATGAAATATGCTGTTTGTTAAAACTGTTATAAATGCAGAAATGTAACTCTGTTACCCACAAGATAAAGCACAGACTGTTTGCATATGTAGATAATAACATAAATTCAAAAAAATGTTTTGAAAGAAAAAAACAAAAAAGAACTTTAACCATACTAAAGTAGTTTTTTTTCAAATAAACATACTTAAACATTTTTTTATATAGTATATAGTCACCTCTGTCTTGAAAATTAGTTTAAAAGTACCGTGCAAAAAAGGAAAAATTTGTTAAAGAAAAAACTGGCGATAAATTTTTTTATGATTTCCGGAAACCATATAGAACTATATTTAGTTAAGAAACAGGGTAAAGAAATACTTACAATGGTATAATAGTACGTTTACATGATCAGATTAACAGAAAATCAAAGCAGACGCTCTAATGAATTTGCTAGATTATAGATTTACCATTCAAAAATAAAATCTCGTTCTAGTCAAGATTAATACAGAAATCTTGTTTGAAATGGGGGTTGTCTTTCTGTGCAACACTGAAAATGTCTTTATATCGTAAATTATTATTACGATATTGGGATAATTGAAAACGCAATGTTTGAAGCTATTTAATAGTAATCAGCAGCAGAAGATGTTGGGGTAAGCAAAAATTTGTTAAGTTGGCATTATAATACAGAATTTTGTACATACTTTCAATTTATTCATTTGATTTATTATTTAGGAGTGGTCGTTTGAATTGTGGTAGCCTTACAAAGATACCTTTCTTCATTTGGTTTTCCTATGTTTTTGGTATGGCTATAATTTTAATAAGTCATTAGAATGAATGAAGATGTAGTAATGTTATGTCGATATTTTGAAACACATACCCAAACAGTAATGAAGTAGACCTTTTAGTACATGTTTCCTTAACACAATCTATTCAAAACAAAATACCAATTTGTTATATTTATTTTTTGAATTGCATGACATGGTTAGAATATGTTGTATATTGTTCATAAATATACTTAAAGAAACGTAAAGATTAGGGCTACAAAAATCATTCATTTAACCTAAACGTAATATACATAATACATATAATAATAATTATGTAATAATATTTACATAATACATTATTCAGGAATTTACGTTTCCCAAAACAAAAAAAAAATAATATCCTTATTAGATATATAGTCGAACTTTCATAACTCAAAGTACCACTTTTGCAAAGAAAAGGTTCCACTTATGAAGATTTTGAGTTAGAGAATTTTTTTATTATTTTTGTTTTTGAAAGAAACTAGAATTTTATTTTAAGATGTTCATTTATTTATTTGAAATCATATACAGCACAGAAGTTATAGTAAAGTAAAATATTCAAAAATTAGGGTTTGAGATTTTAATTTTTTTTCTAATTTACAGTAAAAAGAGATTCCAATTTTTTAAAGTCTTATAGTGATCATCAGTTGTAATATCAATCGTTTGCAAATAAAAAATCAAAATTTTGAATGAATCTTCTACTTCATTTTTGGAAGATAACCAATTTCATTGGTTTGAAAAAAGTGACTTCCTCTAACACCAAAATGGATTCTTACTTAAAACAAAAATTCGACTTATGGAATGCACTTTCACATATTCCAATTGGTACGTGACAATATTCGAGTTATAGAGAAATTCGAGTTATAGAAGTTCGCGTTATGGAAGTTTGACTGTATTTTTATTAGAAGCATTACATCCACTTATTATTTATCCATAAATTTCATAAAATTTATTCAAATAAACAATATAAGCAAAACAAAAGAAACGTCAAAACTAATTTCCAATCTTCAATGTTAATTATGAAGATTAGGGCTGACCAAAGTACGGTACGTGGGACACATGCGGCTAATATTTGTGTGGCCCGCGACTAATGTTTGTACGGTCCAGGACATGTTTTTAATCTATGACATTTACTCAAATTTTTTTTTGATGTACTGGTACATTATTTTATTTTTATTGTATATTAAATAAATGAAGTTAAATTAATAAATTAATGAAACTAAATTTAACAATATAACTGAATTTATAATCTATACAGTAATCTGTATTGGCCGGCCATAGCGTCTGATCTGGACAACCCTGATGTCCAGATGATATTAATAATGCTAATTTACTTAATCTGGTTCCCTTAATCAAACAATGTAAACGTTCTATAACTTTTAAAGTTTTTAATACAATTTTATTGAGTAATAAATAAATTGAGTATATATTGTACAAAATGCTTAGGTAAGGCTATCCAATAAACAGATTTCCAATAAACAGAAATTACGTTTCACAGTTAGCTTGCTAAAAGAGTTTTAAACGCGTGGATGTATTTGAAAATCTAGAACTTAGGTAGTAAATGTACAAATCTTTTGATTACTTGTGAATACAAATATTTCATTATTATTTAAAAATTTATATTTTAATATTGTTGCTGTTAGGACTAACTTATATATATATGGCTAAACAAAATGTGAACACAACAGCTTATTATTAAACACATTAAAGTAATTTTATATGTTGGCCTGAAGACAGCATTACTCAATTCTTTTAAAACTTGAAGAAAAGTAATTATGAATACAATTTTATGGTTTGTTATTATAAAGAAAAATATTGTGTTAATTGACCAATAAATACATATATACGAATATCACAAATAATCACACATGAGTTACAAATATTAATTTATATAATATGTATATATGTATATATATATATATATAACATATATAACATATAACATATACACATATGTATACAGTCAAACTTTCATAACTCGACTTTTTATAACTCGAATTTCTTTATAACTCGAATATTGTCACTTGCCAATAGGAACATTAGAAAGTGAAAGTATGAATCCAATTTGGTGTTAAGGGAAGTCCCTTTTTCCATGCCAAATGTTAAATTTTTTCTTTCTTATGGTGCTTCTATACAAATGCATAAGATTAGAATTTCTTTCGCCGAATATGACCTCTAAATTGTAATGGCTTGATCAGAATATAATTCAAAATTTAAAGTGTAACTATCGCAACAGAATCATGAAAGAAGCACTAAAACGTAAGTGCAAAAAAAAACAGGATATTACACTGGATTGCATAAATCATGTAACAAAAGCTTGAGATATTAATGTAAGTAGCCAAACGATAGTGCACTGCTTTAAAAAAACTGGACAATTTGTCCAATTGTCTACATAGGACAAACAGGACGACATTCCTTTAGTTTTTTAGAATAATTGATGGAACAGAATTATAAAGCGTGATTTAAACTAAAAAAAAATAACTTCTAGTGCTACTCTTAACGATTACATTGTGCTTGACAAAGAAATGTATACATCAAGCTTTCCTGTAGGTGACGATATTATTGAGGATTATAGCTCTGAATTAGTGGATCCGATTCTAAGCGTATTAGAATGTGATGATGAGGATTCGGTGGATGAAATTTTTCATCCACCGAAAAGCTTCCGGAAATTTTAAATAAAACGCAAAATTCTTAATCTTCATCAATATTTATTTTATCTCCTTCAAAATATGCTCCATTAGAAGCGATACACAAATGCCAACGTTTCTTCCAATCATCAAAACATTTTTTATAGGCGCTTTCCGGTATGGCTTTGAGTTCCCTCTGCGAATTCTGTTTTACGTCTTCTATGGATTCAAAACGCGTTCCTCTGAGTGGTAATTTGAGGTTGGGAAACAGGAAAAAGTCACACGGTGCAAGATCAGGTGAATACGGTGGCTGTTCGATGGTATTTATTGAATGTTTGGCCTTAAAATCGTTGATAATGTTGAACAAATTGAGGTGAATCGGAACAAGCCGGGCGTTGACACGTCGCATACACAAATTGTCCACCAAAATCAAACGAGCCATCTCACGACCGATGCCTAGCTCTCGTGCTATCTCTCTAACACTCACATGAGGATTTTTGAACACGATTTCCTTTGCCTTTTCAATGTTTTCGTCGGTGGTAGAGGTCGAAGGTCGTCCAGAACGCGGCATGTCTTCGACGGTCGTACGACAGTCCTGAAAGGCTTTGTACCACTCATAAACTTGAGTTTTCGATAAAACTGATTCCCCATAAGCCTTTTGTAGCATTCGCAACGATTCTGCACACGAAATTTCGTTCGAAAAACAAAATTTGATGCAAACTCTTTGTTCAATATTTTTTTCCATTGTTTTTTTCGCAACGCACTACTGAGGTGAACTGGTTTCAACAGCTGCCGTAAACGAACTGTCTGACAGATCGCGCTCATTTTTGGCATAGAAATTAAGGACAGTGCTGCCAAACTACATAAACTTAAAATATCGAAAAATATACAGCGCGCGAATTTTAAATGAGAATTTCCGAAAACTTTTCGGTCACAATGTATGCCTTCCAAGAATGAAGTAAAAGTCTTATTCAAAATTTTGAATTTTTATTGTTTTGGAATTTCTTGTTACTGAAAATAAGAAAAAAAAATTGGAATCCCAAATCCTAATTTCGGAATATTTTACTTCACTGTAACTTCTGTGTTGTATTTAATTTCAAACAAATAAATAAACGTTGTAAAATATAATTCTAGTTGCTTTCGAAAATAAAATAAAAAAAATAAAAAAATTCTCTAACTCGAAGTCTCAATAAGTCAAATCTTTTCTCTTCAAAATAGTATTTCGAGTTATGGAAGTTTGACATTTTTGTAACAAACATCAGTTCGCAGTTTTCAATAATGTATTAAAGACAATTTTAAAATCAAGTGCTATATTTGATCAGATATCATACTTAGACTATGACATCCTTAAAGAATATATGATATATTTGTAAAATATTGTGTTAGTGTTTCACAATTTGAATATAATGGGTGATAAATTGTTATAGCAATCAATAAAACAAAAACAACTTTCAAAATTATTAAAATATAAAATTTACTCACATAATCCGATAACGCTTTCATGCCACTTGAGAATCGTTTACGGTCAGGCACTAGTTTTCCATTGGGAGCACGAAATTTCTCCAACCAACAATCGTCAATATTTACATATTCATACCCCACAGCAGCATATCCGTCAGTAATCATTAAATCTGACATTGTTTGAAAAAGCTGTTCACTGAAAAATGCACCAAAAAAGCAGTTTTACGCTAATCATTAATAATATAAAAATTATTAAAACTATTAAACGAAACACATTTTTATTAATGTCACAAGTGATTTTGTGAATACACGGAAGATTGGATTTCGTGACCCTCTGTTCCATAATTATTATTTTCTACTGCTATTTTTCATAAAACTTTGTTGTAGAATAAATACATACAGATATTATTTATTTATTAATTTACTTATTTTATGTATAAAAATTTTTCCATAAATAAAACAAAGCTTAATCAATATCCTATGAAATGGTCAGAGCACTATACGTGAAGAATCATAAAATAATGAGTAAAAGTTGAGTAAAAGTTTATAAAAAATTTCTGCATTATAGCGTTTTGGTGTTACAGCTAAACATGGTTTTCCATAAGATAAAAACTGTTAATAAGTTTTTATATTTAAATTACAGCAGAATTAATTATGGCATTAAACATTAATAACGTATGAAAAATCTAGTGTCACTGAGTATTATTGTAATCTTTTTCTTGTAGATTGTTGGACTTTTTTTTGTAGATTGTTGAAATGAATTCGCGATATAAATATTTTTGTATAATAATTTATGAAGTAATTTTTACAAACCTTACACAGTTGTCAGGATCATTTTCACAGTCAGTATTGCAGCGAAATCTTTCCCAAGAAAGCCATCCCATAGGCGGAGTTCGGGCTAGCCCATTCTCTAAACAAACAGCTTGTCTCAAAAATGTTATAATGATAATTCCAACAGAATATATAAGATGAGACTTATAGCCTGCAAAAAATATTAATATTTGTGTTAATATTTGTGTAGCTATAATAATTTTGAAACAATTTTACTAATATCTTAATACAATCAATTAAAATATTATAAAAAAGTGAATACTTTAATTTATTGCTTGGTGTATATATATACAGCGTGTCATTAGAATATTATATTCCAAATGACAGTGATACAATTAATACAATAATCAGTTGTTTATTTTATTCCCCATTTTTAAAATAATCCATGAATGAACCATCTGTTCTATAAAATTGATATATAACGATATATATCGCAGAAATCTATTTTGCAAAACTCAAAATAACATTTTTAGCAAGACACGTTGGGATCTTTTAGAACGTTGGGGTCTTACGGTTTGTAACCTTAAGAGAAAGACCAAGGCAAGAATTCGGATTTTGCCCACTTTTCCACAGCGCGATGCCCTTATTCTCTACACAACAAGCGGTCTCAATGTGCTGTAAAAATATCATAAATGAACCCAATTTTGTTGGCAATCACTTAGTTATTTTTCAATTAAATAGAACGGCATGAATATATAAAGCTAAAGTATTATTTAAAAATGAACCTAAATAAATAGAAAACGCTAAAGCTTTTAAAGCTCTATTGTCTGTTAATAAAATGCCTTAAAAACTTAAAAAAAGCAGAATAGTTTTATTTATATTTCAACGTAATAAGTCAATATAAGAAAAAAATAATGGTGGTAATCATACAGGTAATCTAAATCCTATAGAAAAGACTAATACTATAAAAAAATCAAAAAAATTTCAGTTTAGAGTTCGCCCGCATATATCGTGGGACACCGAACAGCATTACGTTATCATTTAGGTTGAAAAGGAATATAATTTGGAGGTCAACAAAATTATAATAAAAACAATGTTGTTTTATATAACACAGTAATTTGTTTGTTGGTGTGTTTATTTCTATGCATATATGTATGTATGCCAGCGCAATTAAGTATTGACTGCGTGCGTGATTGGAGTGATAAGGTTTACGTTATAATTGATACAAATCGAATTAAGTATGGCATTTAATAAGCAATGTCTGCTATTTTTGGTATGGCTCGGCAAATGATTTGTGTCTTTTGCTATTTTTGTTTTAATCGTTGATTTTGTATCTTTTTTATAACTATCAAAACTAGTTGGTAAGCTTTTTTTTATTTCTTAATTTAATTGTGTTAATTAAACATTTTAAAAGATACATTTTAACTTTAATTTAATTTGAAGAATTAAGAAAGAAAAGAAAAAATTAAAAAATAAATAAAGTAAAAAAATCAAAATAAAAATTTAAACGTTACTTAGGGAGTCGAATGTGGAGCTTATAATAACTTTACTGAATGAATGTTGACGATGTTTTGTTTTAAATTTCATACACAATTTGAAGAAATATGTTGTTTGAAAGAAAGTTGTGAATACCATAATATTATTAATATTACATTTAATGAAGGGTTTTTGTAAGCGTGTAATATAAAATAAACATTACCTTGAGTTGGAACTTTCTGTTACTTTGGTAAAGAAACCAAAGTTCGTATTTGCGTACCCATGAGCGGCTCTTCAATATGAGCAACTTGAAGGCTCACGCTGATGAGCCTTTCTTCAATATGAGCAAATTTTGGGCTCACGCTTATAAGCCAATTTTAGGCTCACGTAATAATTGACTCTTAGAATGTTTTATAAATTTTAAACCTACTTCTATAGGTATCGATAAAGTCGAAGTAAACATTTGAATTTGCATTTATGTAAGTCTAAATATTTATCTATTTCTTTGATAATATAAAATTATTACATACAATTAATAAAATGGGAAATAATTGATAATGAAAAAGATTTTAGGTTTAATAGTCTTACCAAATAATGCTATATGTATTTAATAATTTACTAAAGTAAAGGATAATCTGGAACAGTTGATAAATTATATATAGTGAGGGGTTGGGTCTTATAAATCTTACATAATTAAAATGAATTGGATGTGATAAGTAAAATAAAATAATAGTGAAGAAATTATAAAATAATAAATATTCTTTACTCCAAAAGAACTATAAGCTTTACAATTATAAGAACATAAAACTTTAAAGGGTCTTCTCTCACAACAACAGCATTGTTTGAAATATCTTATAAGAACTTACTAAAAATTCTAGAGAAATATAAACAACCTAATTAAAAACATTAATAATAGTAACTTGTGCGATATAATAGTTATAGTCAGTCTCGCTGGAAATGTGATGCATTTAGGCCCTTAGAATGACCTTAGAATAAAAATACAGTAGAAAAGGTTTTGAGAAATGGTAAAGATACCTCTAGATTGGGTCGGAAAATTACTGTCTTTGTCAATAAAATAAGTATTTATAGGTATATATAGGTAAATATAGGTAAATATATTTATAATAACGGTACATAAATAAGCATGATAATCAGTTGATACATGATAAAGCTCATATCAAAGTATATTAAGTTTTTAATGTTATTTTTTTCTTGAAACTATTTAAAAGTTAGTATAGTGAGTTTTGTTTTAAACTTTGTAAAACGTTTTTATTATAATGTATAATAATATTATACGTTTTGTGATAATGACGGTTTATTAGTGCCAGAGTTTTGTACGGTTTACAAATAAAATTGGTCCTGGGTAGATTAATATTGAGTACCATTTTTGCCAATCAGAGCCTATTAAAACTGTGCCTAAATTTGTCAAAGATACACCAAACTTTTTATTTAATTCAATGAAAATTATATTGCACTGAATTTTTAATTAATTGTTAGTTAATTGTATAATTAAACTATAATCAGGGCGGTGATAATCAAAAAACGTGTAGAATTTATATATAACTTTACATTTTACAACCGAAAATGTTGCAAGGATTTATTCACATAATTTGACTGATGAACTTACTTCCACCGATCGATCAAATTTGGTAAATGAGCAACTTTTACCTATTTAAAAAATGCACATGTCGATGATAGATAAATGTTGGATGAAAGTAGAAATCAATTTTTGGCTTATACCCACAACAGGAAGGATCGTTACTTCAGACGCATTAACTTCGCTTCCGTTTTATCAAATATCATAGAATTATAATAGCATAACAATCAAACTTCCATAACTCGAACTCCTATAACTCGAATTTCTATAACTCGAGCTAAATAGAGTGCAACAAGGTTTAAATGGTGCTTTGAGTTATGGAAGTTTGATTGTATATCCTTCTATCCAACTTCTGCTTACTTTGGAGTACACTTTGCATTTACTCGGATTTTCAAACCTTATTGCTTCAATTAAGGATTAATGTATTCTCCAAGGAACAGTTGAAATAGAAGATTAAATGGTACATAATATACATACACTGCGTAAACCTTTTAGCGTTATTGCACACTCAGCATTAGAATGGAATTCACAAGGTAGAAGGAATGGATAAACCTTTTAGAGTTATTGCACACTCAGCATTAGAATGGAATCCATAAGGTAGAAGGACGGCCAAAAAGTACATGGAGAATATAATATGGTAATATGGGTGTGTGGAAAGCATATGTGAATAGACTAAGTTCTTAAATTGTGTTTGTAATTTATAGAACATATCATGATAATAATAATAATCTCCGACATTGTATTTGATAAGTGATTTAATTGAGCTAAATAATGTAGGGTGTTTCGATGTTCTGTTAAACAATTTGAAATTATTTTATTTGTTAAACGTTATTAAATAATAAGTAACATAACATAACAATATGAGAAATAAAGGGTATACAACAAAAACCCAAAACAAATAAATATTGTAAAATGTATAGTCTAATAATTTTTATTATTGAAGTAAAGATTCCACATTAGCACGCGAGTAAGTCGCTTACACTTTTAATGGAAAGCGTAGATACGAGCAAGTAAAAGCACAACTAGAAAAACTTTTTTATTCTTAATTATTGTGTATATCACTTTCACTAAATGCAGATCGAAGCATGACTACATCGAAACATGAAGAATGCACTTAAAGAGTGCTGGACAATTATTACATATTACGAATCGGCGCTTTTACTTTCTAATTGTTTTTTTAATTTTAGACGATTTACGATATAATGACTTGAACAAGAGAAACCAGAGACGAAAGAGGTTAGAATGCAGACTTCGAAATGAGTGTTTATGCCAACGTATAGTATGTGTGGAATAGTATCTGCTTGACTATAATTAAGTTCAACGTTTACATTTAGTATGATTTGCGTATATTCTTTTCTGCTATTCTTAGATTTAGTTTATTGCGTTTAACTCGCTGGCATAACCAGTTTTCGTATCACTTTTACACGTCTGCAACTTTTCCATTCATAACCAAATTGGACATCAAGTGTACAAATATAGTCATATTTGTAAGTTAATGTACCTTACTTTCACTATATTTATAGGACATACATATCTACTGTTTAATATGTACATTAAGTCACCTTTATTCAATTGGTTTTAACAATCTAATGTACTAAATGTATCTACGTATGTATTTTCATTTTACTCATATGTAAATTTACCTGCAGAATTACCTGTTAAATTCAGATAAGAGAAATATTTTATTTGTTTTAATGGATAAATTCTACTAATGTTAGTATTAAAAAGATTTACAATGTAGTATCATCTATACTAACCGCAATATTGCTTTCTTTTACAATGAATAATGAAAACAGTTAAAAACAATCGTATATACATATGTAAATACAAAAAACTCTCTCTTCATTTATTAAAGAAATTATTTAATAGAGGCAATTAATTACATTAAACACATTTAAATTAACAGAATTAACAGAACTTCACTAATAAAATACAAATTGGCATGCAACGAATTGTCCGCGTGTATGGACATATGTATCTACATATTTAAATAATTCTTACCTCCTTTAGATGGCTTCATTTTTCAAATCAATTTTTTTATTTGATATTAGTTTTAACGTTACATATGTAAATTTAGTTATATATTTAATGTTATCAAAATGCTGTTAATTTAGTATTATTGGTAAAAAAAATTATTAACAAAATATACATATGGCGCTATGTATTTACATATATTATGTACACATATTTACATATGTATGTACACATATACGTACATTTATTGAAGTGAATTATTTACACAAGTATATATGTTAGCATATTTATATAAAACAAATTCAATAGTAAACAATTGATCAGATACAATTCATTGTAATGCAGAGTATGAATAAGTGATTATATATTTTTGGGTATAACTTTGCGCACATTTTAGAGACTCTTGAGATGCTTGTATCAAAGCGTAAAAGTTTAAATAAAATTACGTTCACGACAAGTAATATTAATAGTAAAAAACTAAAATCATCAAGTTTTTATATATATAATATATTCAAATTAGTTATTAAATCAAATTTTTAGCAAATAATAATTTTTAGTACTACATTTTTTACAGTTATTTGATAATGCTAGTCCTTCAAATACTGAAATTATACAAAGAGTTCATTCAAAAATACTGAGAACAATCACTGGTACTCCATGATATATTAGGAATGAAAGTATCGACTGAAATCTACAAATTCTCTCAGTTAAAGCTGAATTTCACAATATAAGAAAAAAATACAATAAAAGACTGAGAGAACATGTTAACTTAGAACCCCTTAGTAAGGAATCTTGTACTTCTATCCACTATTTATCGTCTAAGCTAAGAGCTAACGGTCCAGCCATTGATTCAAATTTCATAGCTTTAAATAAAAACCGCACTCTTCTTTTTAGTAATCTGATAAAGCTTAACTGCTTTGTTTATATAAACCACCTAACCACCTTACTCCAATGAAATTTAACCCATGGCTTTAAGCGAGGTTCGTGATATTAGGTTCACTTATTTTATTTCATATTATACAATGTATAGTTAATTGTGATATTATGTAATTAGTGATAAGATTTTAAAATTTATTGTTAGTCTCATTATAAGAGAAGATACAATAAATAAATGTATAAGTATTTGAAAAAAAAATTTTATGATTAATATTCAATATAAAAGATGTTTTATTTATAATTAGAATGGACGGCCTGGTGTCCATTTTCAATTTTTACCTAAAAAAGGAATGAGCCATAGAAAAATCTAAATGGAAAAAACTACAGTAGGAAAACTCAAGAACGGCTTAACTAAATAGTCGTGTACCAATTTCAAGTCCATTACTTATATTTTAATTGGATATCTAATACTGTACTAATTGAATGCTGTACTAAAATAGTTTTTGGAATTATAGTTCTTCAAAGTTAACGATTTACTCAATCATTAACTTAAATGTTAATAATTCAACACGTTTTAATAATAAAATGGGTGGTATTGTCAGAAAGGCTTATCTAAAAATTGTTCATTACCATAATGCTGATATTTGGAATTTTTGATCAATCATGCACCATATTTTGTAATCGATCCATAATGTGAGTTATCTATAAGGGTTATTTCTTCAACTATAATCGCATAAATTTATTAAAGCGTAAGTTAGTAAAAAAGAATAATAATAATAATACCCTATAAAAATATTTTATAGAAGACATTTTTGTCTAGCACTAACCAATTTAAGTGAGTTACCTACTAAACGATAAAAGCAAAAAAATTTACCAAAATGTATGACCATTATGAGGGTCACCATTTATATCGAGAGTATTGGCAACCTTAACTATTGTGAAATAGCAGTTGAAAATATTACATATTTTGTCTTATGAGCGCATTTGTTTTTTGTTTACTCGGCAATAAAATAAAATTATCCTTTAAATATTTCCGTGTGAAAGGGTTATCACAATTCGCGGTGTGGATTATTCAAACAAGAGTACATCGATTAACTTACCTTCACTTTTGACAATGAAACACCATCCTTCATAAATGTTAAATACTGGTTTAGCAAGTTCAATAGTGGACGTCGTTTGTAAAGTTCGTAAAGGTTGTCCACAATAAGTTGAGGTGCTAGAAAACATTCATAATTTGCAAAAACTATGAATGGAAGATTCTAATAAATTAGTCGTGAAATGGATTTGACTTCGTTTGATTGGAGCAAAATACTTAGAAAATACAACAGAGTTATTTTAAAAATCAAATATGATTGTAATAGATGTAAAAATATAGATCTCATAAATCAATGAATTTGAAATTAACCAGGAGTCGCCTGCACCGCCGAAAACTTTCAGAGTTTAAAAAAAAAATCTTTTTAAAATATATAAAGTGTTTATTGTTTTCGCAAATAATTTTTTTAATAGTGTTTACACATTTCACAAATAATTCAGTAACTGCTTAATCACTACTTTTTATGTAGAGTTTTTCACTACTCTCAGGTCCTATATTTCTAGAAATAGAACATAAAAAATTTTTCAAGTTCCCATGATTACTAAATGAATATACCCTTCAAATTAATGATATAAACTACAGCCAAAAAAATGGATTGATACTTTTATCTCGATAAATTCTTTAGACTTTATTTATTTAGAATGTTCCTATACCAGTCCACCCAATATTTTACTTCACATCTTAAGTGTACACATAATGGAGTTATTTCTGTTGTTTAAGGTATTATAATTAAAAATTCCAGATTTTGATTTGGTTATAGTATGTACAAAGTACTTACCCCAACTAGGGGGCAAAGTAAATATTTAAAATAAGAGCAAAAATAATAAACAAAAGTAAAATTCAGCAATGAAATAGTAATCATATATTTAAAAATATATCATCACTTTTGTTATATGAATATAACATATCTTACATGCATCGCGTTATTACACCCTGTATTAACTGTATTTTTCACCATGTGAGTTCTTCCTTTTCAGAAAGTACCAATTGCCGATGAAATGAAAGCGCTTTGTAAGTGTATAAGCCAACTAAAAGTTTTCTTACCGGCATTCCGAAGACCTGAATAGATGATCTTAAATACTGATTTAACATACTTTTAGACTGTGTTGAGTCAGAAGAGGAATATTTTGTAGAAGTACAGAAGAAATGTAATGTGAAATGTAAAAATCTTTTTTATTTCTACATTAACTTAGTGCATGTTATAAATGAACTCCTTTTCAAGCATCTCTTAATGTAAAAATACCTAAGACCTCTACATCAAAAATTTGGAATTAATATAGGTTATTAATGAAGTACCACACCTAGACTACTTTCATACTCTGCCTTAGTGTACTACTGCTCTCATAATTAGGATGTGATTTGGAAAAACCATAAAACATCGTTTTGAATGCAGTTATTAACCCGTATGTTATTTTCTTTAATAGGAGCTACAAACACACAACCTAAATACTATCTAAATTAAAAAATAAAACCTAAGATTTGTTAGCATGCTAAAAATGATGGGTACACTAAATTAATCTTTCAAAAAAATAGAAGTTATTTCTAACGAAAGCAGTGACCTACCTATTTCCAAAAATTAAGGCTTTAACAAATGGTGTGAAATTTGAAAAATAGAATGGATATATCAAAGCAGATAGAAGTTGAAAATTATTTAACAACTTATGGTCTACTTAACAAAAGTATGTAAAAATCTCTGACTATCGGAACTAAGCAGATCATTAGGAATTTTATAACCTTATTTAAAATTACTACCCCCTAATATATATAGACAATACTTAATGATATATTTTGCATTACTCGCAGGCAAAGGTTGCTAATGTCATTGCCCTATAAGAATAATAGTTTTAAAAATATATAATAATAAATGATATTAAGGATTCAAACATTTGATTTTAAAGCAATTAAGCTACCATATACCATCGCAATTAGTACACTAAAGAAATTATTTTTAGACTTAAACAATTTTGCTGTTGTTCTTATGATGCTCTAAAGTAAGTGAAAAGAAGAAAAAAATTAGGAATGATTTCTTTATTTGTAACTTGATTAATGCCAGTGTGGCATAGTTAATTTGGTTATAATCAGTCGCATATACAAGGGGGGGATTTTTGTATTTAAACCAATTAAAATAAAATGTTAAAGCGACTGTACTTTTGTTTATCGTTCGGTCATGTCATGATGTATTCATAATGTATATACTTTTGTAAGATTTATTTATTTTTTTAGATGTTATTTATTTTGAGTTCAACCACTTTTAAGCCGTCCGTGCTTACATGTCTGCTAGACTCTATACTCTTTTTAAATAGCTATTTGTGGTATGTATAGGTACTTAGAATTAATCGCAGAATATCACACTGTTGAGTTCAAGTAAAGCCGGACCTAACGTAACACTTACTTACCGTTATCCTCTTCTCATTGTGGAGCATAGGGCCTCTGCCATAGAACTAAACCAAACTCTATTGGGTGATTTCTCAAACCTAACACAATATTCTTTAATTAGACCAACCGTACAGCTAAGCTGGTAACACAGTTTCTGTTGTGTTTAGAAATCTCATCTGTGTCTGACAAACATGCTTTTTGAACTGGGAGTTATCTAAAATACCGTATTAGTGACAATGTCATTTCATATTTATTTAATCGTTAAACCGAGTTTTATTATTGAGCATCCAACCTTTGCTCAAAATAAAAATTGAGTAATTAATTTTCAATTTTAGCTACACGTATGTGAAAATTTACTCTAAAAATTTATAATGCATTACATTACAAAAAAATCCTTAACATTATGTATTTAAGTAATTATTATATTTTATGTATGAATATGTATGAAGAAATCAGATTCAAATGGATTGCAAAGTAAGTTTCTTTACACTACCCACATAAAAATTTCCTGCTAACGTTGACTCCTATACGAATTTACAACGGTAGAATAAACAAAAACCAAAGTGCTAGGTAACAGCACTGAATATGAGCAAGACAACATGACGAATATTCCATGATAAGTAAAAAATTCTGAAAAGAACTATTTATACATATTTTTATTTTTTTGCTGTATTTAATAACAATTTCATTATAGGTTATTAAATGGGGTTTATAGGTTATAAAAAAAAACCATATATTTCCAATCAATGACACTTAAATAGTGTTTACTGAGACCTTTTGTATTAATGTAGCTAATCTTAATGAATCGTACTTCGTGGAATTTCTAAATTATATTATCTAATATGAGTATCTGTTTGCGTTCTTATAAGTTTGGTATATATAATCTTATCAAGACTATGTTTTAGACTCGTATGCGCAACATTTCTGTGTATAAAAGCCTACATTTTATCGTCAACTAATATCGTTTAGTGGAAATCCTGACTTATGTGGTATCTGCTGTCTACTTGTGATTATAAATCCAAGAGAAACATAAATGAAAAAAGTTCGTTTACTATTTTGAACTTTCAATCGTTTTATTATTTGGTGGCTAGTAAAAGTCACAAACGTGAAACTGGTTTAAATACATTCATAAACATTAGTTATGCTTAAACAAATTGGTTTCACTTTAAGTGATATATATACGTATGAATATGTATGATATATGCATATATATACATATATGTATATATATAAATATGTATATGTTATAATAGTTTAAGCTTGTTAATGTTTTATTTACACTAAAGTACCAGCCACAATAATAAAGGCAAGCTGAAAAATTTAATTTTATATATTTTTCTTTTGTATGTTTAAAATTATGTATAAACCAATATTTTCGAAAGTTTATAGTGTAAAAATAAAGTTATATTAATATTGTTATTCATAAATACCATAAAAGGCCAACAAATACTTCCCACGTTGATTTCTTATTCCACAAAAAATTTAATATTTATTCATTATTGCTTTAGTTTAAGTTGTGCTTGGTCATTTGGTCATTTTTTACGCAAATGTAGAATAGACATTTCATTTCCTATAACACATTGTGAAAGAATTTTATTTTTCTACAACTTAGATATTTGTGTTTTCTTATTTTATACATTTCATTTTTTATATGTTACTCCGATATAGTTCAATATACATATATTGAACAAAATGTGGACCAAAGTGTTATTACCTGCTGTGATATTACTCATTATAAATAGTTGGATCGTGCTAGCAGAGTTCTCTGTGAAAATGCCACCTAAAGATCGTGATATGATGCGGAAATATATTGTATTTGACAAAAAGACACCAAATGTGTTCTATTGCCCAAGAAGAAAGCCCACATCAATGGAAAAGATAATAGTGAAGTTAGTAGTATATATTCTTACATTATATACATTATATTAAGTTATACTCTGATCAAATGAGAATGACGTGTATTTATGTTATTGACAGATCCCAGCCTTTATATAAGCTATGTGAGTTTCAAGGACAACCTTTGCCAGATGATTATAAGCCTGATTGTTACCTGAATGTCGATGAATCTGAATATGCTTGTAAAGAGAAATATAGAATTATGGTATGTGCAAGAAAACAATATAGATTACTTAATGGTTACAGTGTCACAGTTTTCTTAAATCATGTCATCAAATTAAATCTATGTCCAATATGCTAAGTTACTCTAGCGTAATTCTCCAGATTAATACCGGTTTTTTTAACACTTTTTAAATCATTTAGTCTGTTTTAGGATTGAAGTTTTCAACCATTTTTGTAACAGTTAAAAACGTGATAAAACTAATATTAGCACAAATTATTTCTAACATATTTTTATACACATGTGTTTTACACACACAAACTATACCATCCATTGTTCATGTATGTATGTGTATGAATTTTTAATCCATAAAATTAATCTAGTGTAACCTCAATCAAACATTTATTAAACAAGACTAATTCTCAAGATTAACTAAGATCAATCTATTATATTTTATTATTTAGAGAACGACATCTTAAAAAATTCGACACCCATGGACAATTCAACATTTAACATTCCCATTTAATAGGAAAAACACAAGCACTTAAAAATTTTAACAAACTTTGTAATGTGATAAGTATTATGATTATACCATAAAACACTGTGTACGAGATATTAAATAACGCATAACGACAATAAGAATTGCCACTTCTAAAATGCTTATGCCTTAGGGTAGTTGCCAATTTTGTTCTGAAAATAATGAAGCTTAATGATAATGAAGCTTAATTAATATACCTTCATTAAAGACGTCATATACTTCCGTTATTTTTATATTGTCTATAATCTATATAATGGCAATTTAATGTTATATATATATATGTTATGTTACTGGAACATGGCAGGATCGCCATGTAATGTTATATGGAATAGCAGGTTTGTCACATAATAGGATTATTTACCTTTTTCTTTATGAAATTAGCCCGATGTAAAAAGGATCGATTGAACAATAAGTATTTAACTAAGCTCTTTAGCCGCTAACTTAAAATATTTAAAATATCTAAACAGATATATTTTTAAAAGTATTTAAACCAAACGCTACAGTTATTCATCATTTATTTATTGTATTTTTTCGACATATTTGATTTATATCAGATTTTCACTGCAGAATTATGCGAGCCGGTCAATTTGTTTTTATTATTAATTTTTCTATATGACTTTCTGTCACCTATGGTAATGCTCACAACCAAAATTTAGTGCTCTTGGAGTACAATGGAAATGCAATATGTAAAAAAAAAACAAATTTTCAACAAAAATGATACTTCTTGTGCTGCAGCAAACTTACATGAGTTTAGGTGAGCATTGGCTGCGTATGCAAGTGAAGTGAAAAAGTTTACGTCTTTTTCGTTGTTTTTGCCAAGAAACAAAAGTGTTCTATACATATATTGTTGTTTTAATGTTTGATTATGTATAAAATCAAATAACATTAAAGAAGTTATAAAAAAAGCAAGACAAATAATTTTTTTTTAATTAAAGTATATTAATTATAAAATTAAAATACATTTATTATATTTTAAGTTTTATTTTAACAATTAAGAGTTTAAAATAAAAATAAAAAAAATTAAAACAATATGAGATACAATACTCATCAAGAGTCTTAAGAGTCATAGTATAAAAGACGATATTTTCAATATCGGCAGTAATTATTTTAGTAAATGATGTTGAGGATTTTCTCTTATTTCACTGCATAATAAAATTATTTCAGATGAGTTAAGAAACAAAACATGCTTTTTGCAACCATTCGAATGCAAAATTTGTATACAAAAAAAAAAAAATTTACAACAACTTCGATGTTGTGTTGTATATTACACGAGTTGTAGAATAAGATATGTATTTTTCGCTCTATACTGCTTTGATATATTCATATTTAGTATTTAATATATTATATAAGTATATTTTGCATATCATTAAATTTTTATAAAAAAATAAATAAAAAGTGAGATAATAAATATTTCACTTTTCTCTTAATTTTTATTTAATACATATATACATATATTTCATTTTTTTGCGAATTAATTTTTTATCTTTCAGAAACGCATTAGCAATGAATAATTCCAGCTAACAGAGAACTGCAAGAAAAACGAAAACTATACTTTTATAAAATTTTAATATGATTATTACCTTTCAAATATTTCAAATATGAACTAACAACTAACCACCAAATGTAAGTTCATCATTATTTAATTTTAACCTAAATTAATTTTGTACATATTAACCTAAAATTGTTTATGAATTTACATGTTATGAATTTGTTTTGTTTATTTCACATATTGTTATAGAAAAATTTGTTAATTTGTTTAAAATTTTAATCATAATTTATTAATTTTTTTATTAATATTTAAATTTTATTTTTTATATGCAAAGATTAATACATGTACCTTATATATTTTGACTTTAATATCAAAAAAAAAATTGTGATTAACCTCGACTTAAAAAAACTTATAATAATTAAAAAAAAAATAAAATAAAGAAAAAATAACGCTGCTAATACTTAATTTTTTTGTTTCAATTCTAAGATATGCTAGGAGGTCATTTATTTCACTGGTAATAGTCTTTGTTATCTAAATACTGGATATAGGAACAATTCATATAACATATATTTGATGTTGTTGTAACCCGCAAGGACTTGTTTGTGTATTCAGATGTCTGAGTTGGTGAATCAGCACCTTTACTCTATTTTATTTGTGGACACTAAGAATAACTGAATACGGGGCTTTATAATATGATGGATCTGATGTCTTTGTATCTGCCCGTGTTTATCAAATTACGCTGTATTTTTAGGATGCTGAGAGTTGGATTATTGTGACTGTCAATTATATTGAACAGTTTCAGAGCACGATCTTTAATGTATTTTTCGACTGAATCGACTCTCAGATCTCTGTGGATATCCGCTCCTCTTACGTACCATGGGGCTTTAACCAGTTTTCTTAAGGCAATATTTTGCCCTCTTTGAAGAATTTTTAAAGTTGAGTTTGGCGCTTGGCAAAACGCAATACTGCAATAGAGTAGTCCTGGTTTAATAATCTGCTTAAATATGCTAACTCTATTCTTTATGTTGAGCTTTTTGCTGCTGATGAGCGGGTGAAGGGAGTGTAATATTTAATAAAATCTATTATCTTCTTGTTTGAATAGAGAATTTATTATCAAATGTTTTTTGTATATCTACCATACATTTCTGTTCATATTCTTTAGACCAAGAAATAAAAAAATCAATAATATAGAGTTCTTCATGATTCGTATTATGGCCTTTAATCCTTGATCTCTAGTACGTCACTGAACTTAAATTAATTATAAATTAATACAATAAATAAAATAAATGAGAAGATACGCAATTTTTTTCCTGATAATAGATATCTTCTTAGATCTTCTGATATCTTCTAAAATTCGTTAACGAATTACACATCTGAACTAAAACGTACTATCATAAATTGCTTAATGTGGTATCGCTGCATATCAGTTGGGTTATGCTAAGTAGTTTCATGTACCTATATATCTATTAAATTTAAATTTGATGCCAATATTTTTTAGTAAGGGTTCTAGTGATCCGTTTTTTTTCTTGATTATTCAAATATAAATCAGTTCATAATTATGCAAATATGTTGACAATATTTCATGTTTATTTCAAATTAAATAATCATGTAAAAAATTTTTGTATAAAACTGAAAGTAGAAAGTATTATGCACAGGGTAAGGACAAAATACATATATGTACATACATATGCTTATTTTGTAGAATTTTTAATACCATCTTCAAACCGATATACACATATTTAGACATTTAATCCTTATCAAGGAATTGTAAAGTATTAAAAAACTAAAATTATTTGAATCAAACTTATAGTCCAATATTATGACCCATAAAACGCACAGTTAAGAAAAAAGGAATGGCTTTATTGCGATAATACACAAGTGCGAAATTAATTTACTTTTAGTCAAGTATTTATTTAAAAATAAAAAAATAGTACAATGAAACTATAAAGTAGAGGTCACCTATTAGTTTATACAATAGTCATAGATTTGCAAAAATAAAAAGGGAAACTGTAGAAAATATTATCATATTCTCATAGAAAAAAAAATAAATTGCAAGCATACAATAAAAAGAAAGCCAATTTTTAAAGATTCTTTCTAATATATTTACATTTATTATCATAAAGTAATTTTTATTATAAAATTATACAATAATATTATTATTCATTATTATAATAACATATAATTAAAATAATAACATTACTTTTAACTATTATAATATAATTTTATTATTTTATAATATAAGAATGATGTAATAATTACACAATAACAATATAATAACATCCTATAATAATATTATCATTACAATAAATTGTAATTAAATTCAAATAATATTATTATACTAATTTACAGTTAAATATTAATTTAAATGTCAAATATTTTTGAAGATGTAGATGAGGAGTCAGAATGATCAAAATCAATTTTGGCATAAGTATTAGTTTCACTTAAAACAGGGTTAGCTGGAAAATTCTGATTCTCTGCTCCAACTGTATAGAGTTTTGCCTTAACGTCTGTGCTATTTTGTGGCAAATCTAAAGTTGCATAGTAAAGTTCATGTTCCAGATTAGCTGAAGGCGGTCTAGAAGTAATTTTAGAGTTTGCTTTGGCTTGTGTATTTGTATTAACCAAATTTGTAGGACAATTAAGTTCTTTTTTGTTATTGACGCCTGGTTTATTTACTATTACATTATTTAAACATGTGGTGGATGAAGATGCACTTCCACAAATGGTCGAAGACGAAGATGATGAAGATGATAAGGAAGTACAGTTTGAGGCTCTACCTCTTATTTGATTAATGTGTCGTTGTTGACCTTCAATATCTGAGCGGTTAGGTACTTTATGTGACTGTAACGAGCTATCACTTTTGATATGAAGTATTTTATAACCACTTAATTTATTTAATTCATTTTTCGAATTTTTAAATTCATTATCCTCCCCACTAACAGAATGCGCGAGTTTCCAATTCCCGTGAGTATCTTTTTTACTAAAATCATTTGGTTTACTTACAAAACTAGGTGATGTAATATGTTCTACCGTTTGTAATTTTTTATGAAAATTTGCCCAATCCATTTTTAATTTATAGTATTGAGAGTCTAGCGAAAGATGACCCAATTTTGAGGAAAGTCGCCTTTCAATTTCGTTCACAATTGAAGGATTTATTGTGTCCGCTGTTTCAGGTTTTTGTTCATCTTTTTGAGATATATTATAAGAACAGGTAGCATTTTTTTGATCCTTCTCATATGGATTCTGCAATGTACTTTTATTCTCGTTATATGATGTTGATATATCGAGATTATTTTGACTATTAATATTTTTCGTATCTGATACTTTGTTTTGTGTAATAAAGGCAGACGATTGCGTATTAGAAACTAGCATATTTTGATTCTCTTCCGTTATTGCATTCTTGACGGTTTTTACTAAACTTTCGTTAGATGTAGCAGTACAACTATCATTCTTTAAAACACCGGCAAGCGAACTCACAAATGAGCTACCTAGAGGTTTCATTTCTAAATAGCCATTATCAGTTGAAGGAATAGATTTTGGCGACATTTGATAGGATGTTGTACAAGAACTTAAGTTTTTTGTTTTGGTATCTTCCCAATTTTTTTGTGATAGAGTATCTAAGGTGTCTAGCGTGTTCATTCTACTATTTAAAGTCTTTGAAAAGTCTAGTTCCATTAGATCACCCATTCTATCATCGGAATTTTGGCTTTTATGTATAAGAAGAGGTGCGCTCGTAGATTTTTTTTCGCGCCGCATATTAACATTTAAAAACTGATTGTATGTAGTGGCTTCATTACAAATATTGTTGTTGCTATTAAAATTGGGTTCAATCACAGATTTCGGTAACAGTACATCTTGCTGTAAATCACTACGAGGAATTTTGGCACGTGATCCAACAGAAAATGCTCGCGCACGGTAAAAGTTCTGTTCTGCATCATTGTTATATGCAAAGCGTTTTTTTAATTTGTTGTGGTCAACTTTACTTCCAATTGAATATGTACGAGTTGGACGGTCCGATCTGTAAAATCAAATCAAAATTAATTTATAAAATAAATGGCAAATTTTATAAAAGCTTAAAAACATTTTATGTCCTAACGTAAACGTAATACTAAAAATAGTTTTAAGTTATAAAATAATAAGCTTTATTTCTAGTAATGAAAATAGGCCCTAGATTTTTTTCACATGCAATACGTATAGGGTAAAAAAAACACCAAATAACCTCTCTCTATATGAGACTTATTCTTAAAAAATATAACAAACGCTCCTTTGATATTTTTTATAAGAAAAACTTAAATTTAAATTTACAGTAGCCCTGAAATGGTCTTTAGAAAAAGTAAACGTAAACGTAACCTTACAAAATGGACACTTTTATCTTATTGCTTTGCTGTTTAGCCTTCTATGTCACTCCTAGATGAAAAATAATATTCTCATATTTTCTTATTTTCTTTTCAAACATTCATCTTGAACTAACTTTCTCTTCTATCTTCAACTCTTGCAATAAATCGCATACACAAAAAACTCTGATAATCCTATCGTCACTCAGTGAGATAGAATTATAATGAGTCGATCGAAATTCGATATTTTCCAAACTCGTAGCTTTTAATGTGGGTTGTTTTGGTATTTATTTTGGCACTATTGGCTTAACGGAACTTCCTTAAATTTGACCGCAAACATGCTTTGCTTTAAATTTTTTTTTTTATATTTTTATTAACTACATATAACCGGAAAAATAATAAAATTTAATGTTCGGCGTTCCTGTGTTATCACTAAGATCCGAGAAGTTTCCTGATATTTCGCCTACTGCAACATTTGCCTCCATACAAAATTTTAATAAATTTTTTTTTATAAAAATGGGCAATTTTATGAAATTTTGGCGAAACAAAGTTTTTGCAAATTAAGTCGTTTTATTTTAGGCTCCAGAAACCTTGAAAGAATTAGAGGTAAATAAAATCAACGAAATATCAGATAAAAACCACAGAACCAATAATTAATGAAATAACAAAATATATCATTTCATTAATATATGATTTGTTTATACTTCAAATTTTAAGCAAATCAGTTAAAAACAATGATATAACATATATTAGCTTTTAAAATTGAAAAGTTTTAAAAAATTGAAAAGTTGACCATGTTTGAGGTCATATATTTCGACAGGTCGATAGCGCCCAAAATATATCCTAGGGAAAACCCAAATTCCCTACTCTAATTCGATTTTAAAAATTGGATATTAAAAGGAGCATAATCTAAAAGGAAACTCAATAATAAATTATCAAAAAGAAGTATAACATAGGTATAGTTATAGAAAATCCATTATATATATATATATATATATATACATCTATTATTTAAATTCGATAAAAAATAAAAATAAAGTAAATTACTGAAACTGAAATGAATATTAATGGTTATATATAGAAACTTGAAAACTTGTAATACAAACCTTTCCATTATATTAAATGTTGGAGTAGCATCTGAAGTAAATTCATTAAATTCAGTATCTGACCTTAAGGAACTATTTTCTTGACTTTTGTCTGTATTTTTTGAAGTCATAGATATATAACTTTCATCATAATTATTTTGATTATTAGTTTGTAAACTTTGTTGTACATTTTTAGCTGAAAGAAATATTTAATAAAATAATTTTAATTAAAAAGATATATCACTTATGTTTAATTTTTTAGTTCTTTAAATTTTAATAAGTATAAAAATAAAATGAAATTATAAAATACAAATACATATATATATTTTTATTATTTAGGTATATAAATCATATAAATATAGTATATATAATAATTCAGTTAGCTGTATTGTAAAATTCGTTATTTTAATATCAAAATACAATTTTGTAAAACTTTTATCAACGAAAAACAACATATGTATTGAAAATAAACCAGTGATTACTATATTATTATTAGTAATGATAAATTTAATATATTCAAAAATCATATCTTGTTGGAATTTTCGTAATAATTGAATATAATAAAGTCAGAGAAAAAAAATCTCTTTATCATCACAAAATCATGTATCAATAATATCAATGCTTGATTTGAACAAAGCATTTAAAAAGGTAGGCGTTTGCACAATAATTGACAAACGAAATAATTAAATATATTAACAATTTAATGACTAAAAGAATAATAAATCCAAAAGTAAAAAATACATAATGAAAATCCACAGGGATCTAAAACGTCTATATTTTTTTTTTAGTTGCGTATAATAAATTAAAGGCCGTTTAAATTCAACACCAGTAACGTAAACTGTTTTTGCTGGCAATATCGACTTCATGGTAAAATTTAATAAATGCGATACAATGATAGACTTAGTCTAAATACTCAGATGCATCTATATCGAAACCCAAATGCAATCACATAACAATAGTGCAGTAATTCTATTATTATTAATCCCTAATCAAATCAAACAAATTGAAAACCTCAAAATTAAGGGATAATATATAACAACGAATACTGCTCGTTCAATCATTTAGCCATATATCAACAAGTAATTATATTAAAATCGCTTTCGTCCCTCAAATTTAATATTCAGTAATATTTATTATATAAAACAATTCATCAAAACATTTCCAACTCTCAAATCGTACACAAACAACATAACCAACACTTCATTTTTCACCATATATATCTATAAACCATTTACTTTTATAAACCTTGTTGGAATTGAAAACTAACATAGACAACTATTATATAGAATATGCGATAATTATCTGAAATAAAGATGTAGCAAAAAAGTAAAAAAGAAGTAATTAAGAAGTAATAAACAAATTATGAAGATGTAAAAAAGAAGTAATAAAGAACTAATAAAGACACCATTTACACTGCAGCAATAATCGGCACACACCAAGACGTTATAATCGTAGAGCAATCGAACTACCACACAGCTTTCTGTTCAGAGCTATTTGTCGGCTATAGATAAAATACGTAATTTGCGCCACACTGACTTCTACTCCATACATATAAAGATTTACATAACTAGAATCCATTTAAATATAAGATTAATATGGGCACCAGGCCATATTAATATCAAAGGAAATGAATTTGCAGATAGCTATGCAACCATAGTCATACTGTTCATTACCCCTAGTTTCTATTCTCGCGATATAATCTCACTACCAACAACTTTGGTAGCAAATATCCGAATAATACACACAAACTAACTAATAAGATAGAATAAAATTTACCAAAATGCATGTGTCTTCCCTTAAAACTATTTAAATCACATAGCATGTCTTTACCAACCCATCCATCAATCCATACAGAAATTGTTTTTTATTATTGAAATTCAATTTATTTAACCGATCTGAATTACTCAAAAACTATATTTTATATCCCTTTTACTACATTATTATTCTGTTACAAAACAGAATACAAAGACTAGAATAAAATTAAAACCAGTAGTTGTTGCTTCATTATTATAACATTAAATATAGACTTATAAAATTATTATAATTAAATAAATTTATTATGATAATGTGTAAATAAATAAATAACTTTTGATAATTAAATAATTAAAAATCAACCGAAAACCAGCTATGTCCCAGTGATTACATGAACGCCGTCTGTTGCGAAATCTGTGTAAGAATCAACTATATTTGTTTATCACTGCAAAAAAATTAATATAAAAACAAAGCCAATAAATAAAATATAATGGTGGTTGAACCATTTTAGCATTAACAAATTATTAACTCTTTTTGTTATAAAATAATTATAAATTTTTATATAAATAGCCGATATCAGCACAGATTTCTCAACAAATATTTATCATGTCAGATCACTCGCAGATATGAAAATGGGCAACCACGATTTACGAGTATAACCCTAATTGTACTTAATAATAAAATATAACAACAAAATAAATAAAGTAAATAAATAAAAATGAGCAATAGAAATTATTTTTATTATAATTATATCTTTTTTTTAAGTTATAAAGGATATATGTATAAAAAATGAAAATACATTACCAACAACTGCCTTTTCAGAGAATTCTGATTTATTTTCGGATGAAACCACTTCATCTGAGTTTTCTTCCAGAATTACTCCATCCGAGGACCGAGATCTATAAAATATATAAAAATGTCATATAATAAAAAATATATATACTAATAATCAAATACCTATAATAAAGAATCAAAACAATCAAAATTTTTAGTTTGAATAATTACTTGAAGTAAATGTGCCTTTTGACTTAGTTAAAAATTAAAATTCAATTCTAGTACTTTAACATAAAACCTATTCACTTTTTACTATATATACGTCTTGATTTATTACGATTACGATATTCTTAAAAAAAATAAGTTAAAGGAATTAGTACTTATTAATGTTATTCTACACAAATATCAAGGGGACGGATTTATCAATTTATTTTGTTTATTAAATTTATATTATTTTGAAATTCTTTAGCATCGAAAAGAAAAGTAGAATAAATATAAAATAGTCTGTCCATCTAGTTCGGTATGAATGTGGTTAATGATTTCTTGGTCGAAGGAACTCAAAAATTGTATTGATGGAATGGATTTCCCGTGTTAACCTGAATTAAAACAGAAAAGGTGGTAAGGAAGGAATATAGAAAAAAATGTGGTAAAAGCACATGAGAAGAAAGATATGTGAGTATTAGAGCCACCCGTAGCAAACCACATATTTATCAGATCTACTTATAAGTAAAACCGAATCAATTTGTTTATAAATTGTTCAATAAATAATTAAAATAAAACTTATATATGTTTATTTATTATTAACTAATTAATGACTGATGCTAACTAATTTATAAAATAAAAAATGTAATAATTTTTACAAAAATAAATAAAAAAAAACTTACGGAAATCTAAAGGATAAAAAACTTCCGTTATCATCTGGCTCGTCTATGCTTATTGAAGATTCTTCACTTTCTGAATATCCAACATTATAGGAAACTGGGGGACTGTTGCTATGGCGCTGATATGAATGCGTTCGAAAACCGGACGAAACATTACGGATATTAACACTTGAGGATACTGGTAAGCTCTGGTTACTGCATTCACTTGAGGTTCGATTTCTAGATGGCAAGCTATCACAACGTTCTCTTCCGTAACATATTGCTGAAAATGAAATTTAAATTATATTTTATGATATATTATTAAATCTTTTTAACATATACGCAGGAATAAATATTTATTTATTCGGCGAGTATAAAAATATTATTGTGGTATTTATTCAAATACTGTAATTAATTTTATATTCAATTATTTTATTCTTCTAAAAAATGTTTACATTTATTTTGTAGAAAATTAGTATTTTAGCTACAAACAAAAAACTATTCTATATTTAAATTTAAAAAAACTTTTATCGTATTACTGTCATATTATTTAAATTTTATATTATTGGCTTTGAGCTGCTTTTTAAATTAGTTTTATACTATAATAAAGATTTATATATAATACTTCGCGTATTCACAGGAGTGTGAACTTTCAAACTATAGAAGCTTTAAATATTAATTTGTTGTCGAAAAATATATTTTTAAAAATTATAATTAAAATTTACGCATAAAAATAAAAATGAAATACATGGGCAAGACTGATAATCTACTGATGTTAACGAATTATATTGTTTTTACATTTAAATATATTATATACTCGTTCTTACTTGACTGTGGAGAACTATTAATTTTATTTTCAGGTTGAGTTGATCGTCTTTGCAAAACATTTATTGGTTTAGATGCTTCATTTGCTGAAGATGACCTTTTTCTCATTGGCTCAATATTAGATTCATTTTTTGTTGACATTGCACTGTAATAAAAAATTTTGATTATATTAGTTATATGTATATAATTATAATTTTTATTTATATTTATTACATTATATTATTATATTATATTTAATATTATTATATTATATTAAATACTATTATATTATGTTTAATATTATTATATTATATTAAATACTATTACATTATATTAATTATCTACATTAACATTGATGTATATATATTTATAATAAAATATATATCTATATATTTAATAACGAATATAAACCAAATTCAATTTTTTTTTGTTCATTCCCAATGGGATGAGATAGCATGGTATTTATACAAATTGCTCTCTATACATAGGAGCCCAAAATATAGGGCAGTCACCACACAAAACGATTGTTAAAATCTAAGTTTCTCCTAAGCCGCGAATTATAATATACACAATAACTATGCTAAGTAATTTTTTTTAAAAAATTGTTTAATCATAAGATATAACATTTTTATTTAATTATTAATTGGCATAGTCACTGCACAAAAACGTGTCAAAATCAATTTATTTTTCGAAACAGTTTCATTGATTTACATAATATTTGTGTACATAAAAGGACGGAACATTGTCTCTAAAATCTTTATTTAGAACCATTATTTAAGGCTTTTACAATATAAAAAATTGATTACGCTCTGAAAGACCCATCATGTGATATAGTGGTACAAGTTCTAATGTTGGGTGTATCCATATAAATTCACGTTAAAAACTTAATTTTCGTAAGACTTTTATAATTTGCATACAAAATTTATTATAAAAAAAATTGAATACATTAAAGTATTTCTAATTTATGGATATCGCTTCCATTTAAATTTTTGAAATTCAAAATTATATCAATTTTGAATAACACGCAAGTAATTCATTTATTATCATGTAAGTATGTAATTGTTTGTTTTTTAATTGTATTTAATTGAATCAATTGAAGCAATTTATTTTCTAAAATTGGCCTAAGAGCATATGCAGAATAAAAGAAACAACTCTTACTAGATGCGTCTAGTAGAATAGGAAAAATATTTCTAATTAGTTTGTTATTAGATTCAAAAAATTCTAGTAACATAAATAATTGTTAGCTGGGATGTGTGCAACATGTCATAAGAAATTAAATCAAATGTTAAATCTATATTTTAAAGAGCTACGACCAAATGCACAAATATTCAGAGCTCCTATTTTATATCGAGCGAGTTTTGACAGATTTTTCTCATTTATCTTGCATTTTCAATAACCACAAACAAACTCCAAGGAATATATATATATTTAGGAGTTATATAGGAGTTATATATATATTTTATGCTTGACAGTTGAAAAATTTATTTGTTTTGATTGAAGAAATAAGAATTTAATATATTCGGTATCCCCAAAGACTTGGATAAAACAGATTTAAATTTAAGTCAGTATCATTGGTTATATGGACAGACAAAAACTCAATTAATTAAAATAATATAAAAACATTTTTGTTGTTGTAGTTCATTACTTTTCGAAACCTCTAAAACAAATACAATAGTTTCTATTAAGTAAAATAGTCACTACTGTCATAATTGTTAAATAATAATAAAAAAAGGAATAGCCTCGCTTGTAAGAACCGTGGAGTAACACTAGAATGACTTTCTCCGTATTACGTTCCCAGATTAAGTTCTTTACATAAAAAAGAACTATTATTAGAATATATTATTATTAGCATACAATATATATTATAATTAATTAATACAATTATTTTACAGCTGGTTTTAGATTTTTTTCTAATATAACACATCAAATGAATTTGTTAATGAACTTTCAAGTATGGCTTTGGGTCAGTTGACTTATGAATGCTAACTCTGAGCTTCAAATTTGCCTAGTATCATTTAATAAATTTTCACATTAGATCATGTGTTTGTATATATCAATGTATATACATATATATCAAATTTTATTTCACTATTCAAATTATTGATTTATATTTTAATATGGTCTTCATAAAATAATAAACAGTAATTCTCTCAATAATGTGGCAACCTTATAGCGCAGCTTCATATTAAGCGATTTCAATCTCCCGTATAACACGGGCATTCCTGCATATAACGCGGGGATTTGTACAAATCATAATTAGCTTCGCGTACCTTTGCATGTGTTTATACCGAGTATACAGGAATACCCCTATAACGCGTTTTCCTATAACGCGGAACCAATCGACCACGTTATAGAGGGAATTACTGTATTTATATTATTTATATATTAAAATTTTTTATGTAATGTTTAATGTATTCACACGTAAAATATTTGTATATATCTTATTAAAAAGTTTTTATAGAAAGTATGTTATTTAATTTTGATTTACCTAAAAATCATGCGGTGCATATTTTTTGCTGTTAACGAGTCTTCTGTTTGCATCCAAAGTTCACCTGGTCCAATTACACTTTGACGTCCCACCTCCATGTAAAAGAAACATTGTGAATCTCCACACCTTTAAGTAAAAAAAAAAGCAAATTTTAAATTTTAAAGTATATAATAAAGTACACATAAATATTTTTATTATAAATATGAAATAAAGTACAAACAATAATACATACATATAATAATACATATTTTTATAAAAATGCTTATAAACTGTTAGTTAACCAATAAAATTCATGAAATCCATTAATACTATTAACATTTTTTAACGCTAATGTATTCATTTGTATTAGATAATATATCAATAAAGTTCGGTCGAAGCTTGACTGCTTTCAAAAAGCAATAGTTTTTATTCAATAAGAAAGATATTGCTTAAATCAATATTGTATGCAAATTTTTTTTTTTATTTAACAATATGTCTTTACTGAATCGCTTTAAATTTAAGCCTAACAATAAGTTTTAGAATCTTAAAGACTAATAAGATTACATTACAAATTATTTTATATAAACATACTATAATGAAATATATAATGATTTGTAAATTATTTTAAGGGACCTCTGAATAAGTAGCCAAGGCTTATTTACCAGATGTTACGGCGTATAGGTTAAATTAATCAGGGTGATCTTTAGGAAAGCAGGATGGCAGGCCTATCATTCCGTTTGAGTCTAGAGGAATTTGTCATATTAGCAAGAGGTGTAGCCACGGGATTTACATGGTATTCAAGATTTGAAATATGTTTGTGTCTTACTCTCTAGAACTCGACTTTAGTATGCAAATTGAATTTAAAAATTAAACGAACTGCTAACAAAATTAAACTGCACTCGGTTTCCACTTTTCTTTAAAAACAGGTGCATTGTGCATTCAGGCAAGCCCTTCTTTCTATTAAAACATACGATATTTTCACATTCAGCAAGAAGTTTGATGTTGTCATAAGTTGTCACTTAGGACAAAATTAAATTCAAATCAATTGCATAGTTAGGCGATTTCAGTGACAATGTTGTACTAGGTGATGAGTTGTTGGCTTTACCTCATAATATAAATTTTAAAATACTTAAGAAATAAACTAACTTACTATGTACATACAGTATATAAAACGAGTTTATGTATAGTTTTGTCATTTTTAGTGTGATTGAAATTTCAAAGGCTTTATGAAGAAATATTTTTCTATATGAGTCCGGCGGCCTTTCAATATAGTCGACCAAAACTGTACACGATACTGATCATAAATACCACATATTGTACCGCAACACATTAGTTAGTACGTAATTTTAATTAAATTTTTATTAATTATAAAATAAAATTTTTTACTTCATTCAAGCATGCAGTCAGTGCGCAACTAGGTTGATATGCATACATTAAAATATAAAAAAACACAAGCTGCAATAATATACAATGCAACATCGTTTTTGTTGTAAATTTGTTGCTTATTTTACATGTTGTTTGTACATGTTTGACGATATACATATACATATCGTAAAATTTTCATTTTATTTCAAAGATAATGTTAAGAAAAAACTGAAAATCATTTATATGTAATAAGTAATATAAATTGTGTTTATTACTTCCAACACCATATAAAGTCGACATAAATTAACAAAAATATTTACCAAATTAGGTTTCTAAATAATCGAATACGATATAAAAAGATGGTAGAGGCCCTATGCTCCACTGGGAGATAAGGATAAGAGAGAGAGAGAGAGAGGTTTCTAAATTGAGATTGATAAATTGATATTTCTAAAATATATAATTTGTCATATTAAAGTTTAGAAATTTTTTTTGAATTGAACGATTTTTTCTAACTTTTAATGTTTAGTTAAAAAATTTTAAATTATTGGAAAAGAATTAAAAAAAATCTAAATAATATTTAATCAGCCATCCAAAAGCATACGTTAGTGAAATTTAATTGCATTTCAAGAAGAATGTATCAATTAAATGAAGAAATAGAGTGAAAACAAATAGTTATACCATACGTCAAATTTGTTTCTTACACACCCGAAAAATGTCAAATTAATTCAAAAAGAAAGTTAACAGCGTATCTACGTATTTTTCTCGATTCGAATTTCTAAATAAAAATTTTGCGAAAGTAAATAAAAAGATATATACAACACAGATATAGGTCAAGAAAATTGGTCTATGACAAAAAATCTATTTCGAATTGATGTTAGATAAGATTAGGTTATCCAGATCCATTTAGACCTATAGGCTTATTGTGTTAACGTATAATTAAGAACCCAAAGTTTAGAACCACTTAAAACCTTTGGCAAAGCTGATAATGCTGTTCAAAGGGAGGTCTTGCAGTTCGCGAAGATCCTCAAATAGAAAGCATGTTTCGGACAGAAACAAAGCAGATGGGACTTTCAATCGTCCTCACCACAACTGCGGCAGGTATAGCTTAATGAGAGATTTAGTGTCCCAGCATGGTTACCTAACACACAATAACCTGTGAGTAAACCTTCTATAAGACTGATATCACTACGGGGCATCTCAATAAGAGAGTTTGATTTTTTTTTATTGAAGCGTGCCAAATTGCATACAAATGCCTGCATATGAACTCAGTGGCAGTTTGTTCAGGCTTGAAAATGCCATAATATTTTACAATAGAGATTTCTTTACTCTTTCTGATTGTTTATTACTATTCACACAGATAATCCTTAAAATAATTAAACTACTTTTTGTAATGGGCTTTTAAAAATGTATTTCAAATTTAAAATATATATGTATAATGAAAATCATGTATTAAATTTCCATCTTCTAATATCCAAATATTTACTTTTTTGGTATAATAAACAATTTTTACTTATTCATAGTCCACCTAATATTGAAGACGATAATCAGAAATGCAGATTTGACCCGTACTGACACAATATTTCGCAAAAGTGGAATACACTTGCGTATGCAGATGATATTGATATCGTTGGCCTGAACATCTGTGCCATCACAAACACAACAAATGGGTTTTGTGGTAAGCAATGAATCAACACAGTACTTTCTGTCACTAAACAAATTTCTTGAGCGTCTTAGAACTTAAACGATAACAATAAGTTGACAACAATAAGTTCAAAGATGTTAGAGATTTTGTTTATATTTGGGAACCAGCATTAAAACCAGCGCTCTACATCACGCTCTACTAGTCTTTTATCATGCCTGTCTTGCAGTATGGTACATAAGCTTGGCCAATAATCAGTAGTGATGAGGAGCATTCGAGAAAAAAAATCTTCGGAATATTTATGGCCCCTTACGCGTTGGTAACGTGTATCAAATTAGATGAAGCGATAGTTAAATGAATAAGATATCAACGGCTTCGCTGGTTTGTGCGAACTCGTTGTGCGAATGGAGAAAAATGTGCTAGATATTTGATTCGGCACCTGCAGGAGATATAAAGACCAACAAGCGGACATGATTAAGTTAATTCTTTAAGTCGAGTTGATGAGAGTATATGAACTTATTTAATCCACGATATCTAAGTCACTGTATTACAAGCATATGAACAAATTAAATATAACATTCTCAATAGCACGACTAGGTAATCCACGATGTCTAAGTCACTATATTACAAGCATATTAACAAATTTAATATAACATTCTCAATAATACGAATAGGTAATAAATTAATATTCGATGTTAATATAGTGAACAATATTTATCTGTTCGCAAATGCCGTAAACCTGGATTTACGAAATATATATTCAAATGTAGAAACTGAATATAACAAATTTTATAACACATATAAAATATATATTAAAGTTATAAATATATATTAAATACCGATTATATCAGCCTTTGCCGTAATTTCTAAATTTAAAAAATATATGAAAATATAATAGAATATATATACACTCGATATACATATACATACACACACGAAATATAGTCAAATAAAAAAGATATATACACTAATCTATCATACTTAAATTAGTAATAAAGCTAATAAAATAGTTAAAAGTCAATAGAATAATTAGAGTCATTATTTAAACTTTACCTTCGAATTGTTGTTAACATAAATTCTATATTATCAATTCTAAAGTCATCAACTTGCGTTTTTTCTGGACCAATACGAATAAACGTAATTGATTTTGATGTTAAACAAACGTGATAATTTCCAACAATTCCTTTGCTTTCAGCTAAACCTTTCTTTTGCACTATAACTTGCCACACATGTTCTACAATAGAGTGATTTGTAGGAATATATTTTATATATATTGAATAAAATATATTTAATATTTTTTAAATACATACCAAAAGTAGGCCGATATGGATCAGACATGTTCGAGTCCTTGTGTTGTATTGAAAGAAGTAAATCTAACCACTTGAACATTTCCTTTTCAGTTTCTAAAACTATTCCAAATCCACCATCTTTTGTTGAAAGTGCAACAACGAACTCATATTTGGTGTCAAATCGTCTGTTTATATTAAAGCAGTTTTTAATTTTTATTACACGTTTGGGAGCCATTCCTGATTTGAATTTTTTTTCGTTATCATAGTATTCTAAGCGAGCTACACTGCAAGGTGTCTCCTTATATAGTGCAAAAAATTTTTTCTTCATAGTCTTTAATTTCTTCTGATAGCCGCTGAGTATTAAACCCTCTGTAGTAACCTGTGCTGTAGCTTGTTTCGACATTGTTTAGCTAAAATTAAAATAATTTTAAATACATTAAAAAATCCATAAATTTATGAAAAATTGTGCCTAATTTGTGGGAAGATCAATGGTAACACCAACAACATCAGAGAACAGTGAGTTAATATATAAATGGAACAAATTTTGAGTGTTCATCAACAAGATGTATGGAGAGTTAAAACAATTTCAGTACAAAAAATATATAATATAATCAACAAAATAAACTGAGAAACTATTAATATATAATTATAATTGTACCATATCATTTATATATTTTTGAATCCTGGAATAGGAACTTAAGTATAATACAGGAACTAGTATAAAATAGACTAATGACTTCAATAAGAATAACCATAATATATACATGTATATAAATTGTTGGTTTCAGGAACGATCGGAATTACGTTTCGGAGCCAGTCATCTCTTTAGAAGACAAAGACACAGATTGCGATTGTCTGACTAAAACTATTGTACCTGGAATGAACTTATCTACGTACTTATCTAAGTACGGATAAAGATTCCTAAAAAATAACGACTTAAGTGACTGCAATATTTATAGAGGCATCACATTACTACTACTCTCTTCGATACTTCTATCAAGAATGTCAGCCACCGTGGAGTGAAGTCTACGAGAAAATCGATATGGCCTTCGACCAAACCATGCCTGTGTTGATCTAATTAATACTATCCGTATTATTTTCGAGGAATGTAACGAGTTCAGGACGTCAATATACGCTGTTTTTATTGACTTCAGGAAAGCTTTTGATAGCATCCACAGAGAGATCCTATGGAATACTCTTACAAGACAAAATGTCCTTTTTAAACTTTTAAACATCATCAAAATATTGTACAACAAATTTTATTGTAGTGTTAGCCACGATGAAACACTACCCGAATCCTTTGGGGTCAATACTGGCATAATACAAGGTTGCATACTGTCACCAATACTCTGATATTGGAAAATATCATATGTTTTACGCGAAGCGGAAGCACCGGATACAATGGATACCCTTTAATAAACTTGGAGATATTGAGTATGCGTCTATCTATTATGTCATATAAGTTCTGAGCTACAAAACAAATTTGATATACTCAGTTCCTGTGCATTTAATGCCGGCCTGTACATAAGCCATAAAAAAACAAAAGTCATGTACAGTGGTTACACTATTTGGGATCTTCCATCCTTCAGACTTGGTAATGATGCAATTGAGTACGTCTAATTATTTATATATTTGAGTAGCAACATCACGGATAAAAGTGGTGCTGAAGAAGACGTCTCGACCTGACTGAGTAAAGCAAAGTCAGCTTTCGGACAGTATATTTAAGCTTCGTATATTTAACTCGAACGTCAAATCAACTTTGTATAATGGATGCGAAACGTGGAAGACCCCGGCCTCTATTCAATCTCGTATTCAAGTGCTCATAAACAAATGCTAAAGAAGAATACTGAAAATATGGTGGCCGGAGTGCTTATTTAATACTAATCTCTCGGAACGCACGGAACAAACTCAAGTCGCCACTGAAAACAAAAGAAGAAAAGGGAAGTGGATTGGCAACACGCTCAGAAAAATATCGTAATGCATAACAAAGCAAGTTCTAAGCTGGACTCAACAAGCCAACCGCAGGCCTGGAGCCCCAATTAAAACATGACGAAAAACCCTGGACCAGAAGCTTAAAGACGCACAGTACTCCTAAAACCAAATCACGTGAGAAGCAGGCAACAGAATAAGATTTAGATGAATTGTTGAGGCCCTATGCTCCACTTAGGAGTGAAGGATAGCCGTAAGTAAGTAATGTCCGTAAACTTATTTATAGCATATTCATTGACTCACCGAAGTTTCAGCGTGTGCAATACTTTAAAAACAATATTAAAGAACAGTGCCCCCCGGAGCATGTGAAGAATGGATACGAAAGCCACAATAGAAAAACACCCAAAGCAGATTATTTGGTTTATAGCGGGAGTGGTTTACTGCTCTATATGTCTTCATGTATTACGTTAACAATAACGATAGCCAATGATGACAATGAGTTAGTTCGAAGAACGGCCGAGTCTACGTCCCGCAACCACTCGTAGCCAGCCGTTCGACCAAGTGCCGTTCGACATTTTCCAAAAGAACTTCAAAAGCAGATCCCAGCGGGTTACAATAAAATAGTGATGAGTTAATGCAAGAGAAATACTTATTAAAATTTTTTTTATTTTCTGCATTAATTTTTCATGAAAGTTAAGATAATAAGCACAAGACATACTATCATAATCAATGTGTATTCGATAAAAAGTTTTTCAAGGTTGTTTATCTAACATATTCTGACTTAATTTTATGGAAGAGGCATTGCCTTATATATGATATTTATCATTTAAGATGCATAAAATCAAACTTTGTCGATAGTAAAAGAACTGAAATAATTACTACAGAAGTAATAGGAAAGTAGTAAAATAAATGATTATTAAAAATATAATTTTTCATATGTACATATATTGTCAGTGACTCATTATTGTCTTGTTTAGTAAATAATGTATTTCCGCATATGCATTACTTAATTATTACTCTTAAGCTATTACAAGTAGCGCTTGTTATTAATAATATTGACGATAATTTTTCATTTTAGGGAGAACATGTTTAACAAATTTATAAAATTTTAAAAATAAAGTTTGGAGGAACATGAGGTTTTGATAGAAACTTTTCAAAAAAGCAACTTATTCAAATAAATTATTCGGTTCCAAGAACGGCGGACCAATCGTCGACAGCGACGACCAAGTGTCGTTCTACTGCTTCCAAAAGGACTTCACAAGTAACTCTCGGTGGGTAATACCATAACAACAACAATAAATTATTCAAAGCTTAATAATTGTTTTTTGCTGAAATGCATTATTTCTACATCATTAAATATTATAAACAATTATACAAAATATTAAATTTTAAACATTTAAATTAAATTAACGAAATCTAAGGGTAATTAATTACTTCTGGACAGTACTATTCTTCTTCAATGCTTCTTAATATCTTTTGTGGTACTTTATTCGAATTTTTGGCCATATTTAGTAGAACAAACTTTTTTTAAAAGAATATCTATCATATCTCATTTGTATATTTTATACTCTGTAGAGTAAGGATTTAAGAAGGATAAGGATTTCAATCCACAATTATGTGGGCAATATACAAATATTGAAGTAATAGTTTCCATATGTACGTTAATTAGTTAATTATATTATATTTCTGATCAAATTTAAATATCTGAAAATACATATTATCATTTACTAATGTAAATACCAATTCCATATGTGCAGTTTCTGGTAAGCTGATTTCAAATATTATTGAATCTTAAAAAGCCATTCTTATTCGTCATGCTTTTCAGTACACATAATATATTGTACGAATAATGTTTAGTTTTGTATCAAACGTAAAACAATTTCTTTTTGAAATAAATTTCTTGTGTATATTGTCTAGACATATATGTATATATGTGGTACTTACAATTTAAAAGACGCAAAATGTTGTCAACATATTTTTGATTAAAGTATGGCCTTTGTAGGTAAAAGTCAGGGTTCAATAATACATACAATTTATGTTACATAGTTATATAATTTTCACTTGAATTATGAATTCATTATAAATCAAAATAATTTTTAATATATAAGAAACTTTGTTTTGCTAAACAAATCTTAATTATAAAAAATTTTTTGTGGTTTAGTAAATAATTCGCATAAGATTTCATCGCACCACATTGAAATTTCTGAATTCTTTCAAATGAACAACAATACTTTAATAAAAATTGTTGTTGTTTAAAAAGATGAATTTATTATTTATTATAATATATGAATAACCAAATGCCAAACAGAGTGTTGAAAGCGGTCACACTTAGATTGCCTTTACTGTTTACCTTTTCTTGACAAAGACCATAACAATCACAAACAATAATAAAGCAGACACAACACGTAAACATACATATATTTGTTTATATATAAACAGTGGTAGTATCCTTAACTAATAAATATTGTTATAATTAAACTATTTTATGAAAAGAAATAATAAACATTACAAATTGTTTAAACATATGCACGATATTCACCTTTGTAAATCCGCAGAACTTCTAGTTGATATTTTGGGGGCAAAAATGCACATCACGAATTAATTGTTTCTTTATTTTTGAGTTTTATATACACCCAACAGTGAAAAAACTTTCTACACATTTACGGATTTCATTTAATTTAGTCACAAATTAAGATACGTAATACACATAAATTGTTGTTACTTGTAATGTTTACAATATTTATTTTAATTTTTAGGTTATTAAGTCACATTAAAAAACGTAAATAGTATTTGATCGTAAACGAAAGTAATTTATATCCTTGTAAAATTTATTTGTTTTTACTTTATATTTGCAAAAATATTGAAACAGAACAAGTCTGTTGATTCGGTTTATAAGAATTAAAATTACGTAGTAATTAAATCAGTAGAAGAGTTTTAATAAACGTCATATGGAGATGTGTTTAATAAAGTCTGTTTAATAAATCAAGTGCTAAAATATTTCTGACATTAAATGTCAAAAAAAAAATACTCAACTAAAGAACACAAATAAACAACAGCGACTAATTGTTCTATGAGATTAAGGTACATTTTTCGAGTGAAACTTATTTTAATATTTGTAACATGCATTTAGGCCGTGTGCGAGTTCGAGTAAATTGAGGTAAAGTAAATTCAAATTTCCTAGGGATTTTTTGCACTGCAACGTATGTTTTTATTGCAACGTATTTATTTATTTATTGCACTTATTTATTATTTTTGGTTAAAAATTTTCAAATTTATTTGTTTATTTATTAAACATCTTATAAAAATTTCACAATGTTAACAGCTAATTTTTCTAACTTTTACCTAATTTACCCTACTCGAAATTCTGGGTAATGCCAACATTCGCTGTCATACCGACATAATTTACTATTTCTCTCAATTTACCATCACGTGTACTCGCACACGGCCTTACTATGAGTTATTTCAATCATATTATTAATAATTTTAATAATCTTGAAAGTATATTCCTTCGTTATATTGTAATACTATGTTACTCTTACAGTTAATAAACTTTGTTTTGACATTCTTGAATAAATTTTCATAAATAATATCCAACATGATTTACTGAAACAATTAGTATCAATTTTTTTGCTTTACTTATTTCTTTTTATATTTTTATTAAATATTTTTCTCTTTATGTGATTTAATAATAATATTAATAAATTAAATATAAGTATTTCAAACTATATAGTTAATATTAAAATATTTAATTTTTGTTACAATCACAGCTGTTATATATAAAATCAATAGTATCAACATCATAAATTAAAGCTCTCTTTCTATTTACATCAAACATGAAATATCAAAGCTCTAGCTCTTCAGAGATAGAAAAGTTATATTACATACCATATTTCTGAACTATGACTTTAGCAGCAGTGGTGAAGCTGCCACTACACATTCTGTCCATTGTATCCAACTATGGCATCAGTTACAGCTAGATAATTCGAGAAGTTTACTATAATAAACGACATTGATTGAAAAACTGACAATAAATGTTATGCAATTATTGTTCCAGGTTTATTATGATATAATATTGATTGCTATTAAAACGTAGGGTTCTATTTTAATTTCATTAAAATTATACCAAAAACATACTTAAAAAAAATGTCAAACAGACCTTAGCAATAGCAAAAGTTATGTTCGATATTCCCATATTTGGTTATGGTTTGAATCATATGTATTATTTTCATTTCATTTGCTAGCAATCAGGCATCTGATTTGATATAAATTTATAATTTATAATCCACTTTGTTGAGGATCCTAATATTTAACTAGACGGACTCACAGGTGAAACTAATCTCAAGTACTCACCCCCTCCGAAAGAAGCATTTCGCTCTCGACTATCTCCTTCTTAATTTGAGCATCCCCGAACACAGGAACATGACTCCTGTGGAGATCGATTTTGCTGCCCGTACTTTTGAAAACATCTTCGCCTCCACAATTGCCGGTCTGAAGTCTTCAGTTCTGTCAGGCAAATCTGTGGATCCAATAGGTCGATCTCAGACCTCCGCTATGGCAACACCATAGTGTATGAGACCTTGATAAAACCAACGTCTTTAGTGAAGTCTTTGTGACAAATTACCGTCTTACGGTTGGCCTAGGCGAGCGCCACTTTACGTCCACTACGAATTCTGTAGTTCATGTGCTTTTCAATGAAAGCATTGTCATTTTTTCCCCGCAGTTCCCCGCTCACTGCATCAATTGTGAAGACACCCAAGGGTTTGTCATCCCTTCCAAACTCATCGACATGCTTCGACTCAAAACACCCAAAAAGTCAACAGGCACTGACTGCGTGTCTTTCTACGCCATAAGGCATTTCTTACCACTCTTTTTTAAAAAGTGCGCCATCCGCTTTAACCATGCGTACAAGACTGGTTCCTTCCCCCAGCCATGGAGGAAAGCCATAGTTTGTCTCATTGCCAAAAGTGGCAAACCCAAAGCTGACCCCTTCAGCTATCGTGCTATTTCTCATCCTAACTCTGTCAGTAAGCTCTATGAGACTTTCATAGCCAGCAAGTTGAGGTCCTTCTCCTCTGGGAATAATATTATTCCCCCTTTTCAGTTCGGCTTTAGGAGCCAAACCTTCACCCTCCATACCTCGCATTATCTGCAAAATGCGACATGCGTAGGCTTTGACTGTGCCTAAGGTTTGAGATTGAAAAAGCCTTTGATATTGTCTGGTTTAAAGGCTTAATCCTTAAGCTTCACCAGTTCGGATTCTCTCCTACACTCTGCAGTGTAGTCCACAAATTTCCAATAAAACCTTTCAGGTTCGGGTCGGTTCCTCTCTGTCCCGTGATTTCCCCATACGCCGGTGTCCGTCAGGGCTCGTTTCTTGGACCCCTCCTTTTCAACCTGTTTATAGCAGACATCCTGCTCCCGCGGACCACTATTAAGCAAATCTGCTTCGCAGACAACTGATTATTTTCTTATCACAGCATAACTTTATACCAAATGATGATTATGCCATCCGTAACGTCCGGTTCAGACATATCTAACTTCAAACTGCACTTCGAAGACATAACCAGCTTAACTGCAAAGTTAAACTGCTCTGATATAAGCAGCTTATTTATCCTCTCCTCACTTACTCTTTTCCTATTTGCTCAGCCATCACTTCCGCTCAGATGGAAACAATCCGACTGTTTAAGCGGAAACTTCTTCGCGATTGCACTAACTATAAGCGCAATCCTAATGGCAAACACTTCTCCATGTCAACTCTCTATAACAATGCCAAGATCACTCGTGTTGACAAGTACCTTCCGTGAGATATCTATGGGCGAGTGATAAGATCTTGTCCCAGAAGACCTTGTTCTAGCATTGCGCTATAAACCTCCCAATACCTGACCTACTACTTCGATGAAGTGAACCATAACCTCTCCACTATATCCACTATCACTTTATAACCGCGGCTTTCGTGACCCTAGTCACAAAGTATATTGTTGATCCCACCCCCGCTAGTTAGCCGTAACCCCTCCCCCTTCTATATCGCCCATCCTACCTAATTCATGCCCTTGCTTTCTGATTTAGATGAACCTAGTTCACTAGGTATTAAGTCTATTTTTTCATTCCTCTCTCCTATGATTACTGGAATGAAGTTTCCACATTGCTGTGGAAATCTTCTCCTTTCATTCCTAAGAGGTGGTAACGCTTTTAGTGGTCAATGTGAGACATACCCTTCCTTTACCTAAAATTTTTAACTGCAATAACTCCTATATCCTCTCCCAATCTTTCTCCATTTCTCTCAATACGGAATTGCGTGTGTTCTTTTAACTTGTTTGCAGTCGGAGGTAACAGATTTTATTCTAGCGTCGCATCTCACTGATAGCTGCCCACTCCAGTAACTGTGGGCTTGCCATGTTACCGGGGACTATGTCACGGCGGATTTCATTTTCCCCAAACTTGTGGAAGATTGCGAAACTTTTCATAGAGAAGATGTATGAAGGATGGGACTTCAAGCTAAGATTTAGCTAAATATACTTTCGGTCAGGACTTATACTGGTTGACTGTGTTGATGAAGCAGTCGCAAAATTCATTCACAGATCAGCACCCAAGCAGGATGGATGAGTAGACGATGAGCTCACCACGTGTACCGGGGACAACATACCGAGTATACATATTATGACGGTCTTCCTCCTGGCCAAAGGTGTCTAAATGGGGAAGTTGCTAAAACTACTCTTCACGTAGATTAACGGTCTGCATACCTAATTGTGGAGAGTATTCAGCAGCAATATTGGACGCCTTACGATCGGGATTGACAACTTGCCTCTAGAGGCCATTAAAACTAACAGGTGTTGAATCTTCTACAGGTTCCGCCACGTCCTGGTCCATCTACATAAGGGACGGGCAAACAAAGAGGGAAATAGAAAAGCTGGGACAATCACAACAGTTCTAAGTTAGTTCTAATTAGTTCTAAGTGAAGTCATCCAAAATGAAATTCAACTAGAAACTACCCTAGAAAACTTTAAAAGAGCCATATTAAATGCATATGATGACAGCTGTCCACTTAGCTTGATTAACTCCACCAAGAAATAATGACCTAAAATATCTAAGCAAGACTATCAGAGAATTAGTTAATTACTCAAAAAGAACAGGCGATTGAACAGAATATAGGCACTTACTCTGTTAACGGGTAGATTAGGGCTTTAAAACGCAAAGGCCTCCGAAAACATAGAAGGTACAACTGAGATGTTAAAACTCTTCAAGATACTTTCAAAAGGCAATAGCCTCACTTCCACCAATTCCAGACAAGAGGGTGGAAGTCTCACGGAAAGTGACTAGGAAAAGGCATGAAACCTTCTGAATGTACATTTCCCAGGATCCTCTTTAATTGTAGGGACAGAATCAGGACACACTGAACCCCTAGGGTTATAATATGGTATACAGACGATTCCTTCACCAGTGAGGGACCTGGAGCTGGCATATGGACTAGGTAAAAGATAGTCAGAAGCACTGGGAAATAATTTAACCATTTTTCAAACGGTGATATAAGCGGTAGACAGATACGCTAGTTTCAAGCTTAAACGTAACTAATGGAACCATAGCAATGCAATATTGACTGACAGCCAGACAGCTATAATGGCACTCATATCTTATCAGGTGACATCCAATACAGTATGGAAGTACATTGACAAACTGAACCTACTTGGCTGAAACAGTCAGATACACTTAATATGGATTCCCGAGAAGCTGTAAGGTCCAAGGTAATGAAGTGGCAGACAAACTCTCAAAGAGAGTTGCGGCTTCAATAATGATAGGTCC